ATCAACTCACTTATTTCCTTGTTCCCAATTGTCAACTTTGGTCATCTGCACTATTATTTATAGTGTACTCCTGGTGGAGCACGAAATAAAAATAAGGGGCGAACCAAAAACAGAAAACGCCCCGAACGACCAGCGGTCCGACTCCGCCTTCAACCCACTCCTTCATTCTCCCCCAATTGTTCCGAGTACCATTGTATAAAGCAATTATACCCATCATGTCTCGCATGTGGGAGGTTGATCCAGAGACAAGGACAAAGGTGTGTCCATAGTCGTCTACTTATCGCCTCTCGCCCACCACACGTGCCAAGAGCAACAACAAGGATACTTGTAACTAACCACCGAGTCCAACAGCTCCTCCAGATCTCCAAGACAAACGGCAACGACCGATGCTGCGATTGCGGTGCGCCATCGCCTCAATGGGTGTGTACCCCCTACCTATCTCACGATCGACTCCTCCATGTTTACCCCCGCAAACGATCCCCGATAACATCCCTCACGGAGGCAGGCGACGCCACAAAAACATAGCTAACAGATCCTTCAAATACAACAGGCATCTCCTAAGTTCGGCACTTTCATCTGCCTCAACTGCGCAGGTACACACCGCGGTCTTGGCGTCCACATCTCCTTCGTTCGCTCAATCACCATGGACGCCTTCAAGCACGCCGAGATCCAGCGCATGGAGCTAGGCGGAAACGAGCCGTGGAAAGCTTTCTATGACGAGCACGAGATTACCGTCTCCGAAGGCCGGACATTCGAGGACTCAACCATCAAAGAGCGATACGAAGGCGAAGCGGGCGAGGAGTGGAAAGAGCGCTTGTCTTGTAAGGTTGAGGGCAAAGAATACGTCCAGGGCCAGGAGAAGAAGAAGAATAACAATGCTGCTGGTGTGTCACGATCTAGTACGCCAATGAGTGTGGGCACTGGCGGCGTTGGACCTGGTAGGAGCGGATCGCCTGCATCAGGCATGCAGCGCACAAGTAGTCTCAGGTCGACTGGCCCGGCAAGCAAGAAAGAGCAGAACGAGGCTTATTTCGCGAAGATGGGCTCAGAGAATGCTACGCGATCGGATAGTCTGCCTCCATCGCAGGGTGGAAAGTTCACCGGTTTCGGTGGTGGTATGCCTCCGCCTTCAGCTGGGGACCGTCGGTCTTCGCCGTTTGGAGGATTCGGTGGCTTTGGAGGATTTGGCGGTGGTGGTGGTGGGAACCATGCTTTTGACGATTTCCAGAAAGATCCCGTGGCTTCGATTAGCAAGGGATTCGGGTGGTTTGCGTCTGCTGTTGGGAAGGGCGCGAAGACTGTGAATGATTCATATCTCCAACCGACTGCAAAGCAGGTATGTATCCCATGAGAATGTTGCTGTACGTGTGCTGACAATCACAGCTCGCCGAGTCCGACTTTGCAGCTCAAGCTCGTCTCCAGGCTGCTAATTGGGGTCAGAACCTACAGACCGGTGCCCGGGGCGCAGCTGATCAATTCAACCGTTTCGTTGAAGGGGATGAAGGCCATGCTGGTGGTCAACGCTCCCGCGTTGAGCCCGAGCGTCGCGACTTCTGGGATGACTTCTCATCTCTAGCGTCGCAGGAGCAGCAAGCTGCTGGTCACCGCCGTGGCGGCTCACGGTCTGATGTTGTTGGTACAGCGGCTATGCGTAAGACACCCGCTACAGGCTCGTCATTGGCAAATTCATCCAGCTCTACTGCCGAGACTACTACTGCCCCATCTGGATTAGAAGGGACGGAGGGTGGTGCGGCGTCAACTTCTAAAGGAAAAGATGATTGGGATGATAACTGGTAGATGTATATATGGATTCATTGGCGTGTTTTGTCTTTTTCCATCTGCATGTTCTTGGGTTTTGTTTACGTGCGCACGTGTGTAGACGGTTTCAGATGCCATGATGACGTGTGGTGTTCCCTATTTGTTGACTTGATTTATATACCTTGCTCGTTGAATGAAATGGTTCTCCTCACCTTGGGAGAAGTATCATTCTTGTGGACTTGCTGTCCGCCTTTGTAGCTTGATTCTTCGAGATGCCCACCTAATCATTCACGTAGATACTAGGTATATCCACCCTTGAAGAACCTGGAGTGTGATAACAAGAGAAGATGGCATCAAAGAAACAAACACACTCAGCCTCCCTTGACCATTATTGATTTCGTCGCTATTGATCTCAATCGAGGATATACCCAAATTATCATTTCGTGGTTTATGCCTAGAACAAGAGATCTCACCAGTATAACATCATGGTCGGCCCCTGAGGATGCACATTATAGACTAAGAGGCCTAAGAAACCTGAACGACCGCTTTGCTCTGGTTTGTTGAATTTGAAAGCAGAGTGGGCATATAAGTATTTGTTTACATTCTGGCAGCACGCTTTGCTTGCAAGAAAGCCCCAAGGTTTCCTGGGGGTAGACCAATCACGAATTGGCCGACCATCACACCTGAGCAGGCCGGAGCAATAATCCACGGGCGCATATCAGGGTAAATCATATAGTACTTGGCTTCCTAGCCAATTACTACTGTGTCGACGAAAATGTGGGTCTAATATGAGTATGAATACAAAGGCTTCTCTAGCCACGAAGAACATAGTAGCGAGTAATTATATTCAGTGGTTGCTTTTTACAAAAGTGCTTTTGAGTTGCGACTGGGAAGCCACATCTTCTATGACTGTTCTGCGGCTATATCCAATCAAAACCAACTTGTGCGTCATGTAGAATGGCAGATGCTTGAGATATCCAGTTTTTCACATCGCCATTATTCCGTGCGACTGTTGACGGATCACGATTGTTTAATACCTTGGACTCTGCATCTAATGGAGCATTCCAAAGCTCGTCACTGTCTGGCATGCAGAAAGATAAATCGGCCAGGGTCAAAAGGTCATTTTGGCCACCATTGGGATTTTCTCCGGTCATACTATTGCAAGTGGACAACCGGCATACCTTATAAAGAGCCAATCCAAATCTCTTGATCTCTTCAACGTTCAAATATATAAGCACAAGTGGTGCATCGTCATCGTGTTGCAGAAGCATGTTAGGATAAAAAAAATACCCCACGATCGACAGCTGCGAACAAGTGCAGCCAAGAGTTCGTACTTGTTGTCTGGCAGTCGATGGCGCATGCTCAAATCCATTGTAGCATTCTCTCGCGCAATGAAAAGGGCAAGTATTATATTCAAGAGCACACCTTGGAATGTCGTTATAGGCCACGAGGTATTTGTATGTTGGCGTGAACTCGAGTCAGACATGCACCATTTGTCCTACAGCAAAAGTTAGTATCAATACAAAACTCTATGCATTGGTGATTTCACGATGCTTCGCACCATTTGATCCCAAATTTGGGAACACAGTCTATTATGCAGACGCGTAGATGCATCTCGTGTCTCCTGTGTTCCCTTAATCCACAGTCCGATTGCGACAATGGATTGAACAAGTATACAAGGCTCTTTAGTGAAGTCAAATGTACTTCGATGGAGAAAAGGCCATGCTGGATGGAAGACATCAAAATAAATATCAACATAATCATGGGCGATCCACCGAGAAGATCCAGGGACGGAATCATCAATCGTGGAAATAGGTGGCAAAGGGTGAAGATTATCGATCCAAAATGGTTCGCCTGTTGTTTCACCACCAGTAGGTACACAGATGACCCCTCGACGTTGACAGGCATTGCATGGTAGTATACCTTCGCAGCGGACTTTTCGTGCATGACATGCGCTGCATGCCCTCAGTCTTCGAGATGGTGGCGCTTGTTCCTGCGGGTGATAAGTCCTGACATGGCGTCGCAAAAGATCACTGATATCTGTGTGAGTTGTACGCTTCGCTTAGAGACCAAGCAACCACTCACTTCCTGGTCAGAACTCTCTCGCAATAAGGACATATAAGATTTGTTTCCCCGTTGTGGTGATTCATATGTCGACTTAGGTGCTCTTTACGCCGATATTTAGCGCTGCATTCTGGATAGTCACATCGGAACCACAAGGGGCTGATATCAGCAGGAGGCGACATTGTTTCGGAAGTTTACAAGTTTTTAGTGTGCAGTATCACCACCGTTCTGTTCCAAATGTGGCAAATGAGTTTTGGAGCGATTCAGAGAGCCAGGCGCTCGAAGCGAATGAAACCAAGTCAAAAATGAAGAAGAGGAGGGTATGACTGGAACGCCGGGTGGAGCCCCAGGCGTCGAAGGCCACCAATGCCCTTCCACGGAGCATCCCACCTGATGAATAAGTAAGTAGCCCTAACCAAGTAATTCATCGGTATATCCCACTTGTCGATTTATTTTTCGTTCCCGTGTAGAGAGCAAAGCTTTGAGAGGAAGTGGCTCCTTTCACGACCTATTCTTTGAAAGGTCCTCTTGACAGTCCAGTGAATCTCAATTCGAATGCACCATAATGCTCAACTTCCACGACCCTGAACTTTGCGCGACAGGTCCGAACTAGCCGGCAACCTCAATCCGGACACAGAAATGCATCTCCGTCCCCATTTCGAGCGAGTGATCTCCAATTAGCTAGCATGAATGCACGTCCTGAATTTGAATGGCTGAGGGCTCCCCACATTAATCCCTAAACGGTCACGTTCTCCGCCAAGCCTTTTGGCTCCATAAATTCTCAATTGATATATTCCAGGGTTAAATTCCACGTTAAATTTGGTGACGGATCCATAATCATGTAAGCAGACGGCGATTACTTGAAGAAAATGAAGCCACTGTGATCCCCATCGGCTCACTAAGCCGTAATGCTGAATAACCTTACCGCAGATACTGAAACGTTTTCTCGGCGCTTTTAGTGGCAAACCGAACCCTTTATATAGGGTGTCATGTGGGATGAGCCGAACCCATGTTACATCATCAATTATAGAGAATGAATCTGAATTTCTAAGCCTCTCGCAATGGGAAACTATTTAAGCGCCAGTCTTATTTCAACAATGGGATTTATCATTCGATTTCGTGGATCAGATTCATAGTGTCAATATCTATCATTTTCAATTTTAGCACCTATCGCTACCATGGCAGCAACACGCGCACCAACCCTCACGATCACTCACCTCACCACTGCAACTGCCATTCTCAACATTGATGGAGTGAACTTCTTGACAGATCCATTCTTTGGGGCCGCTGAAGGCAACGAATATGATGCGAGCGAGTTGTTCGAACAGTTGGATCTGAAAACCTACGGGTTGGACAGCATTCCGCCCCCGCCGCACCTTTCCAATAAGGAAGGCCCAGCGCTCCAGCTCAATGAGCTGCCACCTATCGACGCAGTGCTTCTTAGTCACGAGGACCACGTTGACAACTTAGACCCTGAAGGCCGCAAGCTGTTGGATGGTCGAAAGGTGTTTACCACCGTGGATGGTGCCTCCAACTTACGTCCACGCCCGGGAGTCATTGGTCTTCGCCCTTGGGAGACTGTGACATCCTGCATTGGAGGAAAAACATACCGAATTACCGGTACGCCTTGCAAGCACTTCCCAATCGGAGAAGTTACGGGCTTCATCCTGGAGACCGATTCCTTCGGCCTGGATCCATCCGGAAAGCCGAATGCAATTTACTTCTCGGGTGACACCGTCTACATCGATGAGCTACGCGAGATTGGACAGAAATGGCACATTACCGCAGCTCTTTTCAACTTGGGCAATGCTACCCTTGACCTCCCAACCGGTCCAATTCAGATTACAATGGACGGTAAACAAGCTGTTCAGCTTGCCCGCGAGATTGGTGCTGATGTTATGGTTCCACTTCATTTTGAGTCCTGGGGCCATTTCAAGGAAGGCCGGACGGAATTATTGGACGTTTTCACCAAGGAGGGATTCTCGGATAAAGTGTGCTGGACTGTTCCTGGTGTTGCCAAGGTTGTTTTCTAATTATGAACCTCTCAATGGTGTAAGCTTTGGGTCGTTCTCTTTATTTTTTATTGATCTCTTTCTTCTTGTTCTCTGTCAAAACGAGATCGATTATCTTGTGAGTTGACTCAGAAGAACTTCTTATGCTGAAAGGCTTTCATCAATCATATTCGTGTTTTCGAAGAAGGTTTTATCAGATAGAAGAATGGAAATTTCAAATCGTAAGATTTGAAAGTGTACATGGGAAGACCCAGACGGCTAAATAAATTCTTGAGCATGTGTCTGACGGTTCTGAGGTCTCGTTTACCAATCGCCCGCCACTGAAATAAAAGAAGAAAGAAAAAAAAAACCAGATCAAGTGAATCCTAAGAGCTTAAGGCGGAGGGTAAAGAAAAATAAGGCCTACAAAGAGGAACGCCAAGAGTTCTTGAACTTGGAAGTAGATAAGCTAGAACTCCCCTTATATGGAAATATGCCTGATTACAGCAGAGTTTCCAAAGTTAAAATTACACATACCACATGAAGATGAGGACTTAGAAGAAATGCTGCGGTCGTAGATAGCAGCAAAATTCCGAAGGCCACAGAGCGTCAATGGAATTACGATAACCATGTATTAGACGGGAATTTTCAAGCTGAAAAGCATAGTAATGTGGCCCGATATTCTAACATTGGAATTTCTTGCGCGACACTGACAAAGAATATTTCGTGTTCATATAGCCATAATGAGCATATATTGAGGGCATGGTGTTTTGCTAATTTTCAGTCTAGGTTTTCAAATGTCATAAAAAGGGTTTCCCTTACTGCTGAAATCCCAATCTATCTTTCGTTTCGATTTCGCCTTCTGCTTGGAGTTCTGAGACGCATCATAGACAAGACTGAACAACCTGGGCTCTTGCACAAACTCTGCAGTAAATAAGTGTGACTGGGTCAAAATGATCCTTTTGCTTCTTGTGCCAGTTCCGTCATCACGTATTTCAAGTTCATATGGATATGGATGGAGTAAACTATCCACGGCAGGCAAGATCTCTCTTGGTGAGCCAGGCTCAATCTGCAAATGCCTTAACTCGATATAAGTCAACGACCCAATAGATTGCTCAATAATGTCCACCATATTTTGAGATGAAATGTTGACGTTCTGCAGGAATAAATAACGCAGACGAACTCTTGGACTGAGTCTGAGACTATCAATGCTCAGAAAATTCGGGCTGCTGAGTGAGAGGGAAGTCAGGTTGGTTGAAAGCTCTACGATCCTCAACAGATGAGAAGCATAAGATTGCTGGTTTGTTTGGGCATAGACATGTAATCCAAGATGGTGAAGGCGGCTGAGAGTCTGTTCAATCGGGATCCGTAATGTGCTGATTTTCTCGGCAAACAAAGGCGCGAAATTGTTTGTCATTGGTAACATGATTTCCAGCTCTGTCAAGTTGGGAAGAGGCACATAGCATAGCACCATGAGTATCGGGTCTATAGATGCTTTCATTTCGTCATGGAGCAAGGACGTCAATGGCGGACCGCTGAAATTGAGAGCTTTGAGATTGGGAAGTTGACGTAAGCATGAAGACAGCAAGCCGGCAAGGTCTTCTGTGTATACCACAATATCGTCTACCGAATATGGTAGAGAGCCATAGCCAAGGTCGACTTGATGCACATATTGAGCATATTGGCTGTTGGAAATGCTCATTAACTTTTCCACAGGTGGTAAGTGCGTCGTGTGGCACAAAGAACCGGCCAAGGCTATGATGTGTCGAAAGAGGCGAATTGAGGCACTGTGACGAAACCTTTTGTTGACCAAGCGGAGCCCAGCCAAGATCTTTCGGGCTTGAGCGTTCACTTTTGGAGATGGCCGAGGAGTGGGTGTTTCCAAGGAAGATTGCAAAGTGCCGATTTCGACATAAAACATGACCTGCCAAAAAGTTGTTCAGTAATGCCTCAAAGATGGATTGCTATAAATCCTACAAGATCAATTATTTCTGTCGGCAGATACATCTCGGTGGATGTAGAACATCGCCGGTCATTGGCTGTAGTATCCAAGGGGTTTTGGGGGGGAAAGGAACGCCCGCGGCACCACTTATAGCCAAATAGATGAGAGTTACTGGCTGATCAAAACAAGAAAGGAAAATTTTGATAGAGTTGAACAATGCCGACTGACCCGAACTGTACAGAAGCCGCTAGCGTGAACTTTCAACCGGAAAAATCATACACGTTCCATGGTTACAAGGATAGTTGGATACAAATCATCAACTAAGTCTTGGTGCCCAGAAAAAGTAGCCTTTTTGGGACAGAAATAGCTGTAGGGAGCCCCACATAGTCGTGCCACTAAGACCCACCGGGCGGGATGCCGAAAGATCAAGAGCGTGCATGTGTAATCCATAGTATAGTATGAGGTAATAGGGGTTAGTTTCACAGCAATTCTCGCCCGGGCACTAGTTGGCTCACTAATCTCGCTTCAACAGGGAGGGTGTTTGGCTTCGAAAAAATATAAATGCATATGAATTCCCTACCTACTGTACCCAACAGTGCCTTAGTCGTTCTCCACGTCACCAATTGTCCTTGACCGCGCCCTTTACACATGATCTTGGTTTTGATATGATCAATTGAAAAAAATTCTTGAAAGCATACAGCAGGCAAAAACACCTGTCATTCTAGAAACAGCCAATCAACCCTTTCGGGTGTATAATTGTGGATCTTCCAACCTTGAACGGCGAAGTGTTCGCCGAGTCGGGAGTACATTCGGTTACCTTCTTTGTCGGCATCCCGCCTGTTTTCGTCATGCAGTGGTGTGCATCATGGCCCCTCATCTCTGCAATCACCAGGGCGAATGTGATGTATCTCAGACGGCTGAATAATCATTTATTAACCTTCATGTATATTTAATTGACCCTGGTTTCCGGGTGAGCATATTAGCTTTTTAACTTTCAGATTTGTGAGTGATTTAACCCAAGTTGGACAAGCCCAATATGCGGTAAGTCTCTATGGAAATTTGAACATGCTTCGTACTTTGACACTCAACTAGAGATCAATCCAATCCACCCAACGAAGAGGCCTATTATGACCTTGGCTCGTATCATCGGTCAGTGACCACTTCGTCAGCAGAAGCCCAACTGTGGTTCAATCGCGGATTGATATGGGCTCATTCTTTTAACCACGTTGAAGCAGTTCGATGCTTCGAACGAGCTGCTGAAAATGATGCCAATTGCGCTATGGCGCTATGGGGAATTGCTTATGCGTCTGGGCCCAACTACAACAAGGCGTGGGGCTATTTTGACCTGGAAGACCGTCAGGTATCGATCAGGAAAGTTAATAACACCCTCGCCCGAGCGTCAAAGCTCGCGAGCCAGGCCACACCTGTGGAAGAAGCATTGATACGAGCAATCGGTGCACGTTTCCCACCGACCGATAAAATTCCTGAGGATCTGAGTCCATTCGACCGTCGATATGCGGATGCGATGCGCTCTGTGTATCAGACGTTCAGCAATGATGGAGACGTGGCTGCGCTATTTGCAGAAGCACTGATGTGCATCACTCCGCGTGGCCTGTGGAACTTGGACACGGGTAAACCAACTGGGAACCACACAGTCGAGGCTCGCGAAGTCCTCGAACTACAACTGAAGCAGGCCAGCGGTCGCAACCATCCAGCAATTTGCCACTTACATATACACATGATGGAGATGTCGCCATTTCCAGAATTGGCCCTGCCGGCTGCTGATCGACTACGTGGCATGGTCCCGCACGCTTCACATATGTTACACATGCCGACGCATATTGACGCTGCGGTTGGCGACTATCGCCGGGGTATCGACTCTAACCATGAAGCCATCCTCGCCGATGACATCTATTTTGCTCGCGAGACTGATACAATTTGGTACACGGCCTACCGGGTGCATTACATTTGTGCAAAAATGTATTCCGCCATGATGTCCGGCCGATTCATGGACGCGATGTCTGCTGCAGAAAAGCTTGAAAAGGTTATTGATCCAAAAGTTTTGTCTACCAGAAGCCCCCCTATGGCAGACTTTATCGAAAGCTTCTTCGGAAGTAAGGCACATGTCCTAGTGCGATTCGGACGCTGGAAGGAGATTTTAGACATCAAACTACCCACCGATCAAGATACATATTGTGTGACCACAGCCATCATACATTACGCCCGCGGACTTGCGTTTAGCGCACTAAGGCGGGTTGCAGAAGCAGAAACCGCTCAAATACAATTCGAAACGGCGCGCAGGGCCGTTCCGAGCTCCCGACTTAACAGCATTCCATGCAAGGAGAAAGATGTTCTCGCGGTGGCCTCAGCTATGCTTACTGGTGAATTGGAATATCGAAAGGGTAATATTGAAGTAGCTTTCTATTACCTTCGGAAAGCCATTGCGCTTGAGGATGCACTCGCATATGGTGACCCGCCACCTTGGATGCAGCCAGTCCGCCATGCACTTGGTGGCCTGCTTCTTGAACAAGGACGTATTGAGGAAGCAGAACTACTGTTCAAACAGGATCTCGGCTTTTCTCCTGACTATCCTCGGCGCAAGGCAAAGCTCAATAATGTTTGGGGGGTTGCAGGGCTTATACGAATGTTTCACTCGCCTCGGAAAGAGTCGAGAGGCTGCATTCATTCAATCTGCACGGAATATTGCATTGGTGTCTGCTGACATTCCCATCAATGTTTCGTGCTTCTGTCGATTATCTGTTGTAGATAAAGATGTATGTTGCTCATGACATAATCATGCTGAGACTAGTCAGAGTATCAGCGCAAAGCGCTGGAGAAAAATTGAAGGTGACTCGTATGAGACCCAGAAAAAGAAAAGAATCATGTCAATAATGGTGGACAAGCAACAATAGAGCGAACAGAAAACAATTGTATTGTGGAATAGAGAGAAGAGTAGAAAAAAAAAAAAAAAGGAGACACGAAGTACTGACTGACGCCACCAACCAGCAGAGAGCATCACCTGACCTCTTAACAACTTCCATTATGACCAAACCGATCAAGATATCAGAATAGTCTTCTCGATTTTAACTTCCTTTATTGCAATCTAATTCATTCATATTATTCATTTAGAATTTTCGCCTACTTAGCCATGTGAGCACCAAAATACCATACGTATATTTACTAGGTAAAGTCAGACTGCTCTCACACAGAGTTCACTTTGCCCTTTGCGCTAAATTCACAAATTTGAATCAGTCTTATTGTGCTGTCCTCGTCTACTCTTCCCCATATCCATTTTTAATGTAACGATGGTTGGAGGTGTAAATAGAGTTGCAGCGTATCCGACGTGTTCGACACTAAATTTCAGAACTGTTACGCAAAGAGCCACCACGCAACTTTGGAATATAGTTGCCACCAGCCAGAAGAATAGCATTAGTCCAGTCGCTTCCCAAGGTTGAGATTTGTGCTTCGTTCCACCAGCCGCGCTCAGGGGCTTATCGTCAATGACTATAAGGCTTTAGTACCAAAAGTCCATGACAGGTCAACATATGATATGTAAAGATACCTTGATTCGTGTCCAACAATCGTGTCCTCCTATGATCTTATCATGACGAGATGTGATTAATGGTGTGAATGAGATTAGTGATTTAGCAAACAGTACTGCTCGAAACATGAGTGAGGAGGTCGGTATACTGCGTCCCAAAGATTATGATAAAAATATAGGGTCGTGACTGTGTTTACAAAGTAAATCGCAGGTAGTATGAGACGGGGAGCATTTCTAAGCCCCGTGAGTGACTGGAAGTCTCCTACTCCAGGCGCTGCATGCGAAGTTCGAGACTAAACAACGTCTCCCTACATAACGAAGGTTGAAGACCTTTCCGGAAATGCATTTGTCAAAAATTCGAGTCTAGATGCATTCGAGCCTTCGAGTTCTGCATATACAAAATCTCTACCTGCGCGAAGTACCCATCGGAGCCGACTTCGTATAATCCTGCTTGTGTGAAATTAGACACCTGCACACACATACCTATTCGCAGATCAAAGCTCCATTTCGGACCCGACTCGGGGAATTCATGGTTGCACATACTAGTACTCTTAGATCAGCCAGGATCGCAGGAATTGTGGAGCTAGTCTCGGGTCCGCCCGTCAAGACAAGGGTTTGCGCCATTTTGAACCGGGCCGGAGTACAAGGAGTTTGCTTCTGATTGGATCGGAATCATGGGGGTTAGTGTTGCGTCATTTTAATCAGGCTAGATCGAGGCTAGAAATCCTTCGGAATTGGTGGCGTTTGCAGGCTGGAGATAACATCTGTTTCGTATCGGCGGAATCAGATCTCGGCAGGGGTTCCTGGACTACGAAGCGGGGATTTGGTGGACCAATCGTGGTTTGGTATACTTGGCATTGAGAACATGAACTGGAGAGGTTTGTGCTCGACGCATGAACTGTGGTTACGGCATCTCCGCTGATCATTTTAGATCAATTGACTCGCACACAACAGGATCTTTTCGCTGAGGAGTCCATGATGAACTCGTATATTGCTACTTCATTCCGAGAAGAGATCGGTTGAATCCGGGAGATCATACGATCTATGCAGCCCCCACTGTCCGGGGTATGAAGTGGAGAACGGGAAGATCTATGCTATAGCGCCCGATGGGATTTATTTTGTCGATTTCTTCCAGACGCCACATATCCCAAGCTGCCGTTCGTGCATATATTCTTACACTCTGCATTAAGGCGTTTCAAAATACAAAGAGGGAAAGTCCACGAGTGACCGAATACATTGCTTTTGTCATTTCCTCGAACAATCAAACAAATTATCTACACAATCAAGACTCGGCCGTAGTTCGCTTGAGGCGGATTTCAAGTCCCTGAGCTCCTGGTGGTAGATCAGCCCCATTATCGTTCCCATCAAAGTATAATTGCCATATGTCGCGCGCGTCAGTAATTCCCAACTCGGCATTAATCCGTTCCTTAGCCTCATCCTCCGGAAGACGTACAGCCAACCAACCCTCCCAATCCTCCATAGTCAAGTACTGCTCATCTTTAGTCCAGTCAAAGGGCCCACATATGTGACCTTCGGAGTCCGGCCGACCTCCCCAACGCATCTCATGCGTCCTAGCGTCTCGAAAGATCCAGCGCAGAGTTGGTGCCTTTTCCCCGCTAATCGTCACCAAGCCAGATGTGTTGTTCGGCGGAAAGTCGGGATGCGTATAGTAGCCGCCGTTAAATGACACCATCGTCGAGCTGGGATGCTTGGTGATGTAAAGCTGCAATGATTATTAGTCAATTCCTTGTTTGTCTGTTTGAGAGAGACTTACTTTCCCGTCCAGATCCACTTGGACTTGGGCATTGTGAACCTGTTGGCGCATCTTTGATGTTCCTTGCGTAAGGGCACATGTGGCCACTAGGTGTCCACGTTGTTTCCGTGCTTCGTTGCGCCGACCTTCCTCTGCATCCCGGCTCCCCTGAGTCGCTTCATTCAGGCCAATCATGGTCGGCAACATGGCCGCCATCATCACGATACCGAGCACCATCGTTGGACTTGTGGTACGGATACCTCGGAGATATTTGCTGTGGGGAGAATGGTGGACGCTAGGCGCATCGCACGTAAATAAAAAGTCTTGCACCTGCAGGGGTGTAGTTTAATCAGCAAGGCGAGTGGAGACCCTTTAGTTGAGCTCCATATACGCTTGATACCCACTTAGATGCCGATGAATCGTATGATCAAATCTTCAACTAGGTCGGGGAACGCCCGACAAACATGGGTTCGACAATGGCGGTTCCGAGATGCATATCGCAGGGTCTAGACACGGGACAGGAGGAGGTTGAAAAGGACCCATCAAGTCGAGTAGACAACTCCCTTTTTTCTCTCATCAGTTCACTCTTCGCATACCTTTCCAGATATCTCCTTTTAAGCCAACCCAACGCCCTCTACATTCAAAATGTCTGAGCCTGTTAGCAGGTATTTATTCCCATTTCTACTTTCTATCCCCTTTGCAACTTGGCCCTCTATCCTTTGACCTTTGCCTTCACCTTCATTCTCCCCTCATGTTTAGAACAAAGTCCCAAAAGATCAAGCAGAAGCAGAAGGAGAAGGAGAGACAGTCTTCCGTTTCATCTGGGGTGGGCTACAATGGAACAAAGAATTCGTCCTCGTCAACCCTACCTGTCCAATCCTCGGACCTAAAGGGTGCTATGGATTCAACACCATCGCTAGTGACTCCGGAATCAAAGCCAGAAGCGCCTGTTTTATCCGAGCCTGAGCCTGAGCCTGAGCCTAATATCCCTGTCTCATCGAAGCAAGCTGTTTCGACTCTAGCTCCAGCTCCGACTTTGACTCCTCCGCTTCCTCAATCAGCACCGACTGCTCCCTCTGAGCCTGTTGCTTCTATTCGGCCAGAGGAGACAGTCACTGCTCCTGTTTTTGCTTCTGCTTCTGCTTCTCCTCCGAAGCAAGCTTCTGTTGCTTTTGAGCCTCCGAAACATACTCCACCAAAACTTACCGCTTTCGTTGAACCCGAGCCCGAGCCCGCTGCTAACAGTCCACCACTTAGCATCCCCTCGGAGTCCCGCCCCATCGGCGGCCGCCGCGGCAAGTCTGATGACGATGCAAATGGCACCACAAAGGGTGGCGAATTGGTTGCTGGTAACACTGGTGGTATCTCCAACGCAGGCCTGCAGATCCCCGGCCAGCTGCTCAACGAGGACGAGAAGAGCGCTTTGAAGATCAAGATTCACCTTAACCTTCACGCTAAGGTTCGTCTTGACCTTGATGCTCAGATCTACGGTGATGTTGTGATTGGTCTGCTGTAACGCTGAAGATACGTCTTGACTGGTATGTTCCTTGGAGTTGATTATGTTGATAGATTTGTCTAATTATTTCTAGGAAATGAGCTCAATGTCTACAAATGTATATACGCGATCCAGAGTATGAGTCTTGGACTTTGTGATCGGCTGAAAATTCTATATGCAACATAAAGACAATGCCTCGATTTTCTCGCAATTATTCTTTCTTAATAGCAGTAGAGTAAAATCTTTCGGTCGTTGGATTACACAATTAGCTGTGAGGATTGATTTGCCTCAAGTGATATCGTCTATATGAGTATGTGATTTTGGTTCAAAACAACCGACGAGCTACCCGCTTTCTAATTTTAGATTAGACCTTCGCTATACTTTGGGAGGCGAAAGTTAACATTGGGATATTCATCATCAGAAACAACAACAACTCAGACAGTGTGTATGAAATATTCCATAAAGAGTATCTATATGCAATCAACACTCGAATATTCATGATCATCGAATCCAAGTTCTCTGCGCGTGCAATTTGGAGCCTCAGGGCCCATATTCCCAAACAGGACTAGCCCCGTCCCTGAACCACGGAGGAAGCCGCGCATCAATCAAAAGATCCGATTCTCGAACGCCAAGAGGCTATCGCAAGGCTAGACTAACCCTTGGCAAAACCTGAAATCAAATGGCCCCCAAATCTACAAATTTCTTTAATCAGGGGCGATCTTTATTTTAAGGGTCTGATAATTGCTTTCCCCCAACCTTTTTTTACCGTCATCAAAACACCACACTCGTTTAACACATTCGTTACCAACATACACCATGGGAAAAGCATTTCCAGGCCCTGAAACGGGCATTTGGCGAATCATTCTACGCCTCATCTCTCTTTTCGGCTCTGTTTTCGGAATTATCGCCTCAACGGCTGGAACATATTACCCTCTTGACTCGTTTTGGTACTACCTATTCGTAAGTCAACAAACTACTATTATGAAGAAAGGTGTCGCGCTAACAAAACAAACAGTTTAGCTTGTGCGGACTCTGGTCTTTGATTGCTCTTGTATTCCTCTTTTGCAAGCGTGCCCCGCACCCCGGCTGTTGTATCGCTTTCGACTTGCTTTTGATCTTTGCGTCTGGGTTCCTCGTCGCTGTTGCCGCTATCGGGGTTTCCTTTGAAGATTATCGTGGGATGGGTCGCGATATTGCTACGTTGGTGTTCGCGGTCTGTGTCTTGTATGTTTTTCTTGATGCTATATCTGAAGATTGTGCTAACCTTTACTTTTTAGTGTGGCCCATTTCATGATGTTTGTTTTGGCTTGTATAGACGTTCACCACAGGCGGAGGTTACCTAACCCTAAGGCTCCTTACCGGGAGGTTTCGCCCGATGAGGTATGATGAGATGTTTTTGGGTCGATGGTGCTCGGGCAAGATTGCTGCCAGGTTGGCACCTGCAATAGACGAGGCTTGTCGGTTCCATTTGTGATATGAGAAGCTATATTGAACAAAAGATGGATGGTGGACATGTCCTTTATACTAGGCATCGCCACTAATTATGTCTGTCTACATTAATATAATGCTACAATTTCCTGGCGAGCAACTGAAAGCGTCGCAGCCTTTCTTGACTTCCAGGGTTATTTGCCAAATCATTCTTGTGACACCTTGCGAGTTCTATACCCTCGTTTTGCATAGGCTGCTATTAGAAATTTATCAAAGGTTGGCGTCTTTCATTTTTGAGTAGATATCATGACTTGGGCCTGAAAATGCTGGGAACTATAGTTCCATAAAAAGGGCTATCCTCGACTCGCACGAGGCCAAGTTTCAACTGGCTTGAACATGCCACTTTGCCCACGGCATACGATATAGTCTTTCCTAGGTTGTTAGGCAGTAGCGAGAGGGAGATAAGGCGTTTCATCAGTGAGCGTTTCATACATGAAACTCGTACACATGACGGCACTCTGAAATACAATATCGGAAGGCGATAGAGTACAGTTCGAACAAAGTTCCTATGTTAAGATAATAGTACAAGGCGAATTTTGAAGGTACAAATACAACAATTACATACACTTCTATCTATACACTTCTCAGGATCTACTGCCTCTAATGTGCATGTTAGAAGCCACCCCTAAGCTCAGCCAAAACGGCCTTTTGTCTCTGAGCAGACATGTTTTCAAACCGATCAACACTCATCACGAATGTACCACGACCAGCAGTCAGACTGCGGAGGTGCTTCAGATACCCAACCATCTCCTTAAGCGGCACCTTGGCGGTGATGTTGCGCTGTCTCGAAGCAGACACAGGCATTTCAATACCGACCGAAGGCGCCTCAAATGGATCAGCGGGTGCATACACACGTTTCAGGTCAATGGGAGGAAGAGAATCGGAAGAGTCCGTAGGAGCTGATACATCATCGTCCAGCGAAAGGATGTGTCCACCCCGTGAAGAGGAGATATCATGAACAACGGAGCCTAGACTAGCCTCGTCAACACTGATAATGACGTTCATGACTGGTTCCATCATGACTGTTCCCGCGCCAGTAAGGAGATCTCGAAGCGCGGCGGAAGTGGCCTGACGCGATGCGGCTGAAAGTGCCGATGTAGTCGAGTCGCCCCCGAAAAGATGCTGAACTGGGTCGATTGTGAGTGTCACTCGGGTGTTGTGCATTGGGAAAGTAAATTGGGGTCCACGTGCGAGCGCTGCCAGAGCGCCGTTTTGCAGTGATGTGCGGAGGGTGTTCAAATCCATGCCGGGTGGAAGAAAGGGACTGGTTTCTTCCTCGTTCCTACCCATCTCCACCTGCAAACCTGGGGCGCGGATGATAATTTGGTTTCCTTCGATGGTTTCTGCGAGAATTGTCTCTTCATCTGCGGCTTCGGAGACACTTTCTTCATTACAAGGTTCCACCATCGCCGAGCAGCCTGCTTTGCCTTGGCGACCTGCGATCTCTTTCTCGAATATCTTAGTGACGGTGTTTGAGGCGCCGAGGGTAGATTCCCGGTAACCGATTTCAATGCGACCCATCGATGCCTTGGCCTTAAGGTCACCGATCAGACGGTCACGGGCAATTTCGAGGTGCAATTCTCCCATTCCACTTAGCAGAGTTTGACCAGACTCTTCGTCTACACTGACATGCAAGCTGGGATCTTCTCGCAAGAGCAGTGAAAGTGATTCTTGCACTCGCTTTTCTTCACTTAGGCTATGAGGTTCCACGCTGGTGAAGAAAACGGGCGGTGGTACATCGATTGGGCGTAATTGAAGTGTGGTCAGTGGCTCAGGAGGCGTGGGTTTGTTACCTGCGTATGAAAGCAGGGTGTCGCCCGTTCGAGCGTGCTTCAGACCGACCACGACACCAATGTGGCCTGCAGGAATGGAATCCACTTCCACTGCATCATTGGCGTACATCTTCAGTAAGCGAGGAGCACGTTCAGAGAGGTGCAGGTTTGTGTTGAATAGCAAGCTATTGCGGTCAAGAGATCCCGAATACACTCGGACGTAGACCAAGACGCCCCGCTTCGGGTCATTGACCACTTTGAATGCCAGTGCACAGCTGTTAAGTTTGGCGATGGCATCTTTGGCATTCATCTGAAGATTCTTCTTCTTTTTCTTGCCCTTACCGGAGGTGCTGGATTGTTCGCTCTGCTCCACGATAAGATCGCCTGAAAGCAGTCGTCGCAAGCCTCCCTTGACACCTCCAATACTCACTTCGGGATCCGGTGCCTCTGGTGGGCTGGGAAGAAGATTGACCACAGCATCAAGCAAGGGCTGCACACCCATATTCCTGAAGCTGGCACCGGCAAATAGAGGAACGATTCGACTTGTGGGGTCAAGTACGCAGCGCCGGAGACTGTCGATAATGTCTATTGAGGGCACTGCCAAATGATCTTCGTACTCGAAAAACTTCTCCACCATGATTTCATCCTTCTCACTCAGAAGTTCAACTAGAGCAATGCGAGCTCGTCGGAGTTCCTCTGCTAGAGCCGGTTCTTCTGCATCCAATTGTTCTAGGTTCATCATTTTCACAGAACGGCCGTCTTCTCCTTCTTTCCACTTGAGTCCCTGAAGGTTGATGGCATCTGCAATGCCAATAAAAGGCCCGTTTCCTCCTTGAAACCAAGGAATGTGGCATACTGCGGGATATACAGATAAGCGAGAGCTTACTTCCCGTACTGTTCTGCCAAAGGCAGCACCATCACGATCCAGCTTGTTCACATAGAGCACTCTGGGGATCTTATAGGTACTGGCCTGATTCCAGACTTGCTCTGTCTGTGCCTCAACACCGGCAACTCCATCCAAGATACAGACAGCACCATCTAGGATGCGCAAAGACCGCATGACCTCGAAAGTGAAATCCGCATGTCCTGGGGTATCGATAAGGTTGATGGTATGCGAATTTACTGAGCGAGGCACAGATGGGTCTTGAGTCACAGCTCGACCTTCAGCACCATCTCCAGGAGGCCAATGAAAGGTGATAGCAGCGGACTGAATCGTGATTCCACGAGCGCGCTCCGCGGGTAAGAAATCTGTTACAGTCGAACCCTCATCCACATCACCAATGCGCCGAGTAAAGCCGCTGTAAAACAGCATGCGCTCGGTGGTTGTGGTCTTTCCCGCGTCAATATGGGCAATAATGCCAATGTTGCGAGTTCGCTCCAGAAAAGCTTCATCTTGGCATTTTGCCATTGACGTTGAAAAGCATTGCGCCCGTTGAATTTTAAGCTGTAGACTCTGGGCGCAAATATGGCTCTTCACAGGGTTAAAGGATGACCTATATAAGCCCATACAACGCACTCCCGATTGAGGGAGGCGTAGTAATGGAGCTACAACCATTGCCCAGGGTAAATTCTCTCCAAAGAGGGAGAAATATTGGCAATTTATGTAGAAATAGACATTGGCAATCTGCTGGAAATGACACACGGTTTCAAGGTGAATGAAGCTAAAGGGAAAAACGACGGAGCTGAGGGCGGGCTTGGCATTCCCAAGCGTCCATACGTAACTCGCTCCAACCTCCTTCTCTCTCCGCCTCTTCCATTGTACAAACGCCGGTGCTTGACTTGCACAGGCTCGTCATTTCGCTTTTAAATTGCTGTTTATTTGTCATGAGCTTTTAAACGACCATTGCTTGTCTATTATAGGTGCTCAAGGTACGTTCCTCATTTGGAGTTAGCCGGTGATTACTGTGGGGGTCGATCCCCAGCCATTAATACTGACGCCTACAATCCACAAGCAGCTCCTGACCCTTCAATCCCTGTGAAGCCGCTCCTTACATCAACCTCAACACAAGATGGACTACTCGGCTGTCTCGACTGATCCCGACCACCCCGCGGGCCCCTCGCCCTGGGGCTCTCCGCGCGCTGACCGCAACACATTCCCCGCCTCCAACAACGACATCCCGTCATCCCCTTTGCCGGGCCAGGACAGATCCGCGGAGGAGACAGAAGGAAGCCATGTGCCGGTGCCACAATCCCCAGATCTCTCGGCACAGCTTCAGAGCCCTCAATTAGGAGACCCGGATTATGCCGAGGGACAATCTCCCCTAGATGGCTCTCAGCAGCATTCACAGGGCCTCCCCACACGTTATCAGACTGGACTGCGCCAGAACTCTCGCCCTCCCGCGCCGGTATATAAGATTCAAGCCAAGATTACTAGCCTGGAACGGACAGGAAAGAAAGACCCCATTCTCCGCTTCGATGTTCACGTAGGTCGATTCTCCAAAAACACAGATGCACTCAACTTGGGCGGCGCACTGATTATCATACTTGCTATCACAGACCAATATTCCCAAGTTCCGTACTACCCAGTACCGTGATGTCCGCCGTACCCATGCCGAATTCTCCAAACTCGCCGACCACTTGATCTCAGCCAACCCGGAAGCTCTAGTTCCCGCCGTGCCACCACCAGTGACCCCAGCCGGTGCCGGTACCGACGAGGATGAAGCGCGAGTCAAGGCATCAATGCAAAGATGGCTCAACACTGTTCTGAGCAATGAAGTCCTCATCCACGATGACGAGGTCATGCTGTTCGTGGAAAGCGATTTTGGCTACAGCCCAGTTGTTCGGATGAAGCAACCAGCTACTGGAGTGCGTCGTAAGATGTTGAAGCAGTTTGCGCCTCCGCCTGATGACACACCTGAGCTCCACTCTGCTCGCCCAGTCGTGAAGATGTTTTACTTGGCTTCAATGGATACCAGTCACAAGGTAGACCGAGTTGTCAAGGGCCGTCGCGGTATGCTTGGTACACCTTTCTCAACTTTGGCGAAAACTAACAATTGTAGGTGTTGGTCTGGCCGAGTCCGATTTCGGAGTCAAGATTGGTCAGATGAGCGTGCAGGAGACGCATCCTGGATTGGCTTCTGCCTATCGCAAGCTCGGGAAGGTTATTCAGACCGTCGGTGACTTCCATGCTGTGCAGGCCACCGGGGAGGCCACAACCCTCGGCGAACCCTTAAGCTACCACTCCCAGGACGCTTTCATTGTGAAGGAGACGTTAACCAACCGTCACATTCTACTTCGCGAACTTCTCCAGGCCCGACAGACTGCTCAGAGCAAGCGTGCCGCAGCAGACCGACTAAAGGTCAGCTCATCAGTTCGCCCGGATAAAGTTGACGAGGCAATCAATGCTCTTGAGGAGGCACAAAGTCACGAAGATTATTTGACTAAGCGCACCCAGCGCGTCACTGGGAACCTCCTGCAAGAGAAGCGCCGCTGGTTCGACCGCACCTCCAACGATCTTCTGTTTAGCCTTCGCGAGTATACTTTGCGCCAGATTGAGGCGGAGCGTCGGACCTTGGCAACTCTCGAGAGCGTTCGACCCGATATCCGAGCCATCGATTCTTCTGGTGGTTTGAGTCGACTGGGCCGTGAAGCACACCCCGCACAACGCAGACCCAACATTGCCTCCAGCCAGGGTCCCAAGGGTGATGCCTGGAGTGGTGTTCCCCGCCGCGTTGATAGCGCCGGTCGTAGTATGAGCGGTAGCTTCACAGCTCCTGGCGAGGATGAGGGTGATGAAAACCCGGAGTCTGGCCCGGGACGTGTGCGTTCTACCAGCAAGGTTGATTCTATTGCTGAGGACGATGATGATCGACTGGATGCTCGCAACGCTGCAAGCCGGCTGGCTACCAGCACTTTCTGATCAAGTTGCCGAGTTACGTTTCTGTACATGTAGCCTGGACACGATTTCGTGATTCCCCTTTGCCTTTATAACTCGTGTCTCCTGTTATGTCTTTTCTTTGTAGGTCTCGGACCAAATTTTATGGTTATTCTGATACTCCAATCCTCCAAACAATTCATTCTTGTCAAAACTTTTAACTACACCTATCATCCTGTACTCCGCGCATCCCAGGTAGCCAATACATCTTCCAAGCTTTACCACAGGCCATTTCATATTTCATTCGACCAGACCTGCCATCTTCCTGCTCCATCTTCGGGAAGCTCATACCACGGTGCTTTCTCCTCCAGAAAGATATGCTTAGATGGCGGCGGAACGACCGTTCCATCGTCAATAGTCCCCGCCACTATTCCAATCACACCCGGCTCCGAATCTAAAGACATGCTAATAGTTGAACCGCAGCGAGGGCAGAATGTTCGTGAAGCCGTTTCACTCGATTTCCACGTCGTAGGATCGACTTCCCATTTGATTGCACTGACGGGGAAATGCACGAAAGCCTGGTAAGGGGCACCAGCTTGTTTGCGGCATGTTGTGCAGTGACAATTTACCAGATTGGTCGGTAAGATGCTGGCTGTGTAGCGGACGTAACTGCAAGCACAGCTTCCTGAGATCATCGTTTGAAAGTGGGGTGTATAGACAGGTGGTGTGGTGATGAGCTTTGACAGGGATGTATAGTTCCAAGTTGTTTTCGCGGGGTCGAGGTTGACATCATGCGGGGTTACGCGGATGCTATCTACGAGATACGGAGTACAATCGATGGAGCTGAATGCGGCTTAGCTTCTAAGTAGAAGTATACAGCCAGGGCCGGCCCTGTCTTGTTCATCAGTACGTGTACGTGCAATGTCGAAATCATCTCGGTGATTGTCGCGGTGTTTGGCATCGAGGTCCCCCCACTTTTCCCACTTTTGGATCCATTTCGGTCCCAGTTCCTCCATTCAGTGACAACCTTGGAATTTGATTTCAAAGCAAGTCGCAATTGAGTTGACCGGTTTTTATTTCAATCTTCCACTTCTTCTTACAACTTAATAGCTAAATCTCACGTTCTCCTATCCACAAATAACCACACTAGCACACAATATGGCTCCTCAGGTCTTCATGTAAGTTACCCCACTTCGGAGCCCAAGCTCTATCTGACCAGATCCATAGTACGGGTAGCACCGGTTACATTGGTGGTGATGGCCTTTACGCCATCGCTAATGCCCACCCTGACTGGGAGCTTTCAGCTCTGGTCCGTAGCAAAGACAAAGCCACTGTGCTGTCCAACAAGTACCCCAAGATTCGGGTTGTACACGGCGATTTGGACTCAAGTGATATCATTGAGGCAGAGGTCAAAAAGGCCGATATTGTTTTCCGTGAGTTTCCTTTTCTCTGAATTCGATTTAAGTTGCATAGCTTATTAATTTCTTCTCTAGACTTCGCTGACTGCGATCATGTCGCTGCTGCTGAGGCTATTGCTGCAGGCGCCAAGCACCACACCCCCGAGCGCCCACTTTGGTTGATCCATACATCAGGAACTGGTATCTTGACTGTAGAAGACCAGCGTGCGAAGACATATGGTATCGAGCGCCCTAAGGAATACAATGACTGGGATGGCGTTAGTGAACTTGTCAACCTCCCCTCTGACGCATTCCACCGCAATGTGGACGAGATCATCATCAACATTGGCAAGCAAAACCCCACCAGCGTCCGTACAGCAATCGTCTGCCCACCGACTATCTACGGCCAAGGCCGTGGGCCCGTCAACACCAAGAGTATCCAAGCTTATCTGCTAGCTGCGGCTGTTCTTAAGCGCGGAAAGGGATTCCTTGTTGGCAAGGGCGAGAACGTCTGGCACCAGGTCCATGTTCAGGATTTGAGCAATGTTTATCTCGCATTGGGTGATGCAGCTTCCGAGGGTGGTGGTAAGGCTACCTGGAATGACGAGGGATACTACCTGGCTGAGAATGGTTCATTCGTCTGGGGTGATATTCAGCGTGCGGTTGCTCAGGCTGCTTTTGAGCAAAAGTATATTCCCTCCCCCGAGGTTGAGTCTTTGGATGGTGAGCAGACTACGGAGGTCTTGTCGGTTGGTATTTATGCTTGGGGATCCAATTCTCGTGGTCACGCTCTGCGGGCACGAAAGCTGTTTGGATGGGAGCCTAAGCAGCCGAAGTTGATTGAGCTGATTCCTGAGATTGTTGCCCTTGAGGCTAAGGAACTTGGGCTGTGAGGATTTGCTCTACTGTATGAAACAAACACTTTAATGCTAAGATAAAATTGAGAGTGTTGAACCTGCGTTCAACTGTGGCTTAGATTCACTTCTAGTCTCTGTTCTTGCTCAGATTCCAATTCGGCCTGATATTCCAGTCTGAGGTGCACGTGTTGGTTGGAAGTATGTCGACAGTAGAGTTTAGGCAGTGATGGACATTCCTAAATGGGATTACCCGTTGAGGCGCCTATCGACACAAACTGTGTAATTATAAATCACTCGGAAAAACAAACAATCCAAAACTGAATAGGCTGCCACATGGTGGAAAGGTGCAGCTCTGAAATCGAGGGTGTGAATACTGGAAGTGAATGTTGACACCTCAGGCACTAAATTCACGGGCTCCTTCTTTGCTCCGAGCTTTATCAACGACTTTCATCTCCGTCGCTGCCCTTCGCGCCGCGCACCCCGTCAATAGCTTTGGGATCAGAAGTGTTACTGGTATGCTTTTATTGTTCATCTTCCATATCATGCCTGTCATCCTTTTTGCATCTCCCAATTGCTTACAATCCTTCTGCGCTGCTTTTTCAGATTCAGCCTCATGAGCTGCAACCTACCGACATCCCAACCGACCGTCTCTGCCCTCTGCGTCTAATCCTGCCATCCACCCACCATGGCACCTGGGCAGGCAGGTAAGAGAAAGCGCGGTGAACGCTCTTGGCCCAATGAATCGCCAAATAACCAAGGCTCGCGACCCTCACCTCACCGACCCGGTGCACTCAACATGGCAGGACACGGCGGGCATCAGTCAAGTCCCTCACGAGACCAGCAAGATGGGCGCGATCGGTCTCACCGACAATCCAATCGTGGATCTGGTCGAAACTATTCCCACCGCCAGTCGTACGACAGCCAGAATTTTTCGAGTTCGCAACAGAGAGAATCCAGCGCAATGTCTCCGCCCCCGCCGGCTCAGTCCAAGGATGCCACAGAACCTTCGCAAGTCAATGGCGAGCCCACTGTAAATAACCCTACGCCATCGCCTGCTCCCAATACCCCCGTCCTCCCTTCACAACCGCGACCTGCTTCACGATCTGGCTCCGAGACCACCGTCAGTCGCCCCGCAGGTCCGCCTCCTCCCTACGATTACGAGTTCGTCACAGATAGCGCGGTTCACGAATGGTCGTCGGCAGGAAAGCAAAAGGTCGTGGAAGAAGGAAGCGCGGCCCAATCACAGCAGGATCTGCCGCGCTTAGCATCGATCTACCAGGAGCTTATTCGGTCAGCGATCTACGGTCGCCTTTCCCCGTCTGAAGCCGGTTCCGCAGTCAAAAATATCATCAGAGAGAAAGCCACATCGCAGGATGTGGATATGGAGGCCGAGGGCCACCAATCCTCAAGCTCGCAGTTTGACGCGCAGTCTCTATTCCTTGACACGCTTTCTATCGTTACAGATGCTGACACTTCCAACCCTGCCCTCAAACCTCTTGTTTTCGCAACCTCAATATCTCCAGATCTCATGCGCCTCCAGCTTGAAACACCCCTGTTGCAGTCATTGGGATTGGTCCGCGACACCTTTGCTCGTATGGGTATTCGCAAACAGACCAACTTGCTTTACCGACAGTCGAACTACAATCTTCTTCGCGAGGAGTCCGAAGGTTACTCGAAACTTCTTACTGAGCTTTTCACAACAAGCAACAATGAGCGGCCATCCAGTGAGGTGGTTGAAGACACTTTTGAAAGAGTCAAGGCTATGATTGGAGCCTTTGATATGGACGTTGGTCGAGTTCTTGACGTGACATTGGATGTTTTTGCTGCCGTCCTTGTCAAGCAGTACCGCTTCTTTGTCAAGTTGCTCCGCGCCAGCTCCTGGTGGCCAAAGGAGGACCCGCTCTATGCAGTGGAAGGATCCCAACGTGCTTCTGGCCTGCCGACCTGGGCCCTGCCCGGATCGTCAGGCTGGGTCACAACTGAAGAGGAGCGACTGGAAACTATGCAGGCGAATGAACAGCGTGATCGAGACTTCTGGGATCGTGTGCGCGAGGTCGGAATTCAAGCTTTCTTTGAGCTTGGTCGCAAGCCACTTTCGGAAGAGGAAAAACAAACTGTTCTCCCAGAACCCAACAGTCTTCCTGAAGAGGAAGACGCGACCAAGGTCTGGGTGCAAGAGACGGGGACCCTACCACCGAAGGGTAACCGAGTCGCCGCGTCCCTCCTCGGGTTCAAGCTGCGATTTTACTCTTCCACGGCCCGGACAAAGTCCGATGTCTTGCCCGATAACCTCATCTATCTGGCTGCGCTACTTATCAAAGTAGGATTCATCTCTCTCCGTGATCTCTACGCCCATCTTTGGAGGCCCGATGAATCCATGGATGATTTGAAGTTAGAAAAAATGACAGAGAAGGCGGAGCGGGAGAAGGCTGCAAGACCCGGAGGTGGAGTCAATGCCCTCATGATGGCTGGTGCTCTATCAGATGATACACTGCCACCATCCCGTATTCGTGACTCGGAGACGAGAATGGCCACCCCATCAAAGGATCAAGACGCCGACAAGCAATCGATCAAAACAGATAACGACCTTCCAGAGCCCTCGGACCAAAAGGTCTTGCTCCTTAAGAGCCTCCTAGCCATTGGCGCCATCCCCGAAGCCCTCTTTGTCATGAGCAAATTCCCATGGCTGATGGACGGTTTCCCTGAACTTCCAGAATTCATCCACCGCATCCTCCACCATTGTCTCAGCAAGGTCTACGCTCCCCTCCGCCCCGAGAACCCCCCTATGAACCCCCCGCATACTTTCCCTGGGCAACAACAAATATTGAGCACCGATCAATCTAATGTGGCCAAAGGCAGGCTTCGACTTGTACAGCCCCCTCCGCAACGAGTTCTCCGGTGGGCTCAGTTGGACAAAGAAGATACAAGCGATGGCACAGACTACCGCTTTTACTGGGACGATTGGGCAGACAACATTCCGATCTGTCAATCCGTTGATGATGTGTTTGCTCTTTGCTCCTCCTTCCTAAATCTGTCCGGCCACAAGATTGGACAAGATACAGTTCTGCTTTCAAAGCTCGCGCGTATCGGCAAGCACAGCCTGACCAACGATACCTCAGAAGAGAACAGAGATCGCTGGCGAGACCTATGCAAGCGCCTTCTTTTGCCTTCCCTCAGTTTGACCAAGGCCAACCCTGGTATTGTGAACGAGATGTTTGATCTTATCAGTTTCTTCCCTCGTGAAGTTCGATATAACATGTACGCCGAATGGTACTCAGGCCAGACCTCCCGACTACCTGATATCAAGTCTGCTTTTGATCAAGCGAGGGCCGAGACCAAGGACGTTCTTAAGAGGCTGAGCAAGACCAACGTCAAGCCTATGGCTCGTGCACTTGCCAAGATTGCATACGCAAACCCAGGCATTGTCATCAATGTGGCTATCAGCCAGATCGAATCATATGAGAACCTCATCGAAGTCGTGGTGGAGTGCGCTCGTTACTTTACCAACCTAGGTTACGACATTCTGACTTGGTCACTGATCAACTCTCTTGGTCAAAAAGGAAGAAGCCGTGTCCAGGAGGGTGGCTTGCTCACCAGTCGCTGGCTGAATGCTCTGGCTGCCTTTGCTGGCAGAACCTTCAAGCGATATTCAGTCATGGACCCGGCTCCGCTGCTTCAGTATGTCGTGGAGCAGCTACGCCAGAACAATTCCACGGACCTCATTGTTTTGGAGCAGTTGATTAGTTCGATGGGCGGCATCATCTCTGACACAAACTTTAATGACAATCAAATCCAAGCTATGGCAGGTGGTGAGCTACTCCAAGCACAGACAATTTTGCAGCTGCTTGATAAGCGACATGAGTCGAAGACCACATCCAAGCGGTTGATCAAATCACTGACCCATACCCGACTCGCTGGTCAACTTTTGGTTGCAATCGCACAAGAACGACTCACATGTGTCTTCAACGAAGAATCTACCGAGCTCAAGTTGCTTGGAAATGTCTTCGATGAGATTCACCGCATTCTTACTCAGTACCTTGATCTGCTGCGCAGCAACTTGTCGATAGATGAGTTTGACTCATTTGTTCCCGACCTTGGATCACTGATCAAAGAGTTCGGCGTCCAACCTGAAATTGCTTTTTGGATTCAACGTGTCAGCGTGTCCAAAAAAATTTCAGATTCAGAACGCTTGAAACAGGAGATGGAACCTTCGCCCAAGGAGAATCATCCTGCTGAAGATGTGAAGATGGACAATGCCGATGACGGAGAGGTGACAGCGGAATCTGGCATGGATGTTGATAAAGATGGAAATACCACACCTCCGTCAGTCACCTCAGACCCATTGTCTGCGAACCCTGTCATGCAAGACTTGATCGACAACGTCAAGTCTGTCCTACCTGCCGACACATGGGAGATTGTGGGACCGCATTTCTATGCAACTTTCTGGCAACTCTCTCTTTACGACGTGCACATTCCTGGAAGATCTTACGAGGATGAGATTGATCGATTGAAGCGCCGAGTAGTCATGATCAACAATGATCGCTCGGATCTCAGCATGGCTGGCACGAAACGGAAAGAGCAAGAAAAGAAGCAGATCACTCAACTTCAAGATCGGATTCTTGATGAGAATAAGAACCATCTGAAGGCGTATGATCAGACTAGGAGAAGACTACAGAAAGAGAAGGACCGCTGGTTCGCTGGCATGCGTCTTAAGCATGATGCACTGAATGTTGCTCTCTTAGAAAGATGCTTCATTCCGCGCTTGCTCCTCTCGCCCCTTGACGCCTTCTACTCTTTCAAAATGCTCAAGTTCCTACACAGTTCCGGGACCCCCAATTTCCGAACCGTTGGTTTGATTGACCAGCTGTTCCGTGAACAGCGGTTGACGTCGCTCATCTTCCTTTGTACATCAAATGAGGCTGATAACTTCGGACGATTCCTTGGTGAGATTTTGCGTGACCTAGGTCGTTGGCACGCCGACAAGGCTGTCTACGAGAAGGAAGCTTTCGGTGCCAAGCGAGATCTTCCTGGCTTTGCAAAGAATGTGGGCCCCGAAGGTATACCAACAATGTTTTTGGAGTTTGAGGACTTCCGGCGTGTGCTGTACAAGTGGCACCGGGCCCTCTCTCATGCTTTCAAAACTTGTTTCACTGGAGGTGAATACATGCACATTCGCAATGCGATCAGTGTCCTCAAAGCTGTCGTCCAGAGTTTCCCGGCTGTTAACTGGATTGGCCGTGACATGTTGAACTGCGTTAACAACCTGAGCAAGACTGACGAGAGAGATGATGTCAAGATTCCTGCCGCCTCACTAATCGGAGATCTCAATCGACGAGAGAAGAAGTGGATGCTTCCACAGGAGTTTAGCCTTATTAAGGTTCTGCCAGGTGACCCTGGACAGCCCAAGTCTGGTTCCCAACCGCCTGGACAATCCCCTACTCCGACAAATCTGAATGCCACAGCACCTGAATTCCAGCCCACAGCTCTAGAGTAAGTCGCCATGTGCGGACAATCCGATGCACGATCCAGCAACTGACTCAACCACTAGATCCACTGATAAGAGACAAGAAGCGCCTGGCAAGATTGAAGTCGAGGATGGTGAGATCGAAGATGCAAAGATGGCGGAGGCTGCGGATGCCATATCAAGAGGCGAGAACCTTGAAGATGCAGCGACGAACTCTACCGCCATGGACACAAGCGGGGATTCGGCACAAATTGATCGTCCGTCTGCAGAACAACGCGTCCAGGCTGACCCGCCCTCGCGGCCTCGGCCAAGCTCCCGAGCTCCAGATTCAGGTCGTATGGCAGATATACCGAAACGTCCAGAGCCCGAGCGCATCAATCCACGTGAGCAAGCGCGTCGTCCACGCATCAGCGAAGGCAGATTGCCTGCACGTCCTGAGCCCGCGGATGACCGACGAGACAGACATTCTGACTTCAATCCACGGACGCGTCATGGTCCCGATCATGGTCGTTCGTTTGATGGCCCACCTGGAGATGTCAGAGGCCATGGACGTCCCTCGGATCGTGATCGCGACTTCCCAATGAGGCCCCTACCAGACGATCCAATGCGCGGTCCACCATACCGCGAGGGTCGCATGCCACGAGAACCGGAGTGGCCCATGGATCGCCAAGGACGCATGCGTCCATCTGATTCGTTCCATGGCCCTGAGCCTCCTGTTCGCACTGAGCTTATGCCGGACTACCCTGACCGGCCTGGCAGCGGTCCCCGTCGTGGTGAACCAGCTCGGCCGGACAAGGATGATCGACGACCGTATCCACCACGCGGTCCAACTCCCCCACGATCTGACCTGCCCAATCGCCCAGAGCGGTTCCCCAATGATCGTCGCTCCGCCAGCTTTAATCAGCCACCTCCTCCCCGTCATGATGATCTGCCAAGAGGCCCACGCAACGATCGTGCAGGTGCTGAACCAAGAGACCCGACAGCCGGTCCCGATATGGAGCATGGTCGACTACAGCCTCCAAATGATATTCCATCAGGGCCAAGGAGCAGACGGGGTGGCCGTAACGCCCCTGGCGCACAGCCTACTTCGGCTTCGACCAATGGTAAAATGCCTAACCCTGACCAGCAACTGCCAACTGGCCCTGGCCGGCAAGGCGGACGTGCAGGTCCTGCTCAACCTCCTGCCACACAACCTCCACCTTCAGAGCGAGGCGAAGTTTCGGGAATTCACCCTGATCGACTCAAGCACTTTGAAGGTCCTCCATCCCAACCGACATCAAACACAGCAATGAATCCTCCCTCTGGTCCCCGTGCGGGACCTGGCGGACAACCGGGCTCTCGTGGATCTGGCAATGAGCGCGGACGCAGTGACAAACGATTTGCTGGCCTCAACACCATGTTGCAGCAGCAGACCAATAACCCTGCTGATCGTGTTCCTGCCACTCCGCCACCTCGCGGACGGGGTGCAAACCGACAATCGAATGCCGCAAACCCTTCTCCCCAGGCTTCGAATCGTCCCCCCACTGGCCCAGCTGCATCTGGCGATGACAGCAACCCCCGCGGAAGTGGCAGCGGTGGCCGTGGTGATCTGATTGATGATGCTCCTACACCTGAGGCTCGTCGCTCAGGACGTGATCGTGATCGTGACAGTCACCGTGACGGCCGCGATCGTCGTGGCGACGAGTCCACCAACAGCGGTGGCAACAGTCGCCGCGAAGACCGCCGTGAGCGTGATAGGAACCGACGCAGTGATGTTGATGGTGGTGCCAGTCGAGAAGAGAAGGACCGTGACCGCGAACGTCACACTGAATCCCGCGAGTCTATGCGTCGCAACCCTAACTCGCGTGAAGAGGCCCGACGACGAGACCGTCGAGACCGGGATGATGGGCCATCAGAGACGGGCCCTATTCCTAGTGCCAATGCGAACGCCAACAATGAAAGTGAAGGCCGCATCCGTCCTTCTTCTTCAATGGGAGCACCACCGCCCCCACCTCCTCCACCTCCGCCACCTCCATTGCCCACTGACGACAACCCACGTCGCTGGAGCTCTGGTGGAGACCGTGGGAATCGATCTGACAACCGTGACCGGGAACGCGAGCGCCGAGGTGACCGTGGCCGTGACCGCGATCACCGAGAGAGTGGCGGCTCAAGCCATCGTAAGCGTGGACGCCCTAACCCAGAAGACAATGCCGGTGGTGAAGGACCTCAGCGTGGCCCACGCTCGGGCAACGAAAATAAGCGTCCCCGTCGTGGGCAGTGAGTGCCATTTAGTGAAATTCGCACGAGAGGTGATGTGATGCCTGTGCCAACCCTACAATAGTTTTCTTCGACGATTCCCCTTTTCCTCTTTTTCTCGCTTTTCTTTTTTTTTTTTTTTTCTCCTCTTGTTTTACAAGTTGCATCCTGGTCGGTGTTTAGGAACCACATCCACTCTGTATTTTCTTTCTATGTGACTCAATATCGAACTCAAATGAAGACAAGCTTTTGATAATTGAAACGATCCCCTCAGGACGTCAGAATTAGTCTTGCCTCGATAAATCACAAGGCGATGTCAAAATAAGTATATTCAACTCCAAAGGTTGCTACTGCCATGAGAAAGGTCTCAGACGTACGAAGACATATCGGTACTTTATTTGCGTATTCTATTTGCGAGAGAAATGTATCATTGGGCGTCAATCGATTATTACTCGTATGCTTATGACCGAAGACTAAGTCCTGAGAACAGCATGGATCACAAGCTACTAGCAAGTATATCTCATTACCTGAGCTTGAACGCCTCAACATCAGTGGCCATCAAGATAGACATCCCTAACGACAGAAAAGGCTGCAAGTTCAGGCAACAGCACACTATAAAAGCTTCGATCTTTTTCAATCCTCTTCTTCTTCTCTTCCACCACATATCACGCTTCGGTCATATTTCTTCCATATCTTACTTGGATACCTTCAACCTTGGAACGTTCCTTCAATATCCATCTTTTATCCTCCTTACTTCGCTGCTGTTTCATTTGTCAACTCACCAACACTTCTACGTCCCACGTCAACTATTCAGCTCCTCCATAACTCGATACAGTCTGAGGCTGGATTCAATCATCAAACTGAAAAAAAAAAAGGGCATTTCGACCATCAAGGATCGGCAGAAAAAACATATTTCCTACCAATTCAAAGTGATACCCATCAAAGGGGAATATCAACGAATCTCGAACTCAGTCATCAATGTCATCGCAGGAGATGCAATATCTACGCTATCTTCTTCGTGCGCCTGTCGTGGTGACAACTAAAACAGACGAAATGCAAAGCGTCTGTATCCACAACGGGCAGATCCGGCCTCTGGGTCAATGCCCTTATTGAAGGGAAAATTCCCTTCCATCAATTTAGCCCGGGGGCTGAACGCATGGAATCTGAGCGGTATATGATAAGACTGCGTCAGCTCTATTGCGTCGACGGGGAACTGCCAAGGGCATCTCGAAGCCCTATATTTTTATAAGCATGCCAAAGCGAGGACGAATATAATTACGGAAGAAGTGCAGAGAAAAAGGCGAAGGGGGGGCAGAATCTCGACATGATGGCCAACCGACCCATGGTCAATCACTCTATCAATTCCTTGTTCTTTGAGTAAGGTGTTCAACATCGATGAACATTAGATGCGTGGGCACTGGCTCGTCCGAAAGTCCATGTTCTTCATCATCAAGACCAGAACGCGAGAGTTGGCGGCAACGGGAGTAAATATGCCTTTGTTCAAACCTACGTTGCCGGCAAGTATTACGACAAAATGAAAAACACCAACGCCGGTCTCAAGCTTGGCAGTATGATCAGCTTCATGCTCAATGCATATCATATCAAGCTTAATGCTCGTCGAAGCATTGGCACCAAATTACAACTTAACGTTGCTCACAGCGCCTCTCGGACCTGTTCTATCATAATAGGCTCCCAATACATGTGCAAGGAAATGCTCAGGAGAGATTTAATACTTTTTTCCTTGCACATCATACCTGTTTCCATGGGGTGCTACCAAACATCCGTTCTTGGAGAACGGTGGACCTCTATCACAAGCTAGGGTATTTTGATACCTTATCAAGCTGCTAAAGAGAGCAGCGGGACCAATTGTGTGGAACATCTATGCTGGAAAGCATTCAGCGCTCAGAATTTATCTGTCCAAAACCCTTCAAAGAAGGTAAGGCAAGTTTACTCACTTATCACTCTATTCAAATGCCTAATCTAATATTTGGCTAGCGGAGAGTATCAACAGATACGCCGGTGTAGGGCCGGTGGCACTAGCCATTGCAGTGCTCCCTCTGTTTCCTCGAATCCTGCGTGATTTGCTTGCCATGATCCACTCAAAGACTGTTCTGTGAGGGGAGTGGGCAGTAAGATCCGTAATATTGCTTTCTCCAAATCAACGAACAGCCATGGCTTCTGGGCGCAGCGATAACTTCGGAAAACGCATTATTTACTTGTATTGCAGCCTGCGAGAATGCAATCCTAGGTTGAAGGATCCGAAGAGGCCGACACTTGTCTTGGAACCAAGTTTACCTACGCAGATCTGCGTGGTCAATCAACAGATAGCCAGGACGATACAGTGGAAACGTGATGTCAGAAGAAGTGACGCCAAGACCTAGTGAAGGTTTCAAGGTCTGGGAAGAGAAAGACATTGTGATCCTAGAATGTGGCGATACATAGGTAGCTGCTGGTATACTCGGAGTTTCACTTATCTCACCTAAGTGGGACCTATGGTGCTTCTGCTTCTGCAGCAAAGCTTCGGGCTTCCATTTCCGCACATCATCTCATTAGAGGCGCACGTGGAGCTTATAGCTCTAAGCGTGTGTCCTGGCTCCGTGAGGCCATCACGGCGCCATTACATTGTTTTTGGGGTGCATGGTCTTGAAACCCAATCCTAAGAGCGGGCGGCCTCTCAAAACAAGTCAAGCTTCTGCAAAATAGCGCGACTATCACATTTGTATGTGAGACTGGCTCCGGTAAAGACATCGATCGCAGGCTCCTAAGATTTCTTTGCCAAATATGACCTGGCAAGCAATACCTATATAGTTGAGCGCATTCAGCCTGCTGCAGTGGACGGTCGATGATTGGGAAGATATCTCACGAAGATGAGAGAAATGCTATACAGACAGCAGATTTCGGTTTACTTTGGTCAGTTCACTGTGCAGGCTCTATTCACCAGACCTTGCTCGCAAAGAATTCCATGAAGTTGCCAGAAGTGAACGTCTTTTAATCGATCACTCCTGAGAACTTGTTTCAGGACGCAAATCGGGTCAAAAAAGATGGATCCCTGAAAAAATAACAGATTACGGTCTTTGAGAAGGTCCAGAAGCTCCGGGGGTCGGATAGGGGTTGTTCAAGGGCCACCTTAAACAGGCAAGACGTTAAAGCATGTGTGTTGCCTTTCCTTCCCTATCCCAAGAAGCATGTGCGGTGTGCTCGAGGCAATTGTGGCTTCCCATCTATGAGGGGCAATTCTTCAAAATTGCTTCTAATTTGTGGCTTATTCGGTGGGCTCTTAGACACATGAATCCATGTGAGCTCCATTTGAAACCGTCCACATCGCAGCTATGAAATCCACGCATCTCCGTCTTCACTCAGATGAAGAGTCAATAGGGAACTCTAGCCATGTCGTCAGGCACGAAGTGAGACTGATGGTGCACACAGTGAATTCTACGCGGAGGAGTTCATATGACCGATCAAAAATGCGGGTATTATTCTTGCACAAGCTGAATTTGGCGGAATTTAAGCTGCGATACCTGTCTTCGGGCATTAGGCAGCTTTTCATGGTGCGACAAATGAACGGCGAAATGTCGAATGTCAAAGCTGTCATTCGCAGGTGGTTGGTGCAGTCCTTGTTGAAGACGAATGGAATATCGATAATGATCCAAGTAGGATCTAACTCTGCAACCGTTCAAAACACCTCGAATAAGGCAGAACTGCTTTGGGAAAAAATTGAGCGGCAGGATGTCGCTACCAAAGCACTATATGTAGGTTGTCGGTGAAGTCCTGGAGATAAATGGCAATCAGCGAGCTTTTTGATGTTAACTGTGAGCCAAGCAAAAAATGCTTTTGAGATTGCAGAACTTGTTCAGTCTATGCAAAACAGCCCTGGTGAAGAAAAAAGAAAAAAAAAAAAAAAGAATTGCGAGGGCCAACTGCTAGAATAAGGTGATGTATTTGGGAAAGAAGTACGGGTTGGTGGGAAACATTTTCTCATTGACAGAAATCAGAGCGGTGGTTTTCCTTTTCAGAACGCCTGGAGCCTTGGGCTTCATTGGCTGCAACTCGAAGATCGATCATCATTCGTGACGATGCAAAAAAAAACTTCTCAGCAGCAGACTTCAATTCATCAAGAACACCAGCCTTGTTATTCCTTGGATTCTACATCCAAACTCCACACTTCCCCAGGTGGCACTTCACGATCATGAACTTCTTTCGAATATACTTCCGCATGATCTGTTCCTATATATGAATTACGAACACATGTATTACGTTCTTTGTCTGTCAAACACGGTCTCGAAAGAGTAGTTGGGATTGTTACTTGAAGCGAAATACCCCTTCGATACGGTGATTAGAGGGCCTATACCATGTTGAACACATATGATTGTGTCTTTTCGGCTCGATACAGATTTTTCCTCAATGAGCAAAAGACCTCATTTTTCTTGAGTGCCTTGACTCATTTTCATGGTGGTTGAGTGAGTGACTACAATATGGAGTTATAGAGGCTTTTTTGAGAAAGCACAGAGAGCAACTGTTGAGGAAGCCGTTGACAAACGCGAAGAATGGCTTCAAGCATCTCTAAACAACATGATACGTTGGTCAGGGACGCACAGCATCCGGCGGCTTTTTATGCAACAATACAATCTTCGTGGATGGCCGGGAGCAGACAACTGTTCCACCGGACGTGCTTTGATTGCGTTCGGATAACCAATATTGCTTGGGTCCCGCCGCTATGGGATCTTATGCATGGTATCGGGTTCGAACAACCTTTACACCTTACCATGGTGGTTCTTAACAATGACCGACGCTCGAAGACACTGGAGACAGGTCTGGTGTGCACCTGGAGAAACTTGCTTAGTGTCTATGACACTAGAGGCCTACTGAAGATGCCGCAGTTCTCGGCCCTGCTGGCCTGACGACCCTTCTAAGGAATGGCCTCACTGCCTCTACTAGGCCAGCATTAACGGCAGCCACTTTGATGGCGCATATGTGCACGATGAATCAACACATGAAGTGACCGTAGAGCGAAAGTCGACACAAAATATACGAAATTACGGCAGATGGTTCACGTTCTCTCTACTCCGAGTAAAGCTCATGTCTGCAAACAAAGCTTTGGCCTCGGAAATTCTTGGGAACCACACCAGCAAAAGTTGACGAAATCACGATTTGATATCTAGGTCCCTGTTTCCTTTCTGTGTCTGACCGGCTCCGGGCGCAATTGCAGGGAAATAATACAGGGCTGAAGAGTCAGCAGGCAAATCATTGCGGTGGTGTCCCAGGAGAGGTTTCCAAAAGGTCAAATTACTTTCGCAGGTGGCACTTTCGCGGCCTATTGCAGAGTGTAAAGGGCTGCGCGACGATCGGAAGTCTCGAAGCGAAATCTGCGCAGGGATAAAATGGTCATACACAGGATAGACATGGTCCTCAAGGCAGAAATAGGCAGTCTCAGTTATCATGATTGCATAGGGGACAAAGGAGGAATTTGGGCACTTGAACCCTCGTACCTGCGTCTGACCCGCCTGCCGCCTAGGCTGGCAAGTGGAAGGGTCTCTCTGAATTAAGGTCGATATTCAAAGCAAGAAATTCAAGCCGCAGCGATCATCTAACTCCAGAATTCAGACATATGGCTCATTCTTGGCATCGAGGACGCCTTCGTCAATGTGCAAGCTATGATCATATACCCTTTGGCCCTCTCAGTCAATCGCAATGTCAAAGAGTTTAGAGGCTTCAGATTGCTCGAAAGAATAAGGAGACCGTCGCTGATGCTCGCTATGTCTAATGCTTACGAATGGCGATTTCACCTCAGAGCCCTGTCTATGGCGGTTGTGCACCAAATTCCTGCCATTCCTGCCAACTGAAGAACTTGATTGAAGTATTGGAGACCCTAGCCTACTCGGACCACAGCATCAACTTTAGGATCGGCTGATGAGAACATAGAATTGGCAAACAGAAATTCCTAGTCATCAAGTTCATCTACTTTGAGGCAATGGAATGGCTTGAAAAATTGCTTGAGTGAAATCCTAGCCAGTAAGCTCTCATGAATCGGCCCACAACGGGGTCTACAGAACCGTTTGAATGGAGGTTGACGCTAAATGGTGGCAATCTCTGATAATTCTGGATTTATGTCTATGAATAGGGTGATTCCCATCATTTGAAGCACCTGTGGTACGTGATTCGAAGTCTGTTTCATAACTTTTATTGAATTCAAACACAATTGAGTACATCAGCTTCTTTTGCTATCAAATAGCCAATGATACCAAACTGGGGCGAGGCTTTCGACTACCAAATCGCTAGCTGGCTCGTCCGCAATCTGGTTTTGGCAAGCAATTGACTCAAATTGCGTTTTCAGGACCGTCGCCTGGTTCACTCACCATCAATTGAGGTCTTCCATTCTCATGGAGAGGGAACTATGGCCAATGACAGAAATTCTGCATTTGCACGAAATTTCAACCAAGCTCATGGTCACCAATACTTACAACCTACCTAAGGTTCTATCATGGTCGTGGACTCATGGTGCCCTCCAGGCTTCCACGGTGGAAGAATTTTGTCAATGCTTGCAAACATCCGTGGCAAGATTCTTTTTTTCCCTGGGTGATCAGATAAGCCTGCCACAAGCTCGAGCGGAAACTTTAGATTTTTTCATGGTATTTGCTCGACATTTTTGTGTGGGTGCGGCAGTTCTGGAGATATTGAATATCAGCTGTATATATATTTGACTGGGGCTGTATGTACTTGCAGGCCTAACCTTGGAACATCAGAACTTCAAGTTGCATTTACCAAAGGCTTTAACATGTTTGTTTAAACACCAATATATCAATTAGAGCTAGAGTACCCCTTACTTGATTTTATCATTTTAGCTTCTCTTACGCACCGTAGCGGGCACCTTGCATATACCGGTCGGAATCGTCATGGCAAACTTTTTCTATTCGATGTTCCCGCTATAGTACCCTAGGTCGACATCATTATCATCCAATGGGGTGATGGCGCAATGGTAACGCGTCTGATTCCAGCTTGGGAAATCCAGAAGATTGGGAGTTCGATTCTCTCTCGCCTCATTTCTTTTTTGTTCTTTTTTGTGTCGCGGGCGGGCCTTAGGGCAGGAAAGGAAAGTGGGGAATACGTTCGTCACGTGCGGCGAACTATATATCCCGATTCATTCTTTTTGCCCAGTACTCGACGATAGATCAGGCAGCTTCTGACATTGGCTGTTCATGTTCTCGCTTCTGTATTCTTCCTCTGCTGGGCATCTTCACAATTGGGCCTACAGGCTAACTTCTACCAGTCAATTGTTACCTCGAAACCCGGCTTCACAAAAGTCAGCTCACAAACAGAAAGCCCCCACAATACTAAAGAATTCCCAGATCCATGGGCCAGTCGCTGCTACTCAATAGCTCAACTGCCATCTTCACAGCCCTTCTAACAATCTTACTCGGCATTTTCACCCGATACAGACCCAATTCCACAACCGGCTATTCCACTCGCATTCATGATCCTATCCATCGGGGTGAGAAGGTAGATTGGACTGTTGGGAGTATTTGGATCGGGAGAGTTAAGGTAGACGGTGATAATCGGAGTCAAAAAAGGTAGTTGAATGCGAAATTAGCTCAAAGGACAAGAGATTCGCCATCGCGGGGGAAGATAACATTAATCAGCCCCTCGCAAAAGATACCTCTTTCAACCTCGACTCTGCAAATCCCCAAAGTAACCAACAATAATGAGATCCTACCTTCTCTGGAGCTTCATCGCTCTCACAGGCATCAGTAATACCACCAAGCAAGAACCCCTACAACGCCAACCAACACAGTACTCAACACCAGATCTCACCAGAATGATATCCTCATCCCCCCTCCTAACATTCTATAAAAACATCGTCGAGATCCCCTCAATTACCGGATCTGAGTCCCCAGTCGGGGAATACATAATAAAATTCCTCACCTCCCAAAACCTCACAGTCGAAAAACAACTCATCACGTCATCCCAGAAAGAAAGATTCAACATCTACGCCTACACGGGCACGAATAGATTCCCAGATATCCTCTTAACAAGCCACATGGACACCGTCCCTCCATACATAAACTACTCTCTCCATGCACCCACTCCATCCAGAGAAGACCTAATGATCGCGGGAATAGGCACCGCAGACGCAAAAGGTAGCGTCGCCGCAATAGTCTTCGCAGCACTAGAAACAATCCAGCAAGACCCCTCCGCATCCCTCGGATTATTATTCGACGTGGGCGAAGAGAAATCCGGCATAGGAATGAAATTCTTCTCTGATTCAGACCTGAATCCCGATCTAGCAAGCTACCACACTGTCATTTTTGGGAACCTACTGAGTTAAAGCTGGTTGCAGGGCACAAAGGCAGTATGGGCTATAAGATCATTAGTAAAGGCAGAGCTGCGCATTCGGGGTATCCGGAGTTAGGCCGGAGTGCTATCTCGGCCATCTTACCTGTTCTGCAATATCTGGATAATCTACAGAATATCCAGCCTGGGGATGGTGGACTTTTGCGGAGTGAGAAGTTTAATCGCTCGACGTTGAATATTGGTGTCCTTAGTGGTGGGCAAGCAGCGAATCTTGTTCCTGCGTATGCTGAAGCGAGTATTTCTGTTAGACTTGCGGCTGGGACGCCGGATGATACGAGGGAGATTATTTTGAAGGCTGTTGAGGCTGTTACGGGGGGTGAGGGGGGTGTTGTTGTTGATTTTGGGGAGAGGGGTGGGGCGGCGCCTCAGGTTCTTGACGTTGTGGAGGGGTTTGAGGTTGTGGCGGTTAATTACGGGACTGATGTTCCTTCTTTGGTTATTCACGGTGATAAGAAGGTCAAGAGGTTTTTGTATGGACCAGGGAGTATTCTTGTGGCTCATGGGGATGATGAGGCTATTACTATTGGAGAGTTGGAACGGGCTGTGGAGGGGTATAAGCGGTTGATTGACTCGGCTTTGTAGGGGATACGAAGATCTAGACAGAGAATAATATGGATGGAGGCTGATTATGTTGTATTGAGGTTTGTTCTTGAATCTGCAAACTTGGAGGTTGTGATAAAAGCTAATTCGACAAGATGGTCCGGGGTATCTACATAAGTCGACATATGTGACATGAATAAGTAACAACAAGGAAAGGTATCGCTAAGACGAATAATAAAAAGAAAGACAATCAAGCCACAGCAGTAACGGCTCTTCTCCCCTCCACAATCCCCTCCTTTCTCTTCATCCCCAACCCAGTCAACTTCTTCAACAACTCCTGTGCCCGTCTTCTCCGATGTCTAGTAGGAGCATCATAGAGCCCCAAGGCATCAGGCGAATCCCCCTCCTTCCAAAGAGGATACGAAAAATCAGTCGGACGTTTCTCCGAAAGATTCCCCATCGATAGACCGCGATACAACCCCGGCTCGCGACTCTGGAAAGCATCCCAGTCTCGTGCTTTCGTCTCGACGAGATTGGGTTTTTGCCGGGTACTGTAGAAGCGCCGCGGAGCAGGTCCAGTAGCCGTATTAGGTACTGAAGTCATGCATGTCCCTGCAGTATCTTTAGGTAGATCCACCACCGAACTAGATGTCCAGTGCTCGTTGGTTTGAATATCCAATGCGCTGAGCCAAGTGGTACCCTCTGCACCAAGGAAATCCGATTCAGGGAAGTCGGGTTCAAGAATGTGGGTATTATCCCGGCCCCAGGTGTTTTCGAATTGGGGTGGACTGTAGGGGAAGAGATCAGGACTTTCAGACCGGGAACGAGAGCGAGAGCGGGTTGTCTCCGTGCCGATGCTTCGGCCGCGGGGACGACTGTCATATTCCTCCTCTTCCGGAGGTGGCGTTGAGAGTCGTTTCCCGTAGAAACGACCCGTCCCCGCTGAAGCGCTCATCGAGAAACTATTCTGGGGCCTTGTTGATTTGCTGGAGTGTAAATCGCCGGAATCCCATTCGTTCGGGATATGATTATCAATCGCGACAGGTGAAAGTGAAAGCTGAGCCATGACGCCCTGAAATCCCGGGCGAGATTCATGCGAATGAAGCGCGCCATTCTCAGGAAAGGAGGGCCAGATGGGAAGACCGCGTTCAATACTTTCAACGAGCAACCCACACGAATGTTTCACGTTGTCTTCCAGGTCCTCTTCGATATCTTGTCGGTGAATTAATGGTTCCGCGGGAATAAAGTATCCTGGTTCATCGGTGAACTGGTAGTACCGGGTTGGTTCTGTGTCAAATGCAAGACCGGTTGGGTGAGACGAGACGGGGGTGGTAGCTGAGCGAGAGCGGCTGCTCGAGGTGCTTGGTGATGCGGAGGCGTTCATTGTAGCCGCGCGGCCTCGACTGTGCAAACTCCGAGTGAACAAGCGTTGGCGCATCTGTGCAGCTTTTTGAGAGAGCTTGCGCTCCATTGTTGGATATGGTAGAGTCCGGTGGCTGGTTGCAGGGTAAATGGCTGGTCCGCAAGCGGGAGGTTGTAGAGGTTGAAGAAGGGAACAATGAAATTAGAAAAACAAAGTCGTCGACGCCTGCACAATGAAAAAAATGTGGCAAAAGGGAGCTCCAGATTCTAAACAGTAGAGTTTCAGTTCCGGCGAACTTCGATTGGATGTCAATTCGGGACCAAAATTGGGTGTTGGCTGTACAACGGGGTTGGTATGCGGGGGGTGGGAGAGACAAATTCAAAAGTCTCAGAGCACGAGCATATCGATGAAGAGCCGGGGGGCCTTGTCAGCTTTATTCTTACGCCTCAAATTTATTCTATATTTTAATTTTAATTTTATTATCATGGGGGGAGTGGATCTCTCTTTGGACAAGGATCGATGCTGGGTTCCGCGATAAAGGAAACCTAGATTGGCGCGAAGCAACGGAGAGTGGATCGAAACGGTTAGGGCTGGAGCTGGCCGAGTGGACACAACCGGTATCAAGGAGCGGTCCCTCCACCTTAGCGTGATAAACATCCCAAATGCGTAAGATCAACGCAAAAAGCAGTTCGAGTTCAGTCTAGACCAGCCGCTAATTCGGGGCGGTTTTCTTGGCCTGAACTCGCTACAGTAGATAAAGGCCGACCAAATAAAGGGCGCATGTGAGGGCAATCACGAGAAATTGGATGCCGGACGTAGAAAGAAGATCCAATAAATGAAAGAAAATAAGGAACGACGCCTTCTTACATAGATTAAAACGCACAGGCACCGTGCGTGTCGACACCTATTATTCGATCGCAGGGTCCAAGAGCCCCACAAGGAATGTTTGAGACAATGGAGCGCTCCTTGCAAGATTCAAGGGAAATTGGAAGTCAAGTGGATTATGACATCGACACAGCACCCTATACTCCGTCTATTCTTTCTGGAAAAACATCGACAATCCCGACACTAACTGTACTCCGTACTCGCACTCAGATTCAAAACCTGCTCTAAACACACTAATTCGGGCTGAATCTTGACCCACCGCTTCTCGCCCCCATATAAAATTGCAGGTCAACTGGTCTCTGACGAAAATTTCCCGAACCACTTTTCAGCTGCGGTCCAGGTCCTGTGGTCCCATTCGGCCACGCCGCCCCATCGGCACCCATGTCCTCCCGGATATTTTTACCCGGGAAGCTTGTTGCCTCGCTTACAGTACTTGGCACAACTCCGTCATCGACGTGACTCACTCACACTGGCTGGATCCTGTACGTGGACTTGCATGCGCTGGTGAACCTGTTGCGGCGAAAGCTCCGCGTCCGAGCGCTGAAATGTGTGGCGGTTTGTGTTTTGGTCTCAGGGTTCAGCGACGGGGCAGGGATTGGTTAGGTTTGGGATGGTGGTACTGTGGCTTGGCTTATCTGGACCCTAGACCCTGGCCATTCGGTAACAGTCTTATCGTGGCTCAATTGGGTAAAAAGCCATGCGCTAAGATACACCGTTTGCTACTATTGAATTTTGGGGTGAAAAAGGAGGTATAGATTTGGAGGAACCGACCATTTTCTATATTCTATCTAAAAGGCGACTTTGTCGCGCGACCATTGGTCGTTTTGAAATTGACCCATCAACCTCGGAGAGAACTTCGGAAGTGACCCGGAGGATGGGTCTGATGGAGAGCAGTTGGATGCTTCTTGTGCAGTCTTCTCGACATGGATCACGTCCAAGTGAGATTCGAGAGAGGCAGTTGGATGCTCATCTCCCTGACTAGCGAAACGGATAAAAGAACGGCAACCTCTACTTCCCCTAGTGCGCCATGACTGCTGTCCACGGATCACTCAGCCCCGAGATAGCTTATCAAGTGAGACCGGGCGCGAATCCGTGGGGACAGGAGCATGGGGTGGCTGCAGAAATACTGCGCCGGGCACGATTTTTAGTTGATGAAAAATTTACCACGCGGTAATGTCCTCCACCTCGGCCTCACCGAATGTGCTGCTTTTGGTGAGCTTGGTGACGCTCGCGACGGCAGCGGCACCCTCTGCGGTGGTATGGGCCATGATATCGGGCAAAACCTCGTGGAAGAACTCCACGATGTGGCGGTTGACCTGCTCGAACTGCAAGAGGAAGGCATCGTGACCCTCTGGGCTGTCGATGCGCTTGAGACGGGAATCCGGGATTCCAGCCGCAATTTCCTGCTGCTCGGCAAAGGTGAAGAGTCCATCGGACTCAATGCCCAACACCAGAGCAGGCTGCTCAATGGAAGAGAGTGCCTCACGGACACGGTTCTCTAACTCCCCATTGGCACGGTGGCGGGACACGTCGTGCGTGTCGAGCTTGCGGGTCATAGCGATGTAGCAGTTGGCATCAAAGCGCTTGACAAACTTATCTCCCTGGTAGCGAAGGTAGGATTGCGCGGAGAAGTAGGTGGGCGGACGCGGACGACCTGCAGAATCGGTCTTCACTGGGACCTCGGGAGAGAAAGTCTTGGTGCCCGAAAACTGAGGGTCCATGAACTGAACCTCCGTCTGGGTCTGAGGGACAGGCGAGTTCTGGCGGCTCTCGGAGCGAGAAGTCGCACCAGGCCGATGGCCATCATTATGAATGGCCCAGTGCTCATTGGGAGGGGTAGGTAGCTTCTCACCGCCATTGATGTTAACCCGCTTGGAGGGGTCGGGCACATTACGACCGAATCGCGACTCGAAGGAGTCTCGGGAACGGTATGTGAGGAGCGCCGACATGCGGGCTGCCCCAAGACCGGTAGCAGGGGGATCATTGAACGGATAGTATCCGTCATCATACTTGGGGTCAGAGTAAATACTCTGTCTTTGTGCTTCACCCCAGCTAATGCACCACGCGGAATGACGTGCGGACGTCGCAATTGGCACAATCGCCCGAACATAGTCCTTGCCAAAGAAAGAGTATTCCAGGGTGAGCATACCACCCATGGAACCTCCAACAACGGCGGCGATCTGCTTAACACCCAAATCATCCAGAACCAATTTGTGAATGCTGAAAATCAATATTAGAATGTTTTCATATATTTTCCGCGATATAACTTACTTCACGTCGTCACGGACAGTGGTCAAAGGGAACTCGGGTCCATAGTAACCATTTTCAGGCTTACCATCCTTGTATGTCACAGCGCTGGCGCTTCCGTAAGGGCTGCCCAAGCTGTTCAAGCAGATGACGAAAAATCGTGACACATCAAATGCTTGACCCGGACCGCCGAGGAGTGGGCCCCACCAGTCAGCGACATCGGCGCTGCCACTCAATGCGTGACAGATGACCAATGCATTGTCGCCCTTGGGTGACAGGACACCCCGTGTGGTGTATGCAACGGGAACATTGTAAAGGGTCACACCAGACTCGAGTGTGAAAGACGGAATCACGGCAATGTGCTGGTCTTCAATCAAGCTGGCGTAGGGGTTCTCCGGCTGCGAATCGACTCTCTCTACGGGATTTAGTAGCCGTCTAGTGTAAAAGGGGGATGGGAATAGACTGACGGAGTCGCTCAACAGGAGCTGTGCTTGCAGTGGACATGGCAAAAGATTGAACAAAAGCAAACAGAAGATGTATGGAGAAGAGGAGGAGGCGAACGAGGGAGTTTCCCGTAGAAATGTTCCCTTCAGTCCCGCATATGAGTCAGGAACCCCGCGGGCAGATTCAACCAATCACAACAAAGGCGGTGAACTTCCATTGTGCGTCCACATTTTCAAAATTCAAAATCCATCTTTCTTTTCTTCTTCATACACAACACTCTCGCCCTCACCAACCCCAATCACCACCCCCATCCATCAAAATGGCCAAGACCAAGAAGTCCGGAGAGACCATCTCCTCCCGCCTTGCCCTCGTCATGAAGTCCGGCAAGGGTGAGTTTTTAATTCTCTTCCAGTGTGGCCATCGGTCGCTAACAAAATTTTCCAGTCACCATGGGTGCCAAGTCCTCCATGAAGACCCTCCGCTCCGGAAAGGCCAAGCTGATCCTCATTGCCGGTAACTGCCCTCCTCTGCGCAAGTCCGAGCTTGAGTACTACGCCATGCTCGCCAAGGTCCCCGTCCACCACTTCAACGGCAACAACGTACGTTACACCCTACCCAAGTCGGCATCTGCCGCGGCTGCCCAGCAGCTTTACTACTCTGAGAAGAAGTCGCAATGCCACTTCGGAGAGTGAAGTTGCTCAGCGATGGGATCTCTTTTTGAGGCCCGGAGAGCGAATTGACTAACCCCTAAATAGATTGAGCTCGGTACCGCCTGCGGTAAGCTCTTCCGTTGCTCCACCATGACCATCCTTGATGCTGGTGACTCCGACATCCTCACCCGTGAGGTTTAAATGCATATGCATTGCCCAAAAATTTAACGGGAAATTGAATGATTGACGACATCGGGTTGGATGCAGCAGCCTCCAGCCCATCCCAAAATGTTGCACGTACCCGGTTCAGTTGGGACGGTGTGTTTGGGTCAAAAGTGGGAATAGGCGTTGTGTACCATAGTCATACCCTCAATCTATCAAGTTTACCTTGTGTATAAATTTTCATATATTCGTAAATCATTGTAACCCTAGATATCGAGTTTCATCACATCAGTCTTATCTCACCTGCACTGGAGTTCATACGGAGGGTCAAATAGGCTATCGGTACGTTGAAAGATCCCGAGACAATCTTCGATCATGATTCTATCTCAATGTAAAATAGGACATCTCTCTCTAGATACAAAAATTTTATGATACACCCGACTTAACAGATAACATGGGATAATCTGAGGTTCTTGAATCGGGAGAACAGGGCACGTTGGTGGAGCACCCTTTCCTGCGATCACACTGGCCAAACGTCTCGGTGGCAACGTTGATAGAACCAGGCGTAGAGTGATCACCACTCCACCTCGGCTGTATATTCAAGTTATCATACCGTGATCCTTGAATCTCTTCAATAGTCGTCGGGCTGCTGTTAATAACAGCGACAAGACTATTCAGCACCGTGAACTCCATCTTCAGCTTGATGCTGTACACTAACGGCTTATAAGACGTCTGAATATCAAAGTGATCGCTATACTCAAGTGCTAAAAGTGAAGCATCAAGTAGTATAGCGATAGAGTTGACAAGAACAAGATTCAAAATAACTCTTCTACCTTGGAGGCCTTTCAGCAGCAAAATAGGCCTCAGTCCTGTGACTGTCTCCCAGATATAAAGAGCGCTGATAATAGTCTCCTGAATCGAGAATCCCGTCAATTGAATCCGTTCATAAATATTGAATGGTGTGACAAAACTGTCAACACCATGATTGCTTCCCAGAAACAGTATTGTAGTCGGGATATGAAAGATGCAGGCATTGATTATGATCATCCACAACACGTAACGAAAATACTCGCAGTGCGTAGACACAAGGTGTAGTCGAGAGTATAGTACCACCGATTGGCCAGTGACCATTGCATACCACCCGATACAGATCAGGACGGACATAAGGAAGTTTGGTGCGAGTGCGAAATAGCGAAGGAAACCCGAGATAGCGTGGAGGAGGATCCCAAATGAACAGACTAGTATACTCCAGAAGTATAGCCCGTGTCGGCGGCGGAAAGTTGTGAAGGTTGATATGAGGATTTCGACGACATTGTAGCAGGCTAGAGCGAATAGTGCTGCCATCACCATGGCAATCGCCCGCGATACATGGATTGGACCCGTTTGGCCTGCCATTTTTGTTTCCTCAGCGAGTTGTATAATGGGGTTTGTGCGTGCTGTATAGCTGTGGGTTGGCTCTGGTAGCGCAAGGTTGCCCTTGGCGAGCTCACGTTGATGTCTGCATTTCGTGAATGTCGAGATCGCAAGTCTGAGGGGCACAGTAATGCCTTTAGGTAAATGACGAGGGGCACAAATAGGGGAGACGTCTGTCTTGGCGACCGATCTGCCTTGAATCGAACGGAAACGAACGCAATTAGAGTTTGACGAGGCTGAGATGATTGGCGCCAAGAACCTTTTGACATCACCACTACCGGGGATACTTCGGGCAGATAGGGACAAAGGATAGGCTCATTTGTCTAAAATACTCATTGAAGATCTGCAGTCAGCTTTACTTGAAACTGGCAAGAGAATGCCTTATGATGCTATGGGGTGTACCACCTTCCTAGTTCAGAAGACATATTGTAAGACAGTCTGTGTGGGTCCTCCGAGCCACTAAAGCATAATCACGCAGTGTTTATTCGATGCCCAATTGTATTAACCGTGTCGATGGCACTATATTCTTCGGCCGAACGCGTCAGGCCTCGATCCTTCTTCCCCAGCCTTGTAACAGACTGCTCATCATCTTGTATAAATTTTCCAGCCAAAACCAAAATGCCAAAATAAGGTTAGAGCTGTAAAAGTGACTGTATCCCTGACAATCACTGCCCAGTGGATCCATGGTCCATTTTGGATACTATAAATGTCAACGGTATTCATGCTAGAAGTACTCGAAACGGTATGCAACGGATCGTGAAGACGTAGATGGCAGACTCTTGGCGGTCTGTTGCTTTCAATACCGTTTTCGAAACTCTAAAATTTGGCCTTAGCCAATGTCCAACCAGTTATATAGAAACGATAAAATTCAGTAGACGATGTTATTTCTTTGGGTTGGAAGCCTGCGGCTCGAGATGGTTGAGTTCCAATTGGCTGTGCTGTCGATCCAGTCCCGACAGTCTTGCTAGTGCGACGCTAAAGGCCGCCATGGCTGACTGGGGACAATTGCGGATTTCGAGGAGAATCTAGACCCCTGAGGTGGTTTCCGTTTACTCCTTTGGTACTGGTCACTTTCAGGGGGTGGTTGGGATTCGGCGGTGCTGCAATAGAATCAACTCCTAGCGCATTGATTGCTGATGCCGCTGGATTGACTTTGCCATATCTGCCCAAGGAACAGCCATCTTGGCAAAACAGTCTTTTGGTATTCCAACTAGGCTGGTATGGTTTTGCTTTCATCCTACAGGGAGTTGATATCTTCCGGGTGTGATTCTTCCCACAGGTCAGGTTGCACGTGATTCCTCTGTTTATACATCAGCATCTCGCTTCCGTTGTGCTTGCTCATTGTCCCATGATGGAGGGACTCTCACCAATGTACCTATATGGATAGCCGGAGTACATCGAAGACATTTCCTTTATATCCATGGCTGGAGATTTGTGAGCCAACAGGTTCCGTCTCATAACAGTCATGATGCCAAAGGAGGCACCACATTTCCTTTCTGAGGGGCTTGCCGGTCAATGGTATCCCCATTCGCTTGAATCATACTTCAACGAGGCCCACGCGGAGGACCATTCAAGGTTTGTTGGAACACACATAATCGTTTTCAAACATTAGTAAACGACATAAGGAACATGAATACAGATGTTCGTCTCGAGAAATTGTACACATTTTGGATGGATTATGCAATGCTCTCTGGGCAATCAATTTCTATTATGTACATCGATTGTCAGTACTAATGTACTTACATTGCTGGAGCACGAAATATCTAAAGTAGCTGTGACTATCTATTCCATGTCATCTTCGATAAACTTGGCGGGGGCACCTGTACCCCCACGTCCAGTTTGCGGGGAAATGATCTACATCACGCTATACTTTCACACCAGATTATAGCCTAAACTCCCCTCAAAAAGAGCTAACAAAATTTAGCCTGAATAATTCCCCAATGAGGACGATACATGACGCAAGGGCGGATTTGGGTATAGCCGAATAGGAGCCGATTTGCGGATCTGGGATGTTATTGCGGTCCGTATAAAGGCAATAAAGTTGAGGTCAATGACACGGTTCAATCAGCCCTCAAACGCCACTATGCAAGCCACCTGGCTACTTGTTTACCTGACCTTGGGCTTTGCTGCTGCAGAGACCGGCTTAGATGGCTGGCTGCGATATGCTCCATTACCTTGTTCTACTCAATGCCTATCCCAGCTACCCGTCAACATCGTCTCTCTCAACTTGACCAAGACAAGTCCTGTATATGTTGCAGGGTCGGAGATCCAAACGGGGCTCAAGAGTATTTACGGTGTAAACGTCTCGAGCACTGTTGATCAGTGCAACTCCTCTTCATCGGTCATCGTTGGCACAGTTGAGCAGTACAGCCAAACCTGCGGTTCAACAGTTGGAATCCCTGAGCTGGCTGAGGATGGATTCTGGCTGGACACCCGGGGTCATTCAATCCAAATTCTTGGCCAAAATGAGCGAGGTGCTCTCTATGGAGCATTTGAGTACCTGTCGATGCTTGCAAGGGGGAACCTCTCTCAAGTGGCCTACGCAACAAATCCAGCCGCCCCTCTTCGCTGGGTGAACCAATGGGATAACATGGACGGAAGTATTGAGCGAGGCTATGGAGGCGAATCGATCTTCTTCAAAAACGGGGCCATTGTTGAGGACTTGACTCGAGTTCATCAGTACGCTCGTCTCTTGGCGTCGGTCCGAATCAACGCGGTCGTAGTCAACAATGTGAATGCAAATGCCACCCTTCTCACTCCTCAGAACATAGACGGACTAGGAAGAATAGCCGACGTTTTTCGACCATACGGCGTCAAAATCGGTATATCGCTGAACTTCGCGACTCCCGAAACGTTGGGTGGCCTCGACTCTTATGATCCTCTGAATGCAACTGTCATCAAATGGTGGTCCAACATGACGGACCAAATCTACCAGAAAGTGCCTGATATGGCGGGATACCTCGTGAAAGCAGACTCCGAAGGAGAGCCAGGTCCACAGACATACAACCGGACCTTGGCTGAAGGCGCCAATCTATTTGCTAGAGCTATTAAGCCCCATGGGGGCATCGTCATGTTCCGCGCATTTGTCTACAACCAACTCAATGAGTCGAACTGGGATGCAGATCGTGCGAAAGCTGCAGTCAACTTTTTCAAGCCCCTTGATGGCAAATTTGACGATAATGTGGTGGTCCAGATCAAGTATGGACCTATCGATTTCCAAGTCCGTGAGCCCACATCGCCTTTATTCGCCAACCTTTTTAAGACGAATATTGCCATCGAATTGGAGGTTACACAGGAGTACCTTGGACAACAATCTCATCTTGTCTACCTTCCTCCTTTGTGGAAGACTGTCTTAGACTTTGATCTTCGCGTTGACCATCAGCCATCTCTGGTCCGTGATGTTGTGGCTGGCAAGCGTTTCAATCGTACACTCGGTGGATCGGCAGCCGTTGTAAATGTCGGCACCAACAACACATGGCTTGGAAGCCATCTATCGATGTCGAACTTTTATGCCTATGGCCGTCTAGCATGGGACCCTACTGCAGATGTGCAGAGTATTTTACAGGATTGGATTCGGTTGACCTTTGGTCTGGATCGTGCTGTGCTCAATACCATTACCGAAATGTCCATGCACTCTTGGCCTGCTTATGAGAACTATAGTGGTAACCTAGGCATCCAGACTCTAACCGACATCTTGTACACCCATTACGGACCCAATCCGGCATCGCAGGACAATAACGGCTGGGGCCAGTGGACTCGTGCTGGTCCTACGAGTATTGGTATGGACCGCACAGTACAAAATGGAACAGGGTACACTGGGCAATATCCTGAGGAGATTGCATCGACCTACGAGAAAATCTCAAGCACGCCCGACGACCTTCTCCTTTGGTTCCACCATGTCAACTACACCCACAGATTGCATTCGGGGAAGTCTGTGATTCAACACTTCTACGATGCCCACTACAACGGTGCAGAGTCAGCCCAAGGTTTCCTAGACCAGTGGGAGACTCTAGAGGGAAAGATAGACAACGAGAGATACGCTCATGTTCGACACCGTCTTGACTACCAGACAGGTCATTCAATTGTGTGGAGAGACGCAATCAACGACTTTTACTACAATCTCTCCGGAATACCAGACTCTGCTGGACGCGTCGGTCACCATCCTTGGCGAATTGAGGCCGAGGATATGAAGCTGAATGGCTACGATACCTATACTGTTAGCCCATTTGAAACAGCCTCAGGCTCTGTGGCTATTGTCACATTATCAAATGATACAGTGGGGACAGCGACAACCACACTTGACTTTCCGTCGGGGTCATATGATCTTGCTATCAACTACTATGACCTGTACAGTGGGCAATCAAGCTGGCAGGTCTATCTGAATGATAGACAGGTTGGTCAGTGGGTGGGTGATGCGGAGGATCACCTGAGTCATACACCTTCAATTTATCTAGATGGGCACTCTGCTACTCGAATCAAGTTCCGAGGAGTCGAGATCAATAAGGGAGATACATTGAAGATTGTTGGTACGCCCGACGGGGATGAACCCGCGCCAGTGGATTATATTTCAGTGCTTCCGGAGGGACTTGTAGATTGAGAAAGTAACTAGATCTATACATAGGTATCAGTCTACACTGAGCTTCCAGGGAGCAAGCTTACTAGCCAGTAACAATTTACAGATCATGAAACATCCATTGATGAGCAGTCGCGGCACGCGCCCATCATCCATGCACTAAAAGCATTCTAAGAGCATCAGCGATATTTGATCGCCATTGATTTATAGGCAAAAAAAGCGTGAAATTCCTTCAAGAAAATGTAAGACTGCAAGTCAAAGTATATGCAAAAGGTGGGGCATGAAGAAGTGAATGTCTTTTCGCAATGACGGAGTGCCAAGACCTTGAAAAGCCGCGCGCGTCCCCGGATTCAATCCCTGTACAAACTTAGCTTTTCCATCCCAAGAACTCCCCAAAATCCTCACATGTCCCCACAGAATGACTGATTACACCTCATGGAAGGTCGCTGACCTGAAGTCGGAGCTGAAGAATCGCGGTATCCCCCAGACTGGCCTCCGCCTCAAACAACAGATCATCGACAAGCTGCTTGAGGAGGATGACAAGGCGCAACCTGAGGGAAATGCTATCGCCTCTGAATCCGAACCACAACCTCAAGCTGAGTCAGAGCAAGAACCCGACGCCGAGAAGGCGCACGCCCCAGATAATGCTCCTCCCGCGCAAGAATCGCAACCCGAACCTACGCCCGAAGAACCCCAAGAGAAACCTGTAACACAAGAAGAACCTGTTCAACCCACTCCTACCCATGACGAGGAAAAGACCGAGGATGCAGCCGAACCTCAAGTAGCTGCCGAAAAGCCGGAAGAGGAAAAACCAATTGAAGGGGAAACCACAGAAGCCGCGGCGCCTGAGGAAAAGGTCGAAGCACAACCGGCTGAGGAGGCTCCTGAGGAAGCTGCTGAGCCGACGAAAGCTGATGAGCCTTCAATGCCTCCTCTTGCCCCGTCATCCGAAGCTAACACGGGACTTTCCACGCCTCTCCCTATTGAAGAGGCGTTGGAAGATAAACGCAAGCGCAAACGTCGCTCCCAAAGCCCCGTCCCTACACCGGAAGCGATGGCAAACAAGAAAGCTCGAGCACAGGAAGCTAGTCCCCGGGTCCAGATGGACGAGGACCATGAAGATTCTACTCAGGACAAAGAGCCCGTGGCTTCTACAGAGGAGCAGAGTGCGCCCGCGAAGCAAGCCCCGTCTGCACCACACAAGGATGCGCGCTTCCGGGGTCTCTTCGCACCCACCCGCCCAGCTGCGGATAGGATATCTCCTCCGCCCCCGGCTGGTGACATTACAATGGAAGATGTGGAAGTCGAACCAGCCTTGCACCCAGCAACCGCTGCCGTCTACATCGATGGATTGATGCGCCCAATGCAGCCCCAAGCACTCCGCAACCACCTAGTCAGTCTCGCAACTGCACCCGGCTCCGAACCCAACCCCAGCGTTGTCCAAGACTTCTTCCTCGACTCAATCAAAACCCACTGCTTCGCCGGATTTGCCGACATCGCCGCCGCATCGCGCGTCCGCGCCGCCCTACACAATACTACATGGCCCAACGAGCGCAACCGCAAGATCCTCCGCGTCGACTTCATCCCCGAAGACAAAATCAAAGAATGGATTCAAACGGAGGAGTCATCTCGCAACCGCGCTGGCCCCCCTGTCCGCTGGGAAGTACGATACGAGTCCACGGAAGACGGCATGCGTGCCATGCTCGCGGAATCAGACGGGGTGAACTCGCGCGCAGCTCCGCCACGAACACGAGATGGGTTCAACAGGACTCCACCTTTGGGTCCGCGTGGCAGTGTTGCGCAGGCACAGGCGGATCGTCGGCAGTCAAATGCCCCACCTGCGCCTCCGTCGCGGCCCGGACAGGGGTTTAAGCCTCTGGATGAGATTTTCGAATCTACTACCACGAAACCTAAGCTTTACTATAAGCGCGTTCCGCGTAAGGTTGCGGATAAGCGATTGGATCAGTTCGATGAGTTGTTGAGTAAGGGTTCGTTCCCGCGTCGTGGGGGCGATGAGATGCGACGCATTACTTTTGAAGATGATGATTACTTTGTGGATGTTGGGCCGGAATATGGTCCTCGAGCTTTGCAGCGACGTCAAGGACGAGGAGGCCGGGGAGGACGACGACGTGATTAAAATGACCAAAAGCAGATCCATGTGTATGATACCTCATGTATGATTAGTGCATTCCATATTGATTTCGAGGTTCGTTGTAATAAGCCAAGTATAAAGCCAAGCCCCGAAAACCAAAAATAGCAGACCTTCAATCCGATCGGCAAAATCTCGCACGTTTTATGTTTTGAGTCTGGGGTTCAAGCCACACCTTTTTTTTCAATCCTGCAATCTTAAAGTGATTTCCTCCTTTCTCATACATTGTTGCTACCCCTGTTGATCTCCCCGGATCAAACGGGCAAAAAGTGTCCGTCCTCCGACACACTGACACACACCCCTTTCAACATCCCGTCACTGTCGCAACCGGCACACACCAGCCAGAATGGGCTGGACTGTGTGTAATGCCACGGAGGAGCATGAGAAAAGTATGTCCTTCCTTTTCCTCGCGAAAAAAGAATACCAGAGCTGACCCGACTCGCGAACAGTCTCCGAGACCGCCCTCTGGGATGGCGGCGTCACATTTCACAACCTGAGCCTGATCGTGGGTGGTGTATGTGCTTTGCTGGCCTGTATCATCTCCATCATCCTTATTATGACACATGCCATGCACTACAGCAAAGCGATCGAGCAGCGCCAGTAAGTCGTCATTTGGTGAAGCACAGGCCGGAACGTTCGGGCTTTGAATCTGGAATGTCGCGATTATGTACTGACTTGTTTTCTCGGTGTCTAGTATTATCCGCATTCTATGGATGGTTCCTATATATTCGATCGTCGCATGGCTCAGCATCCTATTCTATAACGATTCGGTCTATTTCGAGGTCATAGGTGATTGTTACGAAGCGTTCGCCATTGCCTCTTTCTTTTCCCTCATGTGCTCCTATATCGCACCCGATTTGCATAGCCAGAAGGACTATTTCCGCGGTATCACACCCAAGCCGTGGGTTTGGCCTTTAAATTGGTTCCAGAAGTGGGCATGGTGTGGCGCAAGTCGTGGGGCGTGGCGGAATCCACGTAGCGGCTTGACATGGTTCAATGTAAGCGGAGGTTGCGACGGAGATCTGTGTGATATGATACTAACAAATGGAAATTACTAGGTTATTTGGGCTGGTGTTTTTCAATACTGTCTGATGCGCGTGTTGATGACCATTGTCGCGGTTGCCACTCAAGCTACTGGGAGATATTGTGAAGAAACGCTCAGTCCTGCTTTTGCGTACATTTGGGTTCTCGTTATTGAATCCATTAGTGTCACCATTGCGATGTACTGCTTGATTCAATTCTACATTCAGATCAAGGATGATATCAAGGAGCACAATCCTTTCTTGAAGATCCTCTCGATCAAGCTGGTGATCTTCCTTTCTTTCTGGCAATCGGTATGTGCATTCACCCCTCGAACTTTTAAAGATCCTGCTGACCTATTCATTACAGGAAGTCATTAGTTTGCTCATGTCCAGTGGCGCTGTCAAAGCATCGAAGAAGGTCAACTTAATAGATCTTAAGTACAGTCTGCCAGAGCTTTTGATTAACATTGAAATGTTCTTTTTCGCCATTTTGCACTTATGGGCTTTCCCGAAGAAACCCTACGTCATCGCCAGCCAAAGTGCCGAGGTGACCGATTTCTATGGCGCTGGCAAGGGATCTTACGAAGGAGGACGATGGGGTTTCAAGGCTCTAGCCGACGCAATGAACCCACTCGACCTATTAAAAGCCGTCGGCCGCAGTGCACGCTGGCTTTTTGTCGGCCGCAAAACCCGCACCCTGGATCCCAGTTACCACCAGTCCACAGTTTCGACGGATGCCATCGGCCTGCAACCCCCAGAATCAGGAGTCGTTCAAGGAACCGCCTACCAGGGTGCCACAGCCATGGCTGGTGGACGGACGGACCGCTATGGTGCTTCGCCTTCACCGGACGAAGAAGGCGCTGTGCTTCTCGCTCACGCTCAAGCAAATCCGGAGGTTGCTCCTATGGGTACTTCGCCTTATGCCTCAGACGCAGAGGAGTACCTCGCTGGACACTCAGGAAGCCGTTACTACGGCCAGGAGAGCTCTCCTTCACCATACTTCCCGCCTGAAATTCCCGACACTACTTATGACCCACATCCTGCAGTCCAGAACCCCTATGCATCCCCTAACCCTTACGCCGCCCCACACCCTTACCCAGTCGATGGCCCGCTTCGTGAGCAGGTCCCCATGCCTATCCCGGATCCATATAGACCTCCACCACCATATCCAGAAAGTCATCATGCACCATGATACATGATACCTTCCGTGTTGCACGGTTCATTATAGATTCTGCATCCACATACTCGTGCAGGCAAAAAAGACTCCGGGCATATTATCCCTACGCTACCCATGAGCAGCTCTTGATTCCAGTTTGATGTTTCTCTTCTTTTTCTATCTCGTTTTCTTTGGATATGAATACCCGCCACATTTGTTGGCATGTCCTCTTTCCGCACAGTTCTTATGCAGCCATTCATGGTCATGGCTTGCATCCTATTTATTTTTGTTGATACCGTCGACGATACTTGTATGTACCTTTTTTAGGTGCAACTATGAAAAGATTTATGTGTATGATAACGTTGCTTGAGTATTTGTGTCATTCGGACTTGCCTATTAGAATTCAGAATAATAGTTCTGTCATTTAACATAAAGCATGACGCTTTCGAAAATCACTGAGTTGAATTCCAATGCAGATTAGAGATCTTTTCGTATTAGGTTCGGCGAATAGAGCGGCAGGACTAATTTCAACACAGCATTCGCATATGATGTACTCACACTCTACGTTTTTTTGATGAAACAATTTTACCACGGATCGTGACCGGTGGGAATCAGTGAGGATCTTAAGATTTGTAGCCACCCAGGGACTAGACACGGGGTTTCTTCAACAACTTGTCCTATACTCGTTCCCGGAGCCGTTCCCACATTGCAGTCTACGTTTTCAACTTCCTAAGTTCACTTGGTCTATATTAAGGTACAGTGAGCTTATAAACTCTTATTAATTCGTCCCGGTTATTGAATAATAATGAGAAAATATGAATCACATGAATTGTCGTTATCTCGTCTAAAAGCCTCTTAGAATGAGAATATGCTCAAACGCCATTTAAAGCAAAAGAATAGAAGCAAGAATTGAAGGCCCCATAATTGACATCTATTTGAAATGGAACCCATATATCATTCAAGATCTCATAATCTCTTAAAGCCCAAATCTCATCTATCGAGGATAATATCCAGCCATATCACCTTCGGGATTGAACTTCCCAGCAAAAAGCTCCTCTTCAAAGCGCGCCGCCATAGGATTAGCACCCTTCCGCCCAGAATTCGTCTGCCGTCCTAGTTGAACAATGGCGGATTTCCGGCCGAGTTCACGCATGGACTGGACGGTCTCACCTACTTTTCCGAATAGGGAAGCAAGGAGGACGTCGTTATGCTGGGAGACCACGTCTTGGGCGAAGGTGCTTTGGTCAGATGGGTTGATGATATCAAGATGCGAGATGAGGGAGTTGACGTCCCGAAGGATTGGGTGAGACCATGTTGTTGAGGGAGAGTCTGTGGAATCTGAGTCTGGGGAAATGCTGGAGACATAGGATTTTATAAGGGCTATTCGGGATTCTAGGATGCGGACCGCATTGAGGCGGGTGTTGAGGTTTGCGATCACTAACAAAGGAGATAATGTTAGATTTGCAAATAGAATGGCAGGATCGAGAGATGATGCTTGCGGCACTCACTTTCTTCCTCTTCCTGAGTTAGCTTAGTTGCGACTTGTTCTTCCTTCTTGCCCTTTTCTGTACTTGGTACTGTAGATTGCGATTTGGTGTCGTTTGCTGCCGCCGCGGAATCGATCTCTGCTGCTGCTGCTGTACCAGAGCTCTGGACAATGGTATTGACACCAATCATCTCAGCTTCGCCGGTCTCAACGGAATATCGTAGTTCGCGGAACCGCAAGCTACCCGCTTCCTGGCCGTCGATCTCCATGTCCTTAGAAGCATCATTGAAATCATTCTCTAAAACACTTTCGTAGATAGTCAATGGGAGTTTCGAGTTGTGTGCTTCGGATGCTTGGAGTTGTGAGGGGTGGAAAGCTAGGAAGACGGCGGATTCGTTGTACTTCTGTAGGAGTTGGCGGTGGAGAGGCAAGTGTGAAGCATCGGGACCAGTCGTTGGAGCGGTGGACCACCATCCTACTAGTTCAAGTGGTGGATCCTTGTGCACGTCCTTGACTGTGAGTTGTTAAGTAGTAGCTCAAGATGTAGCCTGGTGCGGGGAAGCCTGGGAAGGTATACTGACATTGCTGCAGTCGTTGCTCAAACCATACATCAGGAAGTAGGATCTCGCCATCAGGTCCCGTTGTGGTATAGCATTCGAAAGCATGCTCTAATGTGATCTCTTGTCCATTTTGTTGGCCTAGGAGAGCGCCTAGAACTGGGCCTTGCTGCTGGCGTGCGGTATGGCGGGTAAGGTGGTCGGAGATAGTGAGAAGAACAAGCGGGTGGAGCTGAATATAACGACCCGAGTCAGACAGCCTTTGAGAAACAAGAGAACCGGTATCCATGCTTGCAGTCTCTATCAAGGTTATGAAAGGTGAAGCGTTGGAGTTGAAGTGATAGCTGTAATGCGGTCTGGTTGGCAGAATACAGGAGTGCCTGAGGCGACAATCAAACAGCTTTCCCCGCCAATTGATCTCTTCTAGATCTCTCATGAAGTCAACCTTCAAGCTTTCGTATCATGGCGATCCCATCTACCTTTGATGCGGTAAAGGCGCATCTTGCCGATGTTCAGGCGGATCCATCTACGTCCCTCGATATCTCCGTTATCGAGCGCCTTAAACTCCAGCTCGTTGAAAGCACCGATCCAACTGTCCCCGCGACACTCTTATCGCAGATATCAGCTCTCTTACCTATCCTCCAGGAAGATCCCACACCCCTGACTACTCTTGCAACCAAAGCGACCGGCTATTTCAGCTTTACTGATCTCCGCTCTATCGATCCTCCCATCGATCTCGTCGCTGGTTTCAAAGCCCCCTCCCCACCCATCAACCTTCTTGCTCTCTCTTTGCTGGCCAAGGCGGGGCTAGCACCTGGTGATGCTGCCATAGTAGCAGGAGACTCGGGATTGGTCTCATCACTTGTGGGATTATGGCTGTCAACTTCATCTACTGGAGTCGCACAGGCAGCCCTCGATACTTTGTGGGCTCTGTTGGAGGTTGACTTGGCTAACCACCTTGAGAATGGAGAACGTGAATTCGCCAGTGAAGAAGGGCATACAGGCCAGGGTCTCATGTGGAGAAGGATTTTCACAGATAAAGATGTCTACAGTCTTTTCTTTGGATTGTGCAGTCTTCAGTCCGGCGCACCTGGAGAACTGTCCAAGCGCGAGCGCACCATAGCTCAGGGTAGATTGATGGGATTCCTGGTTAAAGCCGGCAGTTTACGATGGGACATTATCTCAAAACCTCAAGTTGCAGAGGTGGAGACTCAATACCAGAGCACTAGCCTTCTCCATTTCGCAGCGTGTCAAATGGTCGACGTGAGCGATGTTTTGATGCATATGACACTCTTGAGCTTTTATCGGGAACTTCTGGAAATTGATGCTCCCGGTCTCGTTGCTCGGCGCTATGTGCAGTCTGCATCGACTTTCTCCTCCCCGGCATTGGACTTCTTAGTTGCGGAAAAACTTCACTCCAAGGTACTAGAGTACTACCTGGACGACTCCAAGCTTGATCCCGTGGACCTGATTTACCTCCCGGGCCCCATTATGGCTTATGTCACAAGATACGCCGAGTCTTACCCCAACCATCTGCTGCAGAATCCCCCAACTCTCTTGGATGGCATAATTTCGCGCATCAACCGGGCACTTGCTATTCCTTCCGTTCAATGGGCTCACGGGGAAGTTCCCACAGGACATTTGGCTATTCTTGCTTCTCTTCCTCGAGTGTTGCTCATTGAAGCTGGCAAACATGGTGTCAATCCTATCTTAGCAATCCCTACTAGCCCGACCAATGGAGAGGCCCTTGATGTTCTGGGCAAGATCTTCCGCGGTCCGGTACACACCGCGGTTTCTGATTCTATGGATCTGAACACCTCAGGCCAGACACCCACAGACTGGCAGCACGAAGCTGCTGCAGCACGCATGCTGTACTTCCTTTACCTAAACGAGCATCCTAACTTTTGGAGTGATATTGTAGCCGCCGCCGATATTCTCGTGATGAAGGATGTTGCGCTGTCTGCTATCTCATTCATGAGAGCCATCGTCTCCGCTAACTGGCAGCCATTGCCCCCGGCTTCTCATGTTTCTGGCTCCTCTTCTCGATTCCAATTGCCATCTGAAGAGAGCTTGGGGCAGCTGTCTCCAGCTTCTAATGGCCTACTTCCTCTCTCTGGGCCATGGGCTATCCTCACTCCGCCTGCTCTGACTACCCTCCTTCCATATCTCTTCAAGCCACCGCGATCTTACGGTGAATTCGTGGGTGGCGGTGCCGGCGATTCTCAAAATGCTGTCTGGAAGGTGGCAACTGCGAAGCATGATGTCCTGGTAGCCCTCTACCGTGCGCTTCAGGAAACCGGTGGACAAATGGAAGGATTTGAAGATATTCTGCGAACACTGCGACAACGAGTGAACGAGGGTCCCTCGGGCCCAGTGCAGCAAAGCTCTGCCCAGGTTGAGACAGTCAATCTATGATAAGTATAGAGAAAAACTACGAGCGCATTCAGAGATATGAATCATGAACTATTCAAGTAATTGAAAATATCAAATTGATCGACAGATTATCTTAGCGCGGGGAAGTCCAACTAGTGAAGCCCTAATTCCAGTTCGGGCCATGTCACGTTCCGGAGATGGCGGGCGGTGAAGCCTGTGAACGCTATTTTCCTTGGAGTCGTAACTTTCTCCAACGCATCTCTTATGGCACCGTGAGTGAGACTTGGGCATCTCACTACGATCCAGTAATTATAATAGTGGCTCCGTGTGATCATGTCACGCTTTAGTAAGGGCAAGCGCCTACCTGGCGCCGAATTCACTTGGGATGCAGATCCTGGTGGTGTACCAGACACAGCTCCTACTCCCCTCTACCCAGTACGATCCCCAATCGCAGAATCCTTGAGCTTCCTTTTTGCTTTTCTTTCTTGTCACATTTGTCATGCAGCAAAATCTTACCAATTACTCTCTTCAGGCATATACTGTCCCGTGGACCCGAAAGCTGTCATCTAAAGAACAAAAAGAGGTCGATCACTACCGACACCACCGTGAACGCGATCAAGAAGGCCCCCACTACTCGGTGCTCGATTCCTCCTCTTCATCGGCTAGGAAGGGTACAGCTGCGCGCGTGAATTTCGATCCTTTCACCGGCATGCCGTCTTATGCCGGACGATACCAAAAAAAGCGGCGGACGCTGCCACATATTGATCCTACTGGAGGACCATACGAATTTAGTACGTTACACCGCGCTATATTCTTACGAAGGTCTCGGGAGCAGTCGCTAACATCTTCATTGCTACAGTTATGAAATACTTCCCTCGAGAACTTTGGCAAACGATCCAACCCAGCTTCCGACCAGATGTCGACATGGATGGGTACAAACCTATGGCAGGCAGTGCCGGTATGAAGCGTGGATTTGAGGACGAAGAAGATGACGGCGACGAGGAGTCGAAAAAGAAGCGTGCGAATGGTGAGGGAGATGAGGAGGGAGACGGTGACGAGGAGGGAGATATTCTTGACGAGGATGAAGGACAAGAAGAATGGGAAGAGGAGAATGACTTTGAGGATGATGAGGATGAGATGGGCGGTGATTACAATGCAGAGCAGTACTTCGATGGTGGTGATGATGATTATGGAGACGAGGATGGTGGAGATGGTGGTGGTGAGGATGTGCTCTAAATGGTTGATTGGATATACCCTTTGCTTGCTTTTCTTTTGGTTTGGGCTTATTGCATTTGAGCGTCGGTGCAGTGGATTCTAGTCCGTCCGTTCTGTACTCTGGTGAATAAAAAGGACTGGGAATGTTTACTTTCAGAGATATTCGATGAATGTTTCAATTCCTTTAACTCGTAGTCGTGTAAGTTGCTAAACAGCCTTTTGGAATACCGCGGATTTTGATTGATGTAATACGCGCTACTGTATACATGGGCTAAGATAAATTCATGGGCGTTAGCCGAGGAGCGATTGCCCCTGGCAAGTGTAACGAGGTATGTTGGTTTTGAGTTTTAATTGACTCTACCCAGGTATGGAGTGTTTCAAAGCATAGCTTTACAGACCCCCTGGCGCATTCTTTTGCTTTTCAAAGTTCTATTCAGTTATGCTCTTTATATAGCATTTCAATATAGTTATGAACCATCATACCAAAAACATCACATGTACTGTATAGATGTCATCAAATATTTTCATTTTGTTCCAGGTCCTCACCAGGTATCAATTTCATAAACAAAACGTGACTTTATAGATCGTGAGAAAACCGTTGCGATTTCGGCCTGGATGACGTCAGCCGTATCGGCCCCGCGCCGAGTTTTGGAGTTGGAGGGGCAGAGACTACAAACATCTAGGAACAAAGATGGAGGACTCCCAAAGACTCGGTCACACGAGGTCGGTACTCATCCTGTACGGGTCTGAGACAGGCAATGCACAAGAAGTAGCCGAGGAATTGGGTGCAGTGACCGAACGATTGCGTTTCGTGACGCATGTTTCCGAATTGAACCAGGTGAAGCCGGTGAGTACATTGGACGACCCTATCGAGTTTACGAGACTGGTTGCTAACATATCGGCATGGCTAGGAAACTCTGTCATCCTACACCATTACTATTTTTGTCGTGTCGACGACCGGTCAAGGCGATCTGCCGGCGAATGCGAGGACGTTTTGGAAATCATTGCTGCTTAAGAAACTTTCGCCTACGTTCTTGAACGGTGTAAACTTTGCATCTTTTGGATTGGGTGATAGCTCATACCCCAAGTATGTTTTATTGGTACTGGATACCTTATATTATGCGAATGCTTATGGTTTTAGGTTCAACTGGGCTGTACGGAAGCTCTACAAGCGGCTGTTGCAGTTGGGCGCAAATGATATTTATCCCACGGGCGAGGCAGATCAACAACATCCAGAAGGGTGAGCTTATTAATTATCTATCTGGTAGCTCGGACCTAATACTTCGGCAGGCTTGAAGGCACATTTCTCCCGTGGATAGCCGATTTTCGCAAGAATTTACTGGATCGACACCCTCTACCCGCTGGACAACATCCCATCCCAGACGATGTTCAACTACCGCCGAAGTGGATCTTGCAACTGAAAGAAGGGGATGCTTCGGTCCCAGTATCGCGACCTTCTACCGACCAGACTGCTCAAATAGATGAATTTCCCGGTTTAATTCATTTGGATCATGATATTCGACCGCTTCCCGATACCCTCACCGCAACTCTAGACGAAAACCGACGTGTGACACCACAAAATCATTGGCAGGATGTCCGTCGCATCTCGCTCACGGTTCCCGAGTCCGTTTCATACGCCCCGGGCGATATGATCGCCATCACCCCTAAAACTTCACCCACCGATGTGCAAACCCTCCTCGACATCACGGGCTGGAATGACGTTGCAGATAAACCAATTACTCTTGTTCCTGCTCAGAGTACACCGTCATTATCGCCGATACCCGGTCTCGACTCATACCCTAATTTGACCCTTCGCACGCTTCTGACAGACTATCTGGATCTCAAAGCCATACCCCGCCGGTCCTTCTTTTCTACCATTGCTCATTACACTAATGATGAAATGCAAAAGGAGCGTCTTTTGGAATTCACGAACCCAGAGTATCTTGATGAACTCTGGGATTACACCTCTCGACCACGACGGAGTATTCTCGAGGTCTTGCACGAATTCGATACAGTGAAAATTCCCTGGCAGCATGCCGTATCAGTGCTTCCGGTCATGCGAGCACGTCAGTTCAGCATTGCCAGTGGTGGCGCACGGAAGCGAACTGCAGACGGAAAGACCCAATTTGAGCTCCTCATCGCAATCGTCAAGTATCAGACCGTGATCAAAAGGATTCGTGAAGGTGTCTGTACCAGATACCTCTCTACGCTCCGACCAGGCAGCACCCTTAGAATCCAGCTTCAGCCCGGTGGACTCAAATCCTCTATCCAACAATTGACTGGATCCACTATGCTTATTGGACCAGGCACAGGCATTGCGCCTCTTCGGTCCATGCTGTGGGAGAAGGCGGCGCTAGTCCAAGCTTACCGAGAGCAAAACCCCGGCGTAGAGCCTCCCATTGGACCCACAGTGCTACTTTACGGTGGTCGTAATCGGAATTCGGATTTCTTTTTCTCAGAAGAGTGGGATCAACTGAGTCAACTCATTCCCCTACAGGTCCTTACCGCCTTCTCGCGTGATCAGCAACAGAAGATCTACGTGCAGGATACGATCCGACAAAATTTCCCGCTTGTCTTCCGACTTTTGCATGAACTGCAGGGGTCTGTTTATATTTGTGGTTCCTCTGGACGTATGCCTCAAGCCGTGCGGGAGGCGTTGATTGAGGCTTTCCAGAATGGAGGTGCACCTGTACCGGGGCAACCATACACTCGGTCGCAAGCGGAGGAGTACTTAATTTCGATGGAAAAGAGTGGACGATACAAACAGGAGACGTGGTGATTTAAACTAGAATATAGATGAACACAGTCAAAATTATGCTTGTGGCTTGAGTTGCACATGCGAGTCGCATGTGCTCGGAGATTTAGATCTATGAGTCGGCGAAACAGCTTGTGCTAGAGTATTATACGAAAAAGACTCAGACACAAAATAAATGAAAAGAATAGCCAATTCGAATACCATATCCGAGGATATCGTCACACCTATTTGGCGAAATAGTCCTCTCAATACGTAGGCTGTATGCATAACCTCGGCAGACCAGAATGAGAGCATCAGTCGATCAGGGCTATACTCGGGCCGCGTCGGCGTTTTCAAGGTCTTGGCACTCCGTCACCGCAGTCCTTTCTCCCCATCTCTCCAGTTCCCCTCAACTTCTCCCAGACCTCTACCCAAGCGCAACACAGCAATTTCACCATGTCAACCGGTCTACGGATATTAGTGCCCATCAAGCGGGTGATCGACTATGCGGTAAAGCTCCCACCAAATCAGACGGAGGACGTCTGAACCACAGCTCGAATTCCAACACCTACACCTGCCTTCACCTCCAATGGAGTACAAACCTCAAAGAAGAGGATCAAAACAACAACTAACGTTGACTCTTTACCCAGATCAAACCCCGCATCAACAAAACTCAAACGGGAGTCGAGACAAACGTTAAACACTCCCTAAACCCCTTCGATGAACTCTCCGTCGAAGAAGCCGTCCGCCTTCGCGAGCGCAAAGACTCCCCAATGAAAGTCGAAAACATCCTCGCCCTCTCCGCCGGCGGTCCTAAAACCCCCGACGTCCTCCGCACAGCAATGGCCATGGGCGCCGACCGCGCATTCCACATTGACGTTCCCGAATCCGCCGACGGCGGCCCCGAACCCCTCACAATCGCCAAACTACTCCGCGGCGTTGTTGAGAAGGAGAACATCAATCTCGTGCTGCTGGGCAAGCAGGCGATTGACGGCGATCAGGGCCAGACGGGACAGATGCTTGCTGGGTTACTGGGGTGGCCGCAGGCGAACCAGGCTAGCAAGGTTGAGATCAAGGACGCGAGCGGCACTGTTGAGGTTACGCATGAGGTTGATGGAGGTGTTGAGACTTTGCGGGCTAAGTTGCCTATGGTTATTACTACTGATTTGCGGTTGAATGAGCCCCGGTATGCTAGTTTGCCTAATATCATGAAGGCAAAGAAGAAGCCGCTGGAGAAGAAGACGCTGGGTGATTTTGGGGTTGAGGATCAGCGGAGATTGAAGACTATTCAGGTTACTGGTAAGTCCATGGTGGTGGTTTGTGGTGTTTGTTCTTTGCTGATATCATTCTCTTCCAGAGCCCCCGCCACGCCAGGGTGGTGGCAAGGTTGAGGACGTTGACGGTCTCGTTTCCAAGCTGAAGGAGCTTGGTGCGCTGTAAGCGTGTCCTTGGGTTGCCCTGGGTTCCCTGGGTTCCTATGATTTTGTACTGTTATACCATCATCCTCTAGACTTGTTTTCAGCCCTATTTTGTTCATGGGTTGTCTAGAATCGGATTTGTTGAATGAAAATGAAAAAGAGTCGTATTTTCTTTTGAAACCATTAATGGTGATCTTTCTCCGAGCGAAGTGTAAGTGTGAAGGGGATAAATGTTTAGCTCGCCTTGGGATCGACCACTATGGATGCAGCGGAACCCCACTTCTGCAGTGTGATGCACCGATGGAGATTTGTCAGGCAAGTATTAGTCAAGAGATACACATCCATGGCCAGAAGAACAAAAGTAGCGCGGGAGATATTACTGGATCTGAAAATTCGGACGTGACGAATCGTACCTGGCGTTCCTCAGCTCCGACTGGTCTCGAACCCTTCAACTATGGAAAGCTTTGATTGCCGAAGGGTTCGAAGTGGGGCTTGTGATCTATCGTAGACAATATACCCGGGTTCAGCTAGGATTGACAATCATGTCCTGCACTATTGAATGCGCGAAGACATTCAGGCTCCGGTCATCATTGTCAGGATCCGATTTCAGATATCAGACTGGGTGCAGAGGGACACTTGCAGGAACGATGCCCGTCGCACAGGTGTAGAGAGTCGATGACGTCTCTCCGCGCGTTCCCAGTGAAGACCGAGTCCTGGCCACGGGCGCCACTCTCGCCCTACGATCCGTCTGACCCGATCCAAGGTTTTGGGATCAAATTTAATATATGTGCCTGCGCCCCCGCGGTATGATTCATTGTTCTTTTCTGTCTGGATTTCCCACGTTACCACCACATAGATCTTGATTTATGATTCCGGATCCGTGTATTTCCACTGGTAAGTGTTGGCTCTGTTCTTGTATACATTCCAGACCTCGCGCAAAACCACTGGCATCATCCCAGCTTGCGCAACTTGCCTGTGGAACGAACTCGCCTTTGCAAGGGGCGAACCCTCGCACGAGATTTATATTAACGACATCGAATCCCCAGATTCATCGTTGGACAGAACCTTGGGATTCGAACATTCCTCCCCGCATTCCGCAATAGCGCAGATCTCCGGATTCTAAGCATCTGAATCCCCGATCGTACATTCCCGATCCATTAAGAAGCATTCCATGCTGTTTGCAGCGCAACTGCCGTGTTTCAGAAAGTCATAGATTTGGCGCCCGAACCACCTGGGATTGATTCTTTTTCTTTCCCGCAGTGAACCACCATGTCTGAATCAACGTGGGAAAAGACCAAACGATTCTCCAAAAAAGGCTTCGACAAAACATGGGCGACCGTCGACAAACTCGGCGCTCCGGTGAATCGCCTTTCCAATAAACTAGGCGCCGAAGCCTTTTGGCCCATGACCATCGATAAAGAAAGCGACAAAGCCGCGCGCATCTTGCGCAGTTTCTGCAAGGATGGTTTCTATGCGGCCGAGGCCGACGAGGGTGTGGATGAGAATGGAAAGATCAATCGGCCCAAGGGCAAGCAAAAGGTCATCAAGAAGATTCCTTCGCAAGTTATCAAGAACGCAAAGGGTATTGCTATCTTCACCACGATGCGAACCGGTCTTTGGGTGAGTGGTTCCGGTGGTAGTGGTGTTTTGCTTGCTCGGATCCCCGAGACGGGTGAATGGAGCCCGCCATCTGGGATCATGCTTCACACTGCTGGGATTGGGTTCCTGGCTGGTGTGGACATTTACGATTGCGTGGTTATTATCAACACACATGAAGCGCTGGAAGCGTTTAAGAAGCTGCGCTGTACCCTCGGTGGTGAAGTCAGTGTGGCGGCTGGCCCCGTTGGAATGGGTGGCGTGCTCGAATCTGAGGTTCACAAGCGCCAGGCCCCAATTTGGACGTACATGAAGAGTAAGGGTCTCTACGCGGGTGTGGCCGTCGACGGAACAATTATCATTGAGCGAACCGACGAGAACGAACGCTTCTACGGTGAGCGGATCTCCGTCACTGATATCCTCGCCGGCAAAGTTCGCCACCCACCCGAGTCCATCAATACGCTTCTACAAACTCTCAAAGCCGCCCAAGGCGACCGCGATGCAGATGAAACCCTGGTCCCACCTCCTGGAGCAACGCCCGGTGATATCGAGCTGAACGACGGCCACGCCTTCGGTGTCCCGTCGGCTGAAGACCCAGATCCATACGGAGTGAAAGCGTTGGAGGCTGAGGGCTTGTTCATTCGGGAGGCTAGCACCAAGGTGAGGCCAAGCCCTGAAACCTTTGAGTTCCGGCCCAATCCGAGCAGCCCGGTTTATGCTACATTCTCCAGGCGCAGTCTTGATAGCTCGCCAAGGAATAGTTGGCGCACCAGTATGCAAAGTTATACTAGCGTGAACCGCGGGACTCAAACGGATAACAGCACTCAAACGGACCTCCCGCTAACCTCACCACCATCAGTAAGCCGAGCGTCGTCGCGGAGCGCGAAGGGGTCGACGGGTGTTCCTGCGCTAGGCGAGTCGAGATGGGAATCGGTGCCGATTGGTGGTGAGGAGGAGGATAAAGATTTGGAGGATGCGAAGAGACTTATTGCCCGAGCTGAGATGGATAATGAGGAGAATGAAGAGGATCAGCCAATTGATTATGATGAGGACTTTGAGGTTCATGAAGTCAGTAATGCGACGATCACCAAGCAGGAACGTGGCGTTGAGTCGCCTGTTGAGGAACGCCCAGCTACTGCGGATTCGTCTTCGCGCAGCTCGCCTAATTTCACTCGGGCTCGTCTTGTTACCATTCCTAAGCGACCTACCCCACCTGCCCTTCCTCCCCGTCATCCCCGTCATACCTGGGGTTCGGGGTCCAGCCGCGAGTCTACCTCTCCCACTGCCCTGTCGCATTCCAGTCGCAGCACCGAGCCCACCGAGGCTGCTGTTGACTCGGAGTTGACCGAGCCGGTCAGTGAAACTGCACCCCTGCCCTCGAACGTGACAAAACTCCAAACGAACACTGTTCTGCCTGCAGTTGTTGACGAGGATGATTTCGACGAGGAAGATTTCGCCTCAGACACTGAGATGCCTGCTGAAAAAGACGAGTTTCACTCGGTCAACGGAGACGAGGAATCCAATTCCGAGGAAAATGTCCAGACATTGACTGGTGATGTCTCAAACATGGAAATCGACAAGCATGAGGAGAATGGTCTAGAGGATCCGTCTCCCAAATCGGACATCTCTCCGAAGTCCGATGCCACTGAAACTGAGGCCAATGCCGAGATTGAGGAGCTTAAGGTTGACGCCTTGGAAGCTGCTGCTGAGAAGGACAAGGCTGAACCTCAGTCCGAGGAGGTGGATACTGATAAGGTCAACTCTGAGCAGAGCCATGATGCTGTCAACATTCACTCTCTGAATGCTCAGGCTGCCTAATCCGCAGTCGGCATTTGACTTTTCAATATTGGTTACGATTTCCTTCTGTACATCATGAACGGCTGGCTGGTTGGAGTTGGCTTGGATATGATACCCATTCTTCATTTTCATTCTGGTGCTTGGTTTCTTGGTTTTCTTTTTTCTTTACTTCCCCATCACATCAATATTGGCACTTCCCATGGGCTCATTTTTAGGATCATCTGTTGCATTTCAGCGTGTTTTGCATTTCAGCCGACTTGGTGTCTTATCTATCTTTGATTGATTTAAACTTTATTACTGATGTTCATTCATTCGTTTGTCTATAGAGTCTGCATTCTCGTTGAACAAATTCACTCTTTATAATACCGCTACTGCATTTGGGGGACTTGCTACTCCTCGGAATCTAAACATTGCAATATATCAGAGCATATATACTCAACGAACAACCAAACAGTCCCTGCTTAAACCTAGGCGAATTACCCACCACAGTCGAAAGTAAACACTTACATAACCACCTCAATAAAACTTTCGTCGCTTCCAATCCAAGTAACCCTCTCAGACTTCGGTGAGGATACTCTTCCCACTCTGGTATCGTTAGAATAATGCACAGCCATGAACCTGGTCTGGAGGAATATATTCTCTCCACAGACAGTTCTAGACAGTCAATTTCCTCTTACCACATCGTCATGTCATATACGTTCAATGAGATCCACTCGTACGTCCGTAGAGGGTTCAGCTAAGAAAAATATCAGTGGAAAATTAAATTATTTTCAACACATACTACCATGCCCGATTGTCTTGAGGGCAGAAAATATTATGCGACATTAGATTAAGACCCTGGTATAATACTATTTAGCCTATTTTCCCTGTCTATTCATGTGCATGTGTTCCCCTCTTCCCCCACCCAAGCTTAAGTAGACACCACGAGTATATGGTCGAGCAACCAATGACCTTTGATCTCAGGTAAGCGAGCGCTACCGAGGCTACAGAAGACATGAAACATTTTCGTCAAGCGAAAACTACTAGGCTACGATTAGCTCGGTTATGAACTCCTGGCCAATTAATTTCATGCTTACCCAAACTTAGCTCCCGCGCTAAATTCATGGCAACCACAAAAAATGATTTTGATTGATCTAGGCATATAACAGCGAGCCGGTGACCAGTGGTAAAGCCAGGAAACATCTTGGCGGTCCGCTTTAGCTCGGCGAGTAGACCCCTAGATATTGGATCACCATCTCATGCATTAGCGTTCTTCACGATGGTAGTCCGCACCGCCATTTTTCTTTTCTTTTCACTCTGCTTCCCCCCTACTTCTCCGACGTCAAGTGCGGTGTTCATTTCCCCCTAACTCATGTAAAAGACGACATTATGGCTAACTTACTGACTGTGGGCATAAGTGGTGTTTTGGTCTCCTTGGCCATCAGATTTATCTACCGACTCCATTTCCATCCTCTCAGTAAAATTCCCGGACCTAAGCTCGCAGCTGCCACCAGTGCATACATCTTTTACTTTAACGTCATTAAGCAAGGAACCTTCATTTGGGAGCTTGAACGATTACACGAGGTTTATGGTTAGTATCCGTCCGCGGCTGTCCCGAACCTTAACTTAATCCGACCTAGGTCCCATTGTGCGGGTCTCCCCAAGAGAAGTCCACATCAAAGACTCAACCTACTACGACGATATTTACGCCTCCAGCTTAAGGAGGCGAGAAAAAGACTTGATAACTGTACGCCAGTTTGATCTCGAGGGATCTGCATTCTCTAGCGTCTCCCCTGAGGACCATCGTGAGCGTCGCGCACCGTTCGAGAAATTCTTTTCGAGGTCAGCTATCGCAAAAACGGAACAAACAATCCAAAGCAGTCTGAATCAGTTGTGCAATCACCTGAAAGATGCTTGCCAGTCTCACAAAGTTGTCAACTTGGACGCTGGTTTTGCGGGTATGACCGCCGACATTATCCACAAATACACCCTGGGATACAACAGCGGCAATCTTGACCACGGAGACTTCAATGAAAATGTCAGAGATGGAGTTAACGCGTTATTCAGAGGCGCTCATCTCCTGTTTTTCTTTCCTCTTCTGCAGACTTTCTTCAGCTCTCTTCCGTTACCAGTGTTGAAATGGGTAAACCCCAGTGCCTATGTTCTTGCAAATCAGAAACAGAGTGTGCATAACTATGTGGTAGATGCCCTTGCTGGCAAACGCACAGAGAGTGGATCGATCATGGAGTCTCTGGCCAATAATGGCCTAGCTGAGCATTTGCGAGGCCCGACTAGGCTTACCAATGATGCCTTCGCCATTCTGATAGGGGGCACGGAGACAACCGGTAGATCTCTGTCACTTGGATTTTACTACCTCCTCAGTGACAGTGCCATGAGAGCCAAATTGCGAGAGGAACTGCGATCTGTTATGCCAACGCCTCAGACCCGTCCAACATGGAATCAACTGGAACAGCTCCCTTATTTGGTTAGTCTTCTCTCGGTTGGTCTGAGGTTAATATAAAGCCTTAGCTGACATGAAACATAGTCTGGTGTTATATTAGAAACTTTTCGACTGTCCACAGGTATTGCCAATCGGTCTCCCCGAGTTGCGCCTACGGAAACCCTGATCTACAAGGGCCATACTATTCCGCCAAAAGTAAGTGACCATTTAGCTTCCTTTGATTCGGTTTGGAGCTAATACTTCTTCCTATCAGACCCTCATTAGCCAAACCAATTACTTTGTCCTCATGGACCCTGAGATCTTCCCTGACCCTCACGCCTTCGATCCAGAGAGATGGATGCGCGCCGCCGCCAAGGGCGAGCCACTACAACGTTATTTGGTCAATTTTTCAAAAGGAAGTCGAAACTGTCTTGGCATGCAGTATGATCAGAAATCCATTGAATAATCAGCCTATTACTAACTATTTCCCGCAGTTTGGCATATGCCGAGATATATTTGGCATTTGCGACGCTCATTCGTCAGTTTGAGTTTGAGTTATATGATACGGCCGAGAAGAATATCACATTCACTCGTGACTTTGGAACACCTTATCCCGACGAAGGAAACTTCAACCTCAAGGTTCTGGTGAAAGCCCTGGTTCAAGAATGAGTGATTATCCCCAGTTACCACAAGGGCTTCAAGCCTTCATTTGCAAACTTCTGGAATACTTGATCTCGAGCAGATAAAATATTATATAAGCATGTTTATCCTTACCGCAATCGATGGCTCGCGTAGAATTCGAATGCAAACACCTTGGCCCAGGTGGCGCTAAACTGGATTTAGAAGGGGTCCCAGCCAGGAGAAACATTTCCGGCACCCGCTGGCAAATCGAATCTCTTTCTCTACAACGTCACTCTCAGGACGTCCTAGGTAGACCAATTTCCGATGGCTCCTCCGAAATCCCTCGCTCCTACGCCGGGCCACATCCATAAGACTGGAGATTATCTTGCTAGCTCTTCTACCAAAGCAACATCTGCCTGTTCATCGTGCCAAAAACGCAAAATAAAAGTAACTCATCAGCTATGCTGACTAATCCGAGTAATAATCTTGCTAACCTCCACAGTGTATTGGAGGTATACCATGCCTGCCTTGCCAAAATGCCAAAATTGAGTGTGTGAGCAACTTTGAAAACGATGGCCGCCGAAAGATAAGTCTGAAGCGGAAAATCGAATCCTTGGAGCAGGATCGCGACTTGTTGATGCAGCTCGTGGATACTATTCGCCAAGATAATGAGCAAAAATGTTCTAGTGTCCTGAATCTAATTCGGAGTAATGCACCGTTAGATGAAATCAAATTATTTCTTGCTGAAAATTTAGAGCCAAGCAATGATGAGAATACTTCCTCAAAGCGCCAAGATACGGATTCCAGCTCTGCTGGTTCCTCTCGCAAAGTTATGGATGTTAAACGGCTATGCGATACTCCTATTTACCCAGTCTCTGCGCAGCTATGGACGTCTGTCTCAAGTGACGATGCTCTTGTGTCACACTTGGTATCACTCCATTTCACCTGGAATGGAATCACATCAAATTGGATTGACCGCGATCTGTTCTTAAGAGATATGAGATCTGGGAACTTGGATTCCAGGTTCTGCTCACCTCTGCTTGTTAATAGTATCCTGGCCATGGCATGTGTAAGCAACGCACTCTTATGTTATCTGAAGGGCATGAGTTAATATTTTCTATGATTAGCTCTACTCAGATTGGCCTGAAGCCTTGGCTGTACCCGGTGACCATGGCACCCGAGGAGCACATTTTCTCGATGAGGCATTGCGGCTGCTGAAGGAAGAAGAAGGTCGATTGACACTCACGAATCTACAAGCAAGAGGCAACATTTTCATAAGGTAAATCCTCTTTGATTATTTCACTCTGTTTATGCTGACTGAATGAGCAGTCTTACCGGCACTGGAAAGGACAGACTCGGCTGGCTGAAGATTGTGGAAATAGCCGACTGTCTCCGTGAGATTGAAAATAAACGACAACATATGATAAAAGATGCCCGTGAAGAGGCTTCAGAGATGACTCGAGCTATTTCTATTGCGATCTTTGGACTCTTTAATATGTGCACGTGAGTTATCGCGCTATTGACAGCGCCTGACACATTATCTGACATTCCTAAAGAATAAGCATCATGAGTCTACAGAAACATCCCGTTGTCAAAAGACCTACACAACTCGAGCGGCTCCCGAGGCATCACGACCCTAACGACACTTGGAGTCCTTATCCTCGCCAGGCCACGCCCAAACCAGCGCACACGAACTGTGTGATTAATGGCGTTTTCGATCTAATGCTCATTGTGTGGGAGGCATGTGACTATTTCTTCGGAGATAACAAGCCGACGGCATTCGATCTGGAAAAGGTCAATGCCTTTCATGATAGATTACAAACTTGGGCCGAACATCTTCCGAGATGCATTAGTTTAGGACGCAACGCAGTACCCGGAGTTATGGACATGCAGTAAGTCAAGCATATCAGCAATTATTCCAAGCGCTAACGAGCTCATGTGAAGCATGCGGTATTACACAATCATATTGGTCATATTCGGGTTCGTTGAGTCTAACCTGGAGGAGGATGATCGAGTGACCAAAAGACGTATCAAAGCCTTGAAAGCAGAAGCAGCCCAGAACATCGGGGCGTTGATAAAACGATTCCGCCCAGATTGGCCCGTGGAATGTGTTCCAGGAACCACAATACAATATTGCTCCGTCGCGATGTTCACACTCCTGGAAAACCTAGACGAAGCCCAAAACAAGCAGGCGTTTGTGGAATGTTTCATCGTTCTTCGTGCACTCGCAAACCGGTGGCAATTGGCGAAGGGAATATTACGACTCATCCAATTGACAGCGATGAAATTAAAGGCCGATCTCCCGGTAGAGCTGCAGCTTCTTTTCAGAGATTTTGAGGCTGATCTTTGGAAGGTAGAAGATTCGGAGCGGTTCAGCAGTCTTTATCCGAATTTTTCGGTCGCTATTAACCAAAAGGGACCGGGGGCTGGCACCGGTGAGGCTGAGTTAGATCGATTTCTTGCATCGTGTGATAACCTAAGCCTGTCCGATACTGTCACTGAACAGACGACAGAGGCAGGAGAAATGGATATTGAAAGTAGTCACGGAAATAGCAGGAACTAGCGTTCATTGTTTTGCTTCAAGATGCGTTCTCAGTAGATTGGTTTTTTGCATTGAGAAAAGTCTGTCTGTCTTTTGATTCATTTCCCGTCATGAGTAGACGAAGTCTCGGTCTTGATTATGATCTCGGCTTCTAATACCAACTCTCCAATAATTTGTGAATTATACTATACTCAAACGGGCTAGGTCATTGACATGGAGATACGTAAAATCCGGTTATCTCCGACTATCTTGGGACGCCTAACGGCACCAAAAGCTTGTCTGGTACTCGCGACATCCTTGATTTAAAATCCCGCACCTGGCAACATCATCTCAACGAAAATCAAAATGCCCTCCGAGAAAAGCATCAAAGCAGGGCTGTCTCTCATCGAGAGCGACAAGTCCAAAATCTTGAAGTTGACCATCGGAAACCACGAAAACATCAAGCCAGGAGTGTACATTCCCCGCGCAGGTCAGACCCCTTACCACAACACCGCCGTCAAAATTAGCTAACAATGTCAAAGATGCCCAATCACCTCCAAAGCTATCATTCCCCGGCCTGTCAACCGATAAGACCTATTTTGTTGTTTCTCTGGATATCGACGCGCCTTTCCCATCTTTTGGCGTTCTTGGTCCTATCCTCCACTGGATTCAACCTGGAGTCAAGGTTTCTGAGTCTGGAGAACTAGATCTCAGTGCCCCTTTCGTTGCTAACTATATTGGTCCTGCACCCCCGCCTGGTAGCAGTCCCCACCGCTATACGTTTTACCTCTATGAGCAGCCTACTGGGTTTGATACTGCGAAGTATGCTCCGGCTAATGGTCAGAAACTGGGAAATTGGACGCGGATTCGGTATGACCTTGATGCCTGGGGGAAGGAAATCAATTTGGGCCCGGTGTTAGCTTTTAACTATTTTACCAGTAACTAGTTTATGGGGTTCAAAGTGGGTAATGTATACGATGAGTTACTCTATTTGTCTGGATACCCTTGTGTTGCCTGTCGTTATCGTTGAAATGCTGAGCAAAATGTGGATATGAACATCCTCGAGTAGCTTGTTTATACAATATCAGAGCATTATAGTAATCAAATGGTGTTCCGGACTGAGATATGTAGTTGACTGAATCAAATGGAGCTTGAATCTAGAACCATGATCCACATGCGACTGACTCGAGTGCGGGCCGCTACATATATACCGGATAGGTAATGTCTGGCAAAGTTTTGTTTCCTCTTCCGCTTCAGTGTTCACCCCTTGGATATGAGGACCCACTTCGTAGCCCGATTCAAACTAAATTTTGTAAATATTGACCTCATCCGCCCCTCTCGTTTCCGACCCCTCCACTGTCCAGGCCCCCAATTATCGATAATTCACCATGTCGCTGATAAAGTGGCATAACCAATGGCCGGATGGAATACCCTCCTGTGTTCGCCGGCACGAAAAGCCCGTGGAGAATGTGGAATCTATCACCTGCGCTTGGAGGCGTTTTGTTCGCGAGCAGTGGGTCGGTGGCAGCGACATAGATCAACAGAGGCGAGCTCTGATCGAACGATGGGCAACTGCTGACCAGGAATTTCGCGATGTAATTTTGGAAATTTGGCTGATAATAACGCAATTTTTTCTCACTAATTCTGAAATAGGACTATGAGCGTCGAGCTAGAGTGGATGAACCACCTTTTGATGGCCCTGAAAATGTATAGAATACACTATCTTTTATTCTGACTAAGAGGCTAATATATGACTAGGATCCCTGTCTTTCCGGATATCTGAGCTTTCAACTTGACGAGGTCTACGTCTGTATCTCCCAATGGACTGCTGAGACACAAGCTCTACTCGCCAAGTGTATTATTTCATTATTCGGACTAGACTGCGGTGACGGGCCTCTGGCATCAGAAATATCACTACTGATGCCCCTCGAAGAAAACCAGTGTGATTTGATAGACAACTTCAAGTTCCGTCAGAGTGTTGCCCGGCCCGACTTCCAGGATGTGCATATGATGCAGGACGGAACCGTGGTATTCGCGAATGACACCCCGAAACTTATCATTGATGACCATACTCTTGAAACTGGACTTGCACTTTGGATCCAATACGAAACAAACGGATTCCGGGAACGAGTTTATAGAGTTCAATTGCTCTCCAAGGAATTTCCTGACTTGTTTCGCGATGTGCATCTCAATATGAACTCTTTAGAGGTCACGTTAGGGTTCATGGAGGATGCTGACGAAGACGAGGATGAGAATTCATATATGTTTTGGCAGGAGAAGCCGTAAGTCTCTTCAACTTTTGTGGATGGCATTTGCTAAACTACGTCTAGGGTTGATATGCGTCGTCCATTCCTGGAAGTGTATGGGGGTGCAGATACGAAGACATCTGCTCGACTTGACGAATATGCGCCTGGATACCGGGCAGCTGAGACCCTGGGCAATGGCTTAGCAATTGGGTATAATTTGGAACAAATTCTGCTTAACGATGGACATCCGACGAGGATCATAGAAAGTTGATTCAACTCAATGTTCGGCAATGTATGTCATGGACAAACATTGTTTGCAATACCTACTCCGACATCTATACAAGGTCTTGAGAACATTCCAGAGGCCTCGAATTGATGGTTTCAGCTCTGAATTTCTTCCCTCCTGCATGCCTGAAGGGCCTTAGGCCATCAGTATGCTTCCCTAGAATCCCTGTCCAGGTGCTGACCGCGCTAGGATATGCGTACTTTTAGCTTGAAGGATTAGTTTGAATAGCTAGAAGTCACATGTAGATCATGTGCAAATATTGTGCAGTTAAAATCGCTTTTCCAGGGGTTAATACATCAAAAATATCGAGGATTCTTATCAATTCATTCTGCGCCATCGAAATCGTTTTTCCAATAATATGACGTGAAAGTATTCTGTCTATGACCCTAAAGAGAGTTTGCCGGTATCTCATTCTAAGTTGCCTTGAAACCGATACTTGATTGGATTCGACGAAAATATTTCAATTTATACCAACCAAACAAGCGAAATATCCTGGTCTGGGAATAATGGTGGACTGAGACCTTTGTCACCTCTCCAGACTCTGCATCATCATTCCAACGACGATGAGCGTAATTATATTCTGACCTTGGTCGAGAAGCCAAGTGCGCATTGGCATAATATTTCAAGTGAAGAACGGCATGTTCATTCCGATATAGAATCCGCAAGGAGCGTGAAATTATAGCAAATTGATTCATGAATTACTCGTTCTCTTCAGCGATGATGAATCATCGATCTTCCATGTTCCCACAATAAGGAAAGAATATTTGAAGCGGAGTAGTAAGATTCCTGAGGCCAGGCATCCCCATTGTTTTACAGACCTCAGGAGCTAAATGCCTTGCAGGGTCTTCCCGGCGTTTGCGATTGAAGCCTGAGTTCCAATGAACTACCGGAAACTGCCCACTATGCACAAGCTCTATCCCTGGTATAAAAATCAGAGTTGATGATGTCGGTCACGATGTTTTCTACACACACCTTTCTCCCCACCCTCAATCACTTCATACCCATCATCAACCTCAAACATACTTTTCCTAGACCACTATGGGGTCCAACATGGGAAATCAAAACTCAAGCACTTCCCCAAGAGCAGATCCTGCCACAATCAAATCAATCGACGACTGTATCTTTTCATTTTATGGCAATTTTGGTCAGGGCAAATCACATGGTTCGTTTTCCGGAAATGCGCAGATGGCAAATACCTTTGTATTGGGGCTCACTGTTCCAAATTTTATACAGTGGAACTGCGGAGAATGATCGAGGAAGCCGGCGGCGGTTTTGAGAACTACGAGTCACGGGTTGAAAACTGTACACATCTCATTACAACAGAGAAATACGTTACAAAGCCTCTTATGCCTGCAAAGAGTAAGTATCAAACTATGTTTATGAAATGAGATATACTTACAGGGTCCCCGGGATAGTCAAAGATGCAGCTCTCAAGGGATGTGAAATCGTCGGTCTCGGATGGCTTTTGATGTCTCTCGCAAGCGGATATCCGGTCGATGTCAAATACGGCAGGATAGAGACGGACAATTTAGCCAAACTTAGGTTGAAGGCGAGCGAAAAGTCCAGCCGTAAACCGGAGGCTGAAGAGAAGCCCAAACGTAACGTGAAAAGGGCCGAAAGCTTCAAGCCTAGATTGGAGAATTCCGATGAACGCAAGCTCAAACTGAAGGATGCCAATGAACGCAATATGCTAGCCGACTGCCAGCCGAAGGACAAGGATGAAGCCAAACCCAAATCGAAAGAGATCGAAAAACATAAGCCGAAATCTAAGGGGATTGGCGAGGCCAAGCGAGCATTGGAATGTCTTGAGGATGGTGAGGGTACAAAGAAGGTAGCCAGGACCTCGTCGAAAGTGACGCATTTGAAAGGCATTGTGGATGAGAACTTCCTCGATCTTTCAGCAAGTGAGTAAACTGCAGAGAGATCCTTTGAGTGGGCTACCGGATCTATGAATACGTATTAACCAACTTCAAATAGGTCTCGCTGTTTGTGTGGAGGGCAATGTTGTGTGGGATGCGACTTTGATTAGGCCCTTGGCTCAAAGGTTAGAGAAACAAATACGCCATTTCGCCATATTGCGAACTCAGCTCCTCTGGGATCCAAGTGCGAAGAAATACGATACATTCAGCCACGAGAGAACGGGGGATGCGATTTTCTATACCAGCCGGTCAGGCCTCGGTACTCTGGAAGAAGCTAAAGCCGCATACAAAGAGTCTTTCCAAGAAGCTACCGGTCTTTCTTGGGAAGATCGCCTTAAAGACCCGAAGAAGAGAAAATTCATCTATGTTGAACACCACTTGGAAGATGAGGAAGCCAGTAAATCTGCCATGCCTATCGCCAAGATGCTTCCACCAATGAAAGCTGTGCTCGATATCATCCTACCCGGCAAGGGTCAGACTGAGCTCATAAAAACGTTCTTGAAAGCTACACCTGCTAGTCACGTCAAGAATGGCAGTGCGCTGATGACCTTGCATCAGCTCCGTGCTGGCATTGCTCTCCTAAAACGAGTATTGGAACGTCCAGACCTTGCGAATGAAATATCTTCTAATGCTAGCCCTGCATCAATTATGCTACAATGCTATTATTGTCTCATAGGAGATGGCTTGAGCAGAGCTCCTCTCTCTCTTGATTGGATTCAGCGCGAGCAAGATCGCTTGTCGTACCTCCATATTCTTGCGACGGCCTCCCAACCGAATCGACCTCTTGGACGGGCTGAAGAAGAGCTCTCGCAGCATCTACATCGACTTCTTGGCCTCAATCACATGGCTCTAGGTTATTACTTTTCACTTTTTATGTCCATTTACTATAATGCTTCATTAGGAGCAAGATGCTAACTTCTGACAGTGAATTCTTCTACTGAGGAATATCGAATTCTTGCAAATTATTTCAACTTCTCTGACATGGCATCTGCATACCGTGGGGGCTACGGTGTTAGTCAATATGTTTCCTTATATTTTCGTGTATATGGAAACAAGGATTAGGAGTTGACCAAGCGATCTATAGGCCTACACAAACCAGCTAAAAAACATTTTCCGCATCGAGCGCCTCGGTGAAGCTGACCAATTCCTCAAATGGACAACCGCTGGGAGGAACCATGGGCGATGTCTGCTATGGCATGGCTCCGATAATTCTAGCTTCAGAGGAATTTTTGAACAGGGACTTCGCGGGGGCATAGGGGAGCGCAAAATCTTTCTCTCTGGACTTGCAGGCTATTCGACCGCGTACTGCAATAAGAGGACCGGTATGGTATTCGATACTCCGAAGCTAATGTTGCTTTGCGAAGTGAGCTCTCCCAAGTTCAGCGAAAAAAGAATGGGGGGCGATTGGTGGCGTGATGCAGGATGTGTGCACGCTGATCTCCAAGGAGCCAAGATGCTGAATGTTCCTCTCGGAGAGAGATATAGAGGCGGCGCGGGATGGCCAATCCAAATGGAGTACAGTTTTGACAAGGCAGAGCAGATCCGGATGCACTACTTGTTCGAGTTTATATTAAGCCCGAGGAGATGATCCGGTATCGCTGGGACTCTATGAAGCTACAGGGATTGAGATCCGACAATTTCTCTAATTGAGCTAGCTAGTTTAACGTAGATTAGAAATTGATGCTTTATTTTTGGTCTTGCAGCCTTTCTAGATCTGCGGAATCCCAAGAGTAAATCCGTTCGGCAAGATAAGACGATCTTCCCCACTCTTATCGCGTTACACCCACTTGCTCCACTGGTCCCCGTGATGTGATCCATAAAGTGGCTGCATCCCCGACCTTGCACTTTGTCGTTCCCCAATAACTGCCCCCATGAAACTGCTCGCCGCCGCCTGTTTGGCGGGTCTTACCGCGGCACAGTACTTCCCCTCCCCACCCGAGGGACTTAAGGTCGTGAAATCGAAGCACGAGGAAGGTGTTGAAATATCATATAAGGAGGTAGGTCAACTGTAACTAATTGATACCAAGCTACGAGCCGCTCACATCTCGCACAGCCGGGAATCTGTGAAACCACTCCTGGGGTCAAGTCCTACTCGGGCTACATTCACCTACCCCCGGGGACTTTGAACGATGAAAAAGTGGACCAGCAATATCCCATCAATACGTTTTTCTGGTTTTTCGAGTCCCGTCATGACGCGAGAAATGCCCCACTGTCCATTTGGATGAACGGTGGGCCTGGCAGCTCGTCCCTGATCGGTCTCCTGCAGGAGAACGGACCCTGCCGCGTGAACGCGGATTCCAATTCGACCGAACTCAATCCCTGGTCTTGGAACAACTACGTCAATATGCTTTACATCGATCAACCCAATCAAGTCGGTTTCAGCTACGACATCCCCACGAATGGTACTTTCGACCAGGTCGCGTCCGCTTGGAATGTATCCGAGTGGACGCATGGTGTCCCAGAGCAGACTAATACTTTCTATGTCGGCACGACGACCAGCCAGAAGAAGACTTCCACTGCTAATAGCACCGAAAATGCGGCCCGGTCGCTTTGGCACTTGGCGCAGACGTGGTTCTCCGAGTTTCCAGAATACAAGCCCCGCGACGATCGCGTTAGTATCTGGACTGAGTCATACGGCGGACGCTATGGCCCTTCATTTACTGCATTCTTTCAAGAGCAAAATGAGAAGATCAAAAATGGCACAATCGCTGCTCCCGGGGAATCGCATTATATTCACTTGGATACTTTAGGTATTATCAATGGTTGTGTTGATCTCCTTGTGCAGGCGCCGACGTACCCGGTCATGGCGTACAATAATACTTATGGGATTGAGACGATCAATAAGACTGTTTACGAACAGGCTTTGCATGCCTGGAGCAAGCCTGGTGGATGTAAGGACCTGATCACAGGATGCCGGGTCCTTGCAGCGGAAGGCGACCCTCAGATGTATGGCAACAACGAAACTGTGAATAAGGCATGCCAGAAGGCGAACACTTTCTGCAGCAATAATGTCGAGGGTCCTTATACTAATTTTGCCGGTCGGGGCTACTACGATATCACCCACAAAAGCCCCGATCCATATCCACCGCAATGGTACTTTGGATTCCTCAGTCAGCATTGGGTGCAAAAGGCCCTGGGTGCGCCCATCAACTACACCGAATCCATCGATAGTGTCTATGATGCATTCACATCAACCGGCGATTATGCCCGCGGCGATGTGCACGGCTACCTCAATGATCTCGGCTACGTCTTAGACTCTGGTGTCAAGGTTTCCCTCGTCTACGGCGACCGGGATTATGCCTGTGATTGGATCGGCGGCGAAGATGTTAGTTTGGGCATCGAATATTCCAAAGCACCCTCTTTCCGTGCGGCTGGATATTCGCCTCTCAGAACCAACTCATCATACATCGGAGGACAAGTTCGCCAGCATGGCAACTTCTCCTTTGCCCGTGTCTATCAGGCCGGTCATGAAGTCCCGGCCTACCAGCCTCAGACTGCGTACGAAATCTTCCACCGTGCCCTGTTCAACCGCGATTTGGCGACTGGCAAGATTGACACTGCTCGTAATGCTTCTTACTCTACTGAGGGTCCTTCGTCTACTTGGCATATCAAGAACGAGGTTCCCGAAAGCCCCGAGCCGGTGTGCTATATCTTGTCTCTCGAGTCGACGTGCACTGAGGATCAGATTGCCAGAGTGGTCAACAATACAGCTGTCATCAGGGATTACATTGTTGTGGGTTGAGCGTTTGAACAGATACATTCCATATGTGCGTTATATGCATTATAGAGTATTGATTTTCTTCTGTTGCATCTGCAGGGCCTGGCAGGAGAGCTGTTTTGGCTATCCCCGCGGTTTTGATATATTTCGGACTAAGATAATTTTTGGAACTCTCGGTTATGATCTCCATGGTCCCATAGTCTAAATTTAAAACATATTGTCTATAATTGGCTTGGATCCGCTTGTACGACTAGTTTAGTATGGCAAAGGAAAGGGGCAGCGGGCATAACATCAGGGACATAGGTACAAGTTGCATGCAGATTAATCGGTGATGAAGCTAAAGATATTACTGAGCGACTTTGTGCTTTGACCAATCCATAGGTCTTTCGCGGAACCTATTTTCAATTTCTATACGATCCCAGTACGTAGGTATATGAGTCAATCCAATCATAGCCATACTTTCTTGTGCCGGCATGTGGATTTGTAGCTGGCAGCGTAAGTGGATCCAAGGACTCTCAAATGGTGGATGTGACTGCACCAGTATCTATGGTAGATGTTGACGACTGTTCTTCTACAGGGCGAGTACTCGTGAAATAACGAGGCAGCCAAACATCCATTTAGGTACTTTTACTCCTCTGCAGCGTAAGAATGCAGATCATGCGACGACGAACAGAGGCCCTCCAAAACATGGGTTAGCTATTCAAGGCCTTGACTATTTGAGGTATATTAAGTGCGCTTTCTCACTGGCATTAGACAGACGTATATAAGCTATCAGAAGGTAGAAAAGACAATCCCCAGAAGTCCCTGCGCAGGGAATCTCTCCACCAGTCCTTTGCCGCCCACATCTGCGGGGCTTTTTAGATTGGGTGGATTTTTCTTTTCAGCACTGACGCAGAAGCGATTGTTGTGTCGCCGGCATGAGGCAATTTCTGCGGCGACTCAAAGTTCCAGTCGAAGACCTAGATCATTCACCCGAACAACGCATTCAAAGAAAGTCCTTTCCGTCCGGCATCAAACTGTTCTATAGCCCAGATGATGCAACTGTGGAGTAAGTCCCCTCCTATATTTAAATGACTCTCCTTGGACTCTCCTGAACCTCTCATAGCATCATCTTCATCCACGGTCTAACTGGTGATCGCGATGCTTTGTGGACAGCCCGTGACGCGACCGACCCCTGGCCGCAAACCCTCCTACCGTCCGTACTCCCGACAGCTCGCATTCTTACGTTTGGATACGACGCATTTGTCGCTGACTGGAAAGGAGTTGTCTCGCAGAATCGTATTGCCAACCATGCATGGAATCTGCTAACATCTTTGTCATCGTACCGAGGGGACGGCACGGTAGGACACTCAACTCTCTAAATACAACAGGATATTGACAAGTGCAGAATGAACGACCAATTTTATTTGTCTGTCATAGCTTAGGAGGATTAGTGTGCGAGGATGTATGGTATGCCCTCTGAGTCTAAGACCCATTCTAATTCCATTACAGGCCTTGTTCACAGCGAGACAACGACCGGAGCAACACCTTTCCAGTATCCTTCATTCAACACGCGGTATCATCTTTCTCGGCACACCGCACCATGGATCTAGTCTTGCAAGGTGGGCTGGGGCCTTGGTCCAAGGTAAATCTTGCTATCACATACCATGCACAGGGCCGATATAAGGAAGCTGAAGTGATGCAAATCAAGGCTTTAGAGCTAGGGCAGAAAGTGCTCAGCAGGAGCATCCTGATACGATTTGGAATATGGCAAGACTTGCGACCACATACCACGCACAAGGCCGATATGATGAGGCTCAATTGATTCATTTCAAGGTTTTGAAGCTTCGGCAGAAAGTCCTCGGCCAGGAGCATCCTGAGACGATCTGGAGTGTGGCACAAACTAGGATCAAATACCCCGGTGCACAGAACCGAGATGAGGAGGCTGAATCGATTTGAGTATAGCACCTTTCATGCCTTGTATATACCTTGATTTTACATTTTGTTTTATAGAGATTATCGATCTACATTTCAGATTGGTGGAACTTGTCAGCACCCAAGGTGGTGTCACGACCTTTGTGAGGGCCCAACAAATTTATATCTCATTCCCGGTTTGAAAGACTACCATCAACGAAGGCTACAATCCTGCACTCTGTCTACATCCACGGACTATAACAAAACACGAAACATAACCCAGGGGCCAAGGAATACTACATACACAATTTATATGCTATATCAAAGTGCCCTCTTCCATTGTGGCCTGCCGGTAGGCTAATCCTACAGGAAGGGCCGCAACTACCCTTCTGTAATCTATTCCAGTACCTCCATCTCATCAGCTTGGTTGACAAAACTCCGGTTCAACTTTCTACAGATTATAACTCTACTATCAAATATCTCTCAGCAGCTTCAAACGTGGAAGGGAATCGATTGCCTCAAATTAGTCTGCCACCGGTCTTTATAGACCTCTCGTCTTTAGTTCTAAAGTATGTATACATATTACTTTATGAAACTTTATTAAGGATATATAGTACATACAGTATCATAAAGGGACTGATGTAGCGACGCAATGTCGATCAACGAAAGTCCCACCTTATAAGATCCTTTGAAAGGGGCTCTTTTTCAATAGAGATTTGACGTGTGGTCAAAGGCGCGGAAGCTTCGAGAAGCTTCGGTCTCCACGACGTCATACTCCGCGATCGATAACGTATGAGTTACAAAGTCCTGTTTCTCGTGCAAGTTCGGACCCTTTGCATTCCCCGCTAGACACTTGTTCTTTCTTATTTTCTGCGACTCCAACATTTCATCCCTTTTTTTTCTTTTACTCCGAGCCTCCAACTTTGCGCACAACCCTCTCATTGTACCAGACCGCCTCCCTCCTCCCCGAATCTTCTACGTCATTCGAGAGCTACGCCCCATATTCTTTCAGACTCTTTCTTTTCCCGTCTGAACCGATCGCTGGCTTATAGTGAAGCTCCATTCCACCTGCGATTTTTGGTCCTGACGCATAAAACTCAATTCCATCCCACACAATATGGTAGCTGAAACAAAGCTCTACGATGCCTTGAGCATCAAACCCACCGCGACTCAAGATGAGATTAAGAAGGCCTACCGCAAGGCTGCTTTGAAATATCACCCAGACAAGAACAAGGACAATCCGGAGGCATCTGAGAAATTCAAAGGTATGTGCTACAACTTTCTACCCCGCTTTCTACCCCTCCTCTTGGTTTAAGGCAAAAGGTCACTAGAACTAATGTTTAATCGCAGATGTATCCCAAGCATACGAAGTCCTCTCTGACCCCGAAAAGCGCAAGGTCTACGATCAATTCGGCCTTGAATATCTACTACGTGGCGGCCCCCCGCCATCAGCTGGTGGCGGAGCCGGAGGCGCGGGCCCCGGTGGCATGCCTGGTGGATTTGATTTCGGCGGCATGCCCGGCGGCGGCGGACGTAAATTCCACTTCTCAACCGGTCCAGGCGGAAGTGGAGGTTTCCGATTCCGTAACGAAAATGATATCTTCACTGAATTCGCTAAGGCGACTGGCGGTGGAGCGGGCGGTTTCGACGATGATCTCTTCTCAATGCTTAATGGCGGTATGGGTGGTATGGGTGGCATGGGAGGATTCCCGCGCGGACGTACCAGCGGAGGAGGATTTTCTCAAAAGCCACGCCGTGCACCGTCTCCCGAGCCGACTGTTGTTGAGACGGACTTGAACCTTACCTTGGAGGAAATCTTCAAGGGAACTACGAAGAAAGTTAAGACGAAGAGTAAGGCGTTTGATGCTAGTGGGAAGCGCACTGTTGATGAAGTGACGCTGGAAGCTACCATCAAGCCTGGTCTACGCGCTGGATCGAAGATTAAGTACAAGAATGTTGGTGATCAGGAAGAAGGCGGTCGACAAGACGTGCATCTTATTGTTAAAGAGGTTTGTGATATCTCCATCCCTTGCTTATGAATATTGGCTAACCTCATCTACAGCTCCCACACCCTGATTTCAAACGTGTTGGCGACAACCTCGTTACAAGTGTGACGCTCACACTCAAGGAAGCATTGACAGGCTGGGAACGAATTGTGCGCACCATCGACGGCAAATCTATACGCGTATCCAAGCCTGGTCCTACACAGCCTGGGCACGAGGAACGCTTCCCCGGCTTGGGCATGGTGATCTCTAAGAAGCCCAGCGACCGCGGTGATCTCGTCGTACGAGTCGATGTCAAATTCCCGACCAGCTTGACGGCCGAACAAAAGCAAATCTTGGGCGATATTCTGTGAACGTGATTTTTGATGATTTAGCATGCATACTGGCGTTGGTTTGAGCGATACTCAATTGGGCGGTTTATGACAATGATTCCTTCTGCTAAAATGCAGATACAAATGTGATATTCTAGGAGTTAAATGATTCAATGAAACATCAATGTATTCAATCGTGACGTAATAATGGCTCTAGACCTAATCGGGTATGCGGAGAAAGCACTCAGCTCCCGCGTTGTTGACTCTGTCCACCTCCATAGCTCCACCATGAAGCGACGAGTCACCTATATCCAGCGCCCTGAGGCACCTTATGCACCTGAACAAGTATCTGTTCGCTCGGGGTCCATTTCGATCGACGGCTTAGATGCTGCCCGTGAAGACCGCATTACCTTCAATTTGGATGACCTCCCCGCAGAGGTAGGGAGAGAACCACGTTATCGCAGTACTAAGGAGGCTGACTATTTCATTTTCCTCTCATAGATCCGTGCCGTATGCCGTCAATCCCAAGAACTCCACATCCGTTGGGCCACTGAGCGGTCCTTCGATGCGGTCGCGCCCTTTGCCAGCAGAGTCTCTCCTGGTCTACACGTGCATTATACTCCTGTTGCTGCGGACCAGTCATCGTAAGTAAATACTTTCGCAAGGGAGATGTTATATGGGTCGGATTGCTGACTGGGGTGCGTAGGGATCCATTATGCTTGGTCCTCCGTACAGTGTTTGGGGTAACAGATGATGATCAACATGGGGTGGATTGTACAAGCCCGGAGGTAAATTGACTTGCCACCTATTCCATCTGCTTGAAAGTCCTTGAAATTTATTTGTTTTACTGGGTCAATCTAATGCGCTGTGGTATACAGGACACTTTCATCGCACCCCCGCTCCGAGCCGCTAGGGCTGGTGCCGCGACCTCTCTCCAATACCATACACAACTACCTTCCTTGATGTCACTGGTTGATTTTCTCCAGAAAATTGCGTGTGTAGGAGACTCTACATGTAATAGACACGCTGAGACCCTTTTTACGGCCGACGTTGTCGACTTGGACTTTGATACCACCTCGAACACATTCACCATGTCAGGGATCTGGGCTCATGCTCCGAAGAGAGACATGCTTCCAAGAGGCTGGGTAGAGTCTATAGACAGGCCTGTTTCAAAGGCTGATAAAGTCGAGTTTGGGCTGTTGGGGACGGAGAAAGCAATCGATGCGGATGAGATCAAAGTTGGAGGGCTGTTGGCAGTCGTAGGAGAGGACAAGAAATTGAGTACGCTGGACCCTATGGCTGCTACGTGCACGGCTGTCTCAGGATTATGACAACTAACTTGATATAGAACCTACAATGTTCTCGTTCCCCTCACGGCATCACGCTCTCCCCCAATCCGCCAACTACACGGTTTCATTCGCAGAACCAACCGGTCTCCATCCGACAATGTCCATCTCTATTCCTCGCTCGTCATTAAATCTACCTCCAGCACCCGATGACACAACCTGCGGCCTGTATACGTACCTGACGCTACCATCCTCTGTGTTTGCTGACCAGTATCAAATTGGCACGACCGATCCGCTTTTCCTCCAATCCCACAACCTAGCAGGTCTGCGTGCTCATGCGGGTGAAACAGACCTGGAGGCTCCAGACTGGGTCGTCAAGCGCTGGGGCTCGACCTGGCTTATTGAACTAGCTACACCAATCGACCAGAATCTCGATGGCGCTGTGCAATCACCCAATTGGACCGCTACCATTCCGCTTCATCTCCGATATCTTGCTCCCTCTGAATCAGGGTATCGATCTGCACATGTACCTTGGCCAGTCGTCTTCTGGGCTTGCAGTGCAGAGGATGAAGAAGCTGGCATGGGGAGAAATCCGTTCGACCGCAACCACCTCGGCTACGATAGCCTCTTTGCTCCCCGTACACTATTCTACCAGTTTCACCCCCAGTCCGATCATCTCATAGAGGATATAGATATCCCTGTTCTTCACCTTAGCGATAGAAAGGGCCTTTTCCAGCCTCGCAACATCGAATTGGCTACATGTGCCATCATTTCCCTCGGATTCTTGTGGATTCTCTGGCGACTTGTGCGAGTTGCTTGGTCATCTGGTCTTGGCTCTAACGCCAAGACTGAACGTTCTGATGAACATGATAAGAAGGAGTAGAATATTTAATCTATTCTCATTACATTTCTCTGGCGATTGGGATTATATCCCACATGCATCGGTGGCGTTCGGGACTACACCATCTCATGTCTATAGAAATTTACAAATTATCAAGTATAATGTGGATACCTATCCATGGATGCAGATTGTATGCAGCAATGTTCTTATCGCAGGTATTTGGCCGGATATCACCGGGCATCTCCGACCTCCACAGCATGCGAACGTGTAATAAATGAACCAATAATAATTAAGAATCAATTGCTGTTGTTAAATTTTTAGAATCATGATCGATTATCCAAGTCAATTTGGTCTGATATGCGGGCGGCCCCGGCCTTAGTATGTATGGACCCATTCACTGGCCAATCCCGTCAACGCCCGCACCCCTCTCCTTCTACAATAATGGCCGACTCCAAACCGCGAAAGCGCTCTCGCGCCGCGTGTCTATCCTGCCAATCTCGCAAAAGAAAATGCTCAGGCGAACAGCCCTGTGCAACATGTCTACAATCCGGCGTGGACTGCCAATACAGCTCTGCCTCGCGCAAGAAGCGCCTCAGATCCACTAGCGCGCATGGCACCAGTCTACCACTGGATGCATCACGGCCTCCTGATGGACAGGAATATTCAATTCCGAAAGCCATCAGCACGCCTGGTAGTACGACCTCCCCTGCCTTGTTCAATCGTGGGGATGCAGGGGTGAGTCATTCCCTCGAAGCGAATTCTGGCGCCGCGTTTGTACGCAAACTTGGGCTGCGCATTGATCCTGCGCGTGCGCCGAGGTTGCATCTTTTTGCATGGAATGTAGGCGAGAGGCGGTTATCGTCTGCACTTTCCACAGAGCCTGGGAAGGCGCTGGCGCCGGTGCTTATTACGAAGCTTCTTTCTCTGGAGGAGATGCGACGGTTGGAGGCGATATATTTCGAAAAGGTTGATCCTTGTTATTCTTTTCTGGATCGCCATTATGTTCAGTCTCGTATTGCACAGCGTTGGGACGTGTCCGAGCTACTGGAACAATCATATGATGCCGTCTTATATGGCGTCGCGGCATTTGGATACTTATTTTCAAACCGCGAGAGAATTCCCACTGAGCTCCACGTTATCGATGCAGCATATAATATTTTACAAAAGAGCATTCTGGGTGCAGAAACACCATCAATCGAGATCATAGCTGGTTGGGTTCTTCGTGTCGCCTATTTACGCATGACAGCCTCACCGCACGCCAGTTGGATGGCAAGTTGCACATTGATGCACTTAATTGAGGCAGCAGGCCTACACCTTGAATCAACAAACTCAAGTCTTCTCCACACATCGACAGACCAAAATCCCGAGACACCTTCAGATACCCGCCGTCTCTTGGGAATGGCCCGCCACCTAAACACCTGGATTTCATTCGACCTAGGCCGCTCCCGCGTCATAGCCCACGGCGCAACAACTAAAGTGCCCCAAAATCCTCATCGAGCCGATCTTCTCCATCTACTTCCCTTATCCGAAAGCCTCGACCCAACAACCTCGGCACAGCAAGACCTTCCCGATCTTGAAAATGCCCTAAACTCCGTCCTGGACCTAGTCTACACGGAACCATCATTAATCCTTGTCCAATGCAACCTGATGCTCTGCATATACCGTCGCGTTCGCGCTCTTAACGCCCATGCTCCACTCTCGACCCGTCCAGACCGCTTCCTCGCTATCGCAAGTCGTGGTCTTCGCGCTGCACGTGAAATGGTAGCTTCCACTTGCCCGTGGCATCAGGTCGCTAACGTCCCTTTCCAAGTTGTCTGTACACTTCTGGCCATCGATAACCGGGCCGCGTTGGCATTGCTTCCGGACGCTATGCTGACGCTAAAGGAAGTGGTCACGGTCTACGATACGGATGTTATGCGGGAAGCTTATTCGACGGCCTATTTGCTTGTTGCTATGCATCAGCGGCGGAAGGAGGATGATACGCGTGCGTTGGCGGATGTATTAAGGGCTAATTCGGCGGCTGCAGCTGTTTTTGGGCAGCAGGATGATGGTGGTGGTGGTGGTGGTGGTGGTGGTGGGAATGAGTTGGCTGGGAAGGATTCAGAGAAGACACATTTGGAGGAGGTGGTTCAACAGACACATGCACCTGTTTCGGATGTTGAGGTCTCTTGGTTGGGGGATTTGGTCATTGATATGCCTAGTTTGCAGAATTTTGATATGGATCAATTTCTTATGACTGATGTGCCGTGGCCGTGGCCTGAGATGGGGATATAAAAATCCGAGAAGAATACAGATGTGTCCTCTTGAATACATATTGCTCCTGACTTGGATGAACTTTCTTTCTATATCGGCAGATGCCGTATTGCCCTACAAGGCCCACATATCAAATATTCTACACTTATCTCGGTCTATTTTGAACTGTCTAGATGATATCTCGTGCAAGGTTTCCGATATGGTTTTTTCCAGAAGTTTGATCAGAATCGGTACTTTGAGATATAAAGTTCCATACTGAGGCGCATTATACTACACAGGGGTGGTAGGTATAGGGACATTAATGTCCTCTCGCACGTACTTCATGCACTAGGTACACGTAGGGACACCATGTATGTATTGTCATAACACGACTAGATTCAATCTGCTTGTAACTTGAATAGAAGTAGGTACGGAGTAGTAAAAGGAGAATCACGGCCTCCGTAAGGATCAATGTCAGATAGAAATAACTGGACGCCATCGGCCACCCTATAGCTTCGTAAGAAGAGGGCTACCAGCAGTAGAGCGGGGACTATTACGAGATAAATTTGCTTTCCCTCGCATTAGGTGAAAGAATAGTGCAATAGGAATAACCATATCTGTACTTTTACACCGACTCCTTGACTACCCCACTTCGAATCTAAATAGTGTCTAGTCGACTGCAGCCACCAGGACAACTGAGGATTTCAATTGACCTTCGGGACCGGGCCGCATATGATGGCATAGAAACTTTGCAGGGATCGCTTGCTGTCTGCTTGGTCCATAATTTTGCGGATTCTTAGCGGTCAACATGTTTGGTGCAGAGGGTTGGGAGGTGGAGGCCGATCGCCAAGGCTATGTTGAATTGGGTTACGATTGGGTAATGTGGACGATCATGACGGTACATTCGTCAATTTCAGGTTTCTCAGGCTAGTACCTTCTGAAGCTGCCGTTTTGTTTGTTTTTTTCCTGTCCTTTCATAGACGTTTGTTAAACAGAGTACGTATTGTAATTTTGGTCTCTACATAGATTCCAGAGTAAAGCACACTGAATTCTAGTTTCTTGTAAAACCACTAGAGATATCGTATTCAGTAGCTAATGGGTCCTTGGAAATCCAATGACTGCGATTTGCTCTTAATTAGCGGTGAGACGCCATAATTACCTTATTATCACGCGTGATAAGGCGGAAACAGACCAGTCAGCAATCGTGGGCTGCCGATGTCGGCCCGGGCTCATGATTGGCCATCCGCGCTCGGGGAGGGCACGTGCCCGCACTGAGTCAACGAAAAACCTCTTCCGGCTTCCGTCTTCTCTTCTTTCTCTTCCCCAGTCTACCCTGAACACTCTCCACTTAACTCATTCGATACTCATGTCTCACTAAGGAATTTATTTTCCCTCCCTTTCTCTGACTGCTACACCTAGAGTCGCGCTTATGTGTTTGGCACCCTCAACTTTCACCTCCCAGGACTATATCTCGGGTATGTTTCACAATCAACAACCTCTTTGGTCTCGCCATTGACCCTCCATACTAACCATGTCGCTCTCATAGATCACCTTTGGAAGTCTTCCATCAACTGAATTGACCTACGTGTTTATTGTTCAGTAAATTCTCGCATCTTATTCATCTCAAAATGTTCATGAACGTCTTCAAGGCCATGCCCACCCGGGCTGCGGCTTTCACCACCATGAAGAGCCCTGCTCAGGCCCGCTTCATGGCCACTGTCCGCCAGCGTGCTGCTATGGAACCTGCCACCTTTACCATCCGTGACGGTCCCATGTTCACCGGAAAGTCTTTCGGTGCTCGCTCCAACATCTCCGGCGAGGCCGTCTTCACCACCTCCCTGGTTGGGTACCCCGAGTCCCTGACCGACCCCTCCTACCGCGGTCAGATTCTGGTCTTCACTCAGCCTCTGATTGGCAACTACGGTGTTCCCTCCGCCGAGAAGGATAGCAATGGACTCCTGAAGTACTTCGAGTCCCCCAACCTGCAGGCTGCCGGTGTCGTCGTCGCCGACGTTGCTGAGCAGTACAGCCACTGGACTGCTGTTGAGAGTCTGGGTGAGTGGTGTGCTCGTGAGGGTGTGCCCGCCATCTCCGGTGTCGACACCCGTGCCATTGTCACCTACCTTCGTGAGCAGGGTTCTTCCCTGGCCCGCATCACTGTCGGTGAGGAGTACGATGCCAACGAGGACGAGGCCTTCACCGATCCCGAGCAGATTCACCTGGTGCGCCAGGTCAGCACCAAGCAGCCCTTCCACATCAGCGCTGCTGACCCCACCTCCCACGTGGCTGTCATCGATTGTGGTGTGAAGGAGAACATCCTGCGAAGCCTGGTTGGCCGTGGCTCTAGCGTCACTGTCTTCCCCTTCGACTTCCCCATCCACAAGGTCGCCCACCACTTCGATGGTGTTTTCATCTCCAACGGCCCCGGTGACCCCACTCACTGCCAGGACACTGTCTTCCACCTGAAGCGTCTGATGGAGACCTCCCAGGTCCCCATCTTCGGTATCTGTCTCGGTCACCAGCTGTTGGCTCTGGCTGCCGGTGCCAGCACCATCAAGCTCAAGTACGGAAACCGGGCTCACAACATCCCCGCTTTGGACCTGAGCACTGGTCGCTGCCACATCACCAGCCAGAACCACGGTTACGCCGTTGATGCCTCCACTCTTCCCTCCGACTGGAAGCCTTACTTCGTCAACCTGAACGACCAGAGCAACGAGGGCATGATCCACAAGTCTCGTCCCATCTTCAGCACCCAGTTCCACCCTGAGGCCAAGGGCGGTCCTCTCGACTCGTCTTACCTCTTCGATATCTACCTGGACAGTGTGCTGAAGTACAAGAACAGCCAGGCTGGCCTTTACCCCCAGCGTGATAGCCGCCCCAACGGTCTGTTGGTGGACCTGTTGGCTAAGGAGCGTGTGGGTGTCCAGCCCACCATCGGCATGCAGAACATTGCTGCCGCTGCCGCTGCCGCTGCCTCGGCTTAAATGTTCTAATGCTTTATTGGGAGTTTGGTACTTGGTTGGAAGGCAAACATGGGTCTTTTTTGTTCATTGTTCATAGTTCATAGTTCATTGTGGCATTTCAAATTTTATCTATTTAAATAACTTTACATCATAAATATCCTTATACCGTAATTGCACGTAGCTGAAAATCTACTTGATCGTGAACTGAACATTATTGTCATTGAGCAAGTATATCATTGCCTTCCGCATGCTTTTTTTTCTTCGTTATCATTCGTAGCATAAGTGCAATCTATTTCGCCACAATGGAAACCACATCCTCATCCGCTATCGCATGCCCCAAGCCCACACGCTGTGGCACATGTCTGGCACTGGCACCCCACACCAAGGCATATTTAAAGGTATCCTTGAGGGTGCGGTGGATCTGGTCGCAGACGTCCTCGATGGTGGAGTCCCTACGCACGATAAGCGCCTCATCGAAATTAGGCTCTGTTCCCTTTCTGTACATCCATTGTCAGTCAGAAGCCGAACCGATATTAGAATCATATGCCGTAAAAGCAGGGTCAATACCTCTTGGTGTAAAGACGCATCAATCTCAATTCCTTCCAGATCCGTTCAACGACCTCCTGCACTCCTAAATCGAGTTCACAACTCATGACGGCTGTGTAAGGCTCACGGGCCAGCTGGTCTAGGAACTCGAGGCTGACGCTATCAATTTTGTTGTAGACATAGAGGCTATTACATGTTAGCAGATTCACATGATTACCAGTCCAGCTCACTGTCTTCTTACCAGCGAATGTACTTGCGGTGGTCCTTCATGATAACATCAATGAAGTCATCAATTGTAGCTATTCGCAATTAGCAAGTTGCCACCCATCAAGCTTCAAGAATCTCATACCATCCTCATCTCGCACCAGCACCTCGCAGTTGAGGATCTTGTAGTCACGCAAGACGTTGTAAATCATCCGCTCATCCAGGCCCTTTGGTGGTGACGAGAAAGTAATCTTCATACCACCAGCCTTCTTGACCTTGAGATAAATATTCCTAAATACAGTCAGTCGTCTGCAACTCATCAAGCCTTGCAACTTCAACTGATTCAATACATACGGAGGCTCCTTATTCAATCGAATACCAACAGCATCCAACTCGGCCTCCAACAAAGCCCGTTGCTCTGCCTTCTTAGTAGCATCCAAGACCATCAGAATCAAATCACTGGTCTTCGCAGCCGAAATAACCTGACGACCACGACCCTTTCCTTCCGAGGCACCCTCAATGATACCGGGCAAATCCAGGATCTGGATTTCGGCACCACCATACTCCAGGACACCGGGAATGGCTGTCAGGGTAGTGAAAGAGTAGGCTGCAGCCTCACTTTTGGTCTTGGTGATCTTGGACAAGAAAGTGGACTTTCCGACGGATGGAAATCCAACCAGTGCTACACGGGCATCACCACTCTTGCTGACATCGAAGCCTGCACCACCACCAGAGCCGGCACCACCTACAGGCTCGAGAAGTTGAGCTCGAAGACGAGCGAGTTTTCTGTGAAAAGGTTAGTATGCGATGATACACATGGGGATTTGGGATGGCATACCCTTTCAATAGACCCAGATGATATTCTGATATGATACAGAATCAATATATGCATCACCTTAGAGTTCAATCAGGCTGTATCTTACCTGTCGCCTTATTCTCTGCGGGGCATTAGCGGGGTGATAAGCTTGGATATCGGGTCAACTTACTCTGCGTCCGGCGCATCTCATCCTCAATCCTGCAAAATATAAGCATCAGGACGTGAAAACAATCCCCAGAGTACATACTCCTTGATCTTTTCTGTAATGTTCACCATTGTGCCGGTTGATTCTCTCCAAACTCGCTAAAGCAGAAATATCACTTCGAGTTTAGCGTTTTTGTTCGTCGTGAAAACCGCTCGCCGGCCGCCAAGACGATTATGTAATCACTTTTTGCACCGATCAAGCTCCGCGATACTGTGAACCTTCATTCAACGTTCACTCAGTTCTCGCCCCAACCATGGCCGAATCCCCAGTCGCCGAACCTGACATGGTTCAAGATACTGCTCTTGTGCCGCAGGAGCAAACAGAGCAATCAGAGCAGCAGCAGCTTGAACCCGTCAAGAAAACCAAGAAGATCATTCGGAAGAAACGCCGCCCAGCTCGCGTTCAGGTCGATCCTTCAGAAATCAAGTCGGAACAGCCACCGCAGACTGGAGACCTTTTCAATATTTGGTACAGCAAGTGGTAAGTGTGCTGATCGCGCGATCGTGGTCTGTCTGTTTGCGCGAATCATTGTCTAATTTATGCTCGAACAGGTCCGGCGGTGATCGCGAAGACAGATTTGGATTGAATACACCAGCTCCGACGAGATGCGACCCTATTAGGGATTCGGGATATACCAAGGCGGATCGCGTGACTGGTTCATTCTTCTGTGTACGTGCGCTCGACATCGTTTACGCCTGGGACGTGTGCTGATACTGGTTTCGCTAGCTTTATTTCGCGAAGGGAACGTGCTGCAAAGGAGCAGATTGCGAATATCTTCATCGGCTACCGACTATTCATGATCTCTTCAATCCTAATGTGGATTGTTTCGGTATGGACCTCTACCTTCAATGACTGGTTCACGAACTAACAGCAATGTGTTTCATAGGCCGCGATAAGCATTCGGATTACAGAGATGTACGTTTTTCCCACTTCGATCACGCTCTAGTAGCTAAAGTGGCTACAACTTTGAAAGAGCCGCGCGCTAACAACTATATAGGATATGGGTGGTGTTGGATCCTGTAAATCATGACGAGCACCCTTTTCTTTTCCTGTTACTGACCTTCTATAGTCCAACGGCAAAATCGCACACTCTATGTCGGACGTATTCATGTTTCGGTTGGTGGATATATTCATATGTCAGAATACGGGTAATTAACTTTATCTTTCAGGACGCAATCGAAGAAATCGTGGCCCGCCATTTCGCGCCATGGGGAGAAATCGCACGAACAAGAGTTTTAACCGGCCGCGGAGTTGCTTTCGTGACATGTAAGTTATGAACCCAAAGCTTATTGAGTACCATGCTAATACCTCTTAGATGTGAACGAGGCCAACGCCCAATTCGTAAGTGGAATTGAAATGCGCACAGGGCGCTTGACTAATTTAGTATACAGGCCAAGGAAGCTATGAGCCATCAAGCCTTAGACGACAGTAAGTCCCAGCTGAACCATCCACGAAAACAGTCATCTAATCATATCCCCCGACAGACGAAATTCTAAACGTACGATGGGCAACAGTCGACCCGAACCCGATGGCACAAAAGCGCGAGGCCCGTCAATTGGAAGAGCAGGCCGCTGAAGCAGTGCGCCGCGCATTACCGGCAGCATTCGTGGCCGAGATCGAAGGCCGAGACCCCGAAGCCAAGAAACGGAAGAAGATCGAGGGTAGTTTCGGGTTGGATGGATACGATGTTCCAGATGATGTTTGGCACGCTCGTACACGACAGCTTGAATCAGCACCAGAGACTGCGCAGCTTGAGGCACCGGAAGAACCGTTGATGATCGAAGCTTCATACGCACAGCCTGAGGAGACTCAGGGCGGAATCTTCTCCAGTGCGACTGTGGCTGCATTGCGGGGACTTGGTGGTGGTAATATTAAGACACAGGCTGCGCCCAAGCCTTCTGGGCCTTTAGTTGCATATGGAAGTGATGATGAGAGTGACTAGGCGGTTATGCGTGGGCAAGGCTCGACAATCTAACGTTTGTGATTCTTCCGTGTACTATAGCGATACCTCTTCAAAATTCGAAAGATTCTTGTCCATGCATATTGACGTTATTCATAACGGGGTATCCCGAGTATTCGCTAAAATATGATATGACAATGAGGGGAGATGATACTTCCACACAAAATAAATACAATCAACCGCCCAGTGATACAATGCAATAAATCCCATAATCATGTGTGATGCAAGATAACACAACAATTCAAAACACTAACTCCCCATCCCTTTTTCTATTCCTTCCTCTTCGTAATCCCCATTCATAATCATCTGTCGCTGCAACCAAGGTCATAGTACACACACGACCCAGTCCGATAGTTGTAGATGAACGCATTGGTGTAACTATCAGGCCTCTCACTCGATCGAGCCTCAGAGCCGAAATCCATAAGCAGATCATAAACCTGACTTAGATACTTCCGTTCAGTAAGCGGAGCATTCTGAATGACACTCCGCCAACTCTCCGTATCCGAAAGTCTCGTACCGCGAATAGCAGCCAGAACCTCATCACGGGTATCGATAGCAGCAACGGGTCCATTCCGGGCATTATCAGCAACCTCCCTCGAAGAGAGTAAAGCCGACTCGACAATATTTCTTCGGTTTGTCTTTTTGCTTCGGTGCTGCGGGACAAGAATGCGAACGTTGTTCGCCTTCTCGTTTGACTGGATGGAATCTTGTTGGTTTGGTTGGCGGGATTGACGTGGTTCTGCTCCTTCGCGGTGGTGACGGGCTTGGACTTCTGATCGAAGCCAGGAAATCAGTTCCGAAGCCCGGATATCGAATTCTTCGCGACGGACTAGGTTGCGGACTTTGTAACCGCGCTCTTTGCTGTCTGCTTTGGCGATTACGATCCAGCGGTGGTTGTGTTCGCGGTATTTGACCATCAACTCCTCGAGGGATGAGGCGTCCACGGCTAATTCGGCACTAATGTCATTTGTCCAGAGGTCTTCGACTATTTTAATGCCTGTCGTGCGGAGGACGGTTGGGTCGAAGCTGGAGACTAGGACGTCGCATCTACGGGCTGTCCAGTAGAGTTCGGCGCCGGAGTCTGTTTCTTTGGGTGGTGTTCTTTTTTCGAGGTATGTGATCGTTAAGGATCTGAGTGTATCGGTGCTGAGGTTGAATCCGACGGCGTGGGCTTGTGGTCGGTTGGATACGGCTTTCGGTGAGAACTCTTGGATCAAGCGGTCGTATCGGCCACCGGCGGCGAAAACGTCGCGGCGCTTTGCATCGAATACGCATTGGAAGAGGATGCTGCCTCGGTAGAACTTGTCATTCAGGCTGCTTAGTGGGTTGATGTAGACCTTGCGTTTCACACCAAAGCTTTGCAGGTAAGCCATGAGCATATTCAAACGAGCAAAGATGGCGGGAACTCGGTCTGCATATTCAGTGCCTTCCATGATAGTTTGAAGTCTTCGCTGCGTTTCTTTCGGCGTGTCTATTGTGGTATGTTAGTGTTGTTTGATCAACTGCACAAATCGCACATACCTTTGAAATCAAAACGAGCAAGGTCATCGAGGGAGGTAGATGCCACACCAATCGTCGGAGACCGGAGTTCACTTCGAATTTTTTGCATCGTGTATTTTCCGACATTGAGCTTGCTGATAACGTCTCTCACCGCGGGAATTTGAGCAGGAGTAATGCGGCAGAACTCCATGATAAGCTGTAGGAGATCAGAGTGATTGACAAGGAAGCACATTGAAGAAGACCGGAGAGGTGGGAACTCCTCAATGATTTCGTCTAACACTTTGATAACCTCGGCCTCCTTAAGAGCAAGATCTAAAGTGTTGTAGGAAACGATATCAAAGTCCACCTCACGATGGGACCGGGGCTCACTTCCGTGAGTCGAATCCCTGTAAACAGTTCCAAAAGCAAATGTCTTCTCCAGCGAGCGATCCTGTCGGGGAATTGCACGCGCGTTTGGGAGGGTGAGATCGAACGGCAGCTGCAAAAGATTACCGGAAACGTCCAACAATCGCACGGGCCTGTTGGAATTATTGGAATAATGGTGGGATCGTGGGAATAGCATTTGTCTCGGCGATTCCACTGCACCATGTCTTCGGAAGATCGATGTTAACTTCTGCTTGACAAGGCCTGTAACGACTAGCTCATTCGCAGCCGGCGCCCCGTGAGTCTCCATATCCCAAGCGATATCCTCGAATTTCTTCGGCGATTGAGAAAATATCGCAGAAAGAATTTTTTTGTAATCAGGTGAGTTTGGATCGGAAAGCAGATGCACAATTGCACGTCGGAAAGTCTCTTCTTCAACCTGGAGAGGAATTCTTCCACTAGACAAAAGTTCGGCAGCTGTTGGCCGTTCGCTAGGCGTATGGTTGAGAAGAGACTCAATGATCTGGCCTTGAATAAGCTTTTCAGATTGTTCAAAAGTAGATGGAAGTTTGTGGTTGGGCTCTCTGATCGCTCGAAGCGTTTGATCACGCTCCATACCCGTCGGCAGCGGGTGACACATCTCGAAGAATATGACACCGAGGGAAAACATCTATCATGGGTTAGTATAGTGGATATAGCAGGCTGGTGTCAGAGATACTCACATCAACTTTCTCGTTGTATTGACCCGAAATGCCCGACTTCATTTCCGGTGCGACATAGTAGGTCGTTCCCAGACTACGGGTGAAATTGCCATCATAATCACCTGGGGCAGACGAACGTACTGCTGTCGTGAATTGGCCGCTGGTGGCGAGACCAAAATCACCAATGCGGGGGTTGTTGGCAACATCAATGAAGATGTTATCCGGTTTCAGATCGCGGTGAATGATACCATGACTGTGAATATGGCTCAGTCCATCAAGAATCTGTCGGAACAAGCGCCACGACCGATCAACGTCATCACATAGTCCGTTCTTGATCAGATCTCGCAGAGTATGCTTTTCACAATATTCCATTTGAATGTATAGAGTGTTCAAGACAGGTCGACCATATGAGCCAGATCTAGTATGGCTGAGCTCAGTACTATCTTTGCTGTCCGTTCCAAACCATCCAGGCGATTCTTGTTGACGACCATCCGAGATTGTTCCCTCGTTTTCGTCGTCACTATCACTGGCAGCGAATTCAATTTTCGGATACCCGCTGGAACTAATGAAATCAAGACCCCCCGGACTTAATTCATGATTATCCCGGCTGCCAAACGATTCACCTTCGGTAGATGAAATGGCCTCTTCATAAATGTGATGAAAATCTTCCTCTAGCCATGCGGTATAATACCGAACGACGTAGGGGTGATTCAATCGCGAAAGAAGCATGATCTCAGATAGTGTATCTTTCAACGCTGGAGCGGAGGACTCAGTGATCTTTTTGACGGCATAAAATCGGCCATCGAGTTTGTTTCTTGCTTTGACAACTTGTCCGAATCCACCTCGTCCAAGGTGACCCGCTTCATCAAAATCGTGGTGGTATCGCGAAAAAGTCGGCAGTGTACCAAAAGAGTCCAGTCGGGGTCTCCTCTGCATGGATACAGAGTTGGAGGTTCTCTCACGCATTGTCAGTGGCGCATCGACCCGGAAGAACTCTGATGGCAGCAGCTGAAAAGCAGTCGCACGTTTCTTGGGATCTGGTCGGAAGAACTCTCGAAGCAGATCCTGCAGCGGCGGAGAGAGACCCAAGGAGACCATTAATTGGTTGGCCGAGGTATATCTCAACAAAACATCTTTTCCGAATGCCATCTGCAGCAAAACAATGCCCAGGTCCCAGACATCAGTCTTCATGGTTGGTAGAGCGCCCTCCTGGGTCAGCTCAGGGGGAAGCCATAATGGTGACTTGGATGCATTCAGAGAACGCTTTGTACCGGGAGAGTCTGGCAGAGCCTCTTCCACGCTGGACTCTAGCTTAACAGTCGTTGCACCAGACTCATTCCTAAATATCATGACTCGACCACAGTTGATAGTTCCATGAACAAATCCACTTCGGCGGTAGAATTCTAAGGCTTCAAGAAGTTGAATCATCCAGCTGCGGAGTGTCTCAACCGCAACAGTTCCGACAATATCCAGAAGTTCCGAGAGCGAGCCTTTATTGGCATGCTCAAAGAGAGCATATACAGTCCACAAGTCGTCCGATGAATTGAAGTCGCTGAGAGGACGAGTGATTTTGAATCCTACAAAATCAACTACATTGGGGTGCCGAAGTCGTTTCAAGCTCTCCAATTTATCCTCGCTGGTTCGCATCTGTTCACGGAATGACACAACATTGGAGCTTTTCTCATCTAGGAATATCTCCTTGAGAACTAATTGCGGGACATGACATCGACCTTCAGATACAACTGGTCTCACAGTGTACGTTGTCTTCGCCTGGTTGGAGCGCAGTAGCGTTTTTCCATGCACGGCACGGAACACCAGTGGTTGCCCATCAGTGTCATGTACCGCCACCGGCGGGTCAAAGGAGATAGCACCCGGTGTGTTCTCCACAAGATCATCCACTTCATTGGAATCCACCCCACTCGTGCGGCTCTTTCGTCGCAAAGCTCGCACTCTGTTCCGCTGCCGGATCTTGTCTTGAAGCATTGCTTGCAAAGCGTGCTCCTCTGCCGCGCTAGCAGCTTCCTGTTTGCGGATTTCCTCTTGCTTTTCAAGCTCCGCGCGCTGGATGGCTGCTGCTTTTTGTTCCATCCGCTCCTCTTCCAGACTCGGTAGGTCTTTATTCTGCTCACGCGCTTGCGCTACATCTTCCAGAATATCCTGAATTGAGACCGCCAATTCGTAAATCATTTCAGAACCCAGAAGGGACACGGGCTTTTCGCGAATAATCTCTTGAATGCGGGAGCGGGCCCCATCGCGAAAATCGTCAAGGTTATTCAGTGAGAGATTGGGGACGCTTTTAGGGTAGGTAGCGGGCAGTTCAACTAGAAGCCTTAGACAGATATCTGGGTTGGAGGAGGCTCTGAGGTGGAGCTTGAAAATCACGTTGGAGGATTGCTAGTTTAGGTCACAACGGTCAGTCACGTCTATAATAACGCGAGGACAGCGAAGCTTGGTACACACCTGCCATGCAGATGGCCGATTTTCGACATCTTCAAAGTCATCGCCATAGATTGAGCGAAGTGCTGCCACCTCATTAAGGTGGATTTCTCGGTAATTGGTAGTTGCGATTGGGGATGTTAAGGTCGACGAGTCGGAGGATTGCTTTTTCTGGCGGGGAGCTTTCTTCCTGTTTTTGGGAGACATCGCGGGGGCGTGGCGCGAAATCGCCCTACATCCGGACTTGAATGAACGGCATGGGGAAAGAAGAAGAAAAAAAGACAATGGTTATGAAGGAACAGAGGTAAGAGAGCCAAGCTATTTTCTCTTACGAGGGGAAAAACAGGCGGTCAGATAGAACTTATCGATAGCAGAAGTGGAGTCACCGCTTAGTATGAAATGACGTCCCGTTGGTTATAACTCAAGTAACAAGTTGTATGGAAGTATACGTGTAAGAGTTTATGATAATTATAGAGAAAGATGAATCAGTAGTCTATCTGACTTGATCAATATACCCAGACCAAAGGGATTTTAAGGTACAAAGACTGCCTGCCCAAGTGTGGAGATGTCGGCGTTAGTCAAACTCCTGTACATTTGGCACTGCAGTAGTCGATGCCACCATAACTGGTTTCACCTTGTTGTCTGAATGACCCACATAGGCAATGGGTAGTTTTACTGCGAAATGGCAAATCTCCATAAAGAACTCATCTATAGAGTTCCTATGACAGCCTACACATTGCAACCACTCTATCGAGCTCTATAAATGAAAAATCCAGACAATAGATCGTAAGAAACAGCTAGGCATTGTGAATAGAGGTCTTGTTATGTCTGAACTTGGCTTTTGCCTCCTAGATACGTTGTAAGATCCACTTAGCATCATCATTGTGGGTCTTTTTGAATGACCACCTGGAGGTATACTAGTCGGTGTACAACGTAAAGCCATTGAGTCCATGATCATGTCATTGAAAAGAATAGCTAATAGAGCAACCTATACACTAATATCTTAGTCATTCTATCTATCCTACAGTTTTCATCCAGTGACATCTTTCTTCGTGATGCTAAAACGATAAACACCCCTGTATGGCCTCGCTCTGATCCAATTACCTTGTCAATCGGTGTCATAAAGCTTTAAGATACAACATGGATCATGAATCTCATGGGATATCGCGAAGAACCAAGACTTCAACCATCAAGATCAGCGGTGCATACCCCTAACGACTCCACTGGCCTGTCGTGAGACTAGCAAATCGCGCCGTCGGCAAATGCAAGTGCACTAGTAATAGTCAAAATCCAAATTAGAGACTTGGAACCGCTCAAAAAAAGGGCAATATGGATGGTCAGTCCCATAAAAATATCGCGCACTCCATAGACCGCCACATGACTGTTGTCCATTTTCCAGTCTGCGGCACCGGCGAGCGGCTCAAATCGAAGAATGACAACGCATAGGCAGGGCGCACAGGAGCATTGATACAAGTACCAGTCATCTAAGCAGACAGCCTGTGAGAAAATCGATTTGGAAAGGGGCTTTTGTCACATAGTAACCGAGAATATTTGAAGTTGTAGGTTGTAGTAGTTGGCGGTGTGCGTGATGCGAGGAGCATGAGGTCACATCAACAGACAAGGGGCCATCACGATCACGAGCTCAGGGGCCTGACTGCTGACTCCTCGTGCCTAAAATCTGATTTCGTCTCGTTCCCTTAATTTGACGTTGGCGGGACCGTGGTAACGTTGCAAGGACGCGGCTGCGATCTGATGTTGATTATCGATAAGCGCCCTTCCCCGACGCGTTGTTTACTCGTCACAATTTCTCCCGCTTATCTTTCCACACCACAGCAAAATGCTGGACTGGATGAAGGGAAATGAGTCAGAGGCTGCTGGTGAGTCAATATATTATAAAACTAAAAGCAAAATACTAATCAACTGCAGATGCCTCAAAAGTGCTTGAACCCCCCGAGACCCCAGCTCCCGTCTTTGCGATTCGCGCCTTCAAAAGTGCTTTGTTTGGAACCCCAGGCGCAGACGATGAGAAGACACCCCACCCAGCGCAGGCAAAACAATCGGTTCAAGGTCATCAGCGCAGTAAAAGCGAAACCAAGCCCATGCCCATTCCCATTCCCCAGAAGATGGAGCCCAACAAACCCGATCTGGACGCGATAGCCAACCCGTCTGGCTCCCCAACAAAGAGCATCCTCGTTACCCCAGGCACGATCTCGAACCGACGCAAGACTGTCTCTTTTGGTGAGAGTGTGGTGGACAACGAAGGAAAGCGCGACAGTCACTCGCTCAAGGTGGTCAAGACACCTCCGAATCCATCCGGCAATCTTAGCACTCAGTGGTTGTCCGGATCGGCTGGTGGAAAGCCACACAGCAAATTGACGCAGACCTTAATGGATGCCCGCGATAATGCGACGAAGAATGCGGATTCAAGCAAAACCGAAGCGTCGTCCGAAGCTTCGTCCGATACCAACATCGCTATGCGCCAGTCTAAAGATGAAAGCGAGGGAGAGGATATTACGCTCAACATGGATGAGCCCCGTTCTGATTCGGGCAAGTACTGGAAAACGGAATTCGATAATTATCGCGTACGCACGAATCGCGAAATCAAGAAATTAATCCACTACCGGGCCATCGCGAAGTCTTACGCCCGCAAGAAGGATTCGGAAGCGGTTCGACTGGCGGATAAGCTCAAGGAGGAAGAGGAGAAGGTTGCAGAGATGGAACGACAAGTGACACGCCTTGCTTCTTCGATCACTAAACAGGGATCCAAGGCCGATAATGAGCAATTGATCCAGAATTTGACAAAGCAAACCACCTTAGCGCTACAATACAAGCAGCAGGTCTCTTCCCTACGTGCTCTCCTGGAGAAACAAGGGGTTGTGAAAGATGGCACGGCTCAGGTTAGTGAGCCAACGAAGGAAAACTCCTCTTCAGATACGTCTTCGGATGAGCTCCGGAAAGCGCAGAAGGAACTCAAGGAAGCAAACGCCAAAATCGAAGAGCTGAAGCGCCAAAACCCGGACCTGAGCAAGCTTGAAACTCTCGCACAGAGCTCAGAGAAGAAGGCGCAAGAGCTGGAAAAGGAGAATCATAGCCTTAAACAAACCCTGGCTCGTGTCAAGCAAGAGATGTCGCGATACGAAGGCCGGCGCAAGGAGAAAGAGAACAAGTTAAAGCAAAGAGAAGCCAAACTGGAAGCACGCATCCAGGAATACCGCGAGCGCCTGAAGAACACCACGCAAGAGCATCGACAATCAGAAGAAGCACTACGAAAGAGCTTCGATGACGAACGCCGCCGCATGCAAAGCCAAATCGACCAGCTAAAGACAAGAGTCTCAGCCGTAGAACGCGCCCCTACTCTCCGCTCTCAACGCCATTCGCTCAGCCCGCGTAAAGAATACACCGGTGTGCAGGTATACGATTTTGCAGGTCAAAGTCAGAACCAGAACCAGAACGAGAACCTCGATCACCCCGAGGTAGAGGAGGAAGCCACAGAAGATATTGAGGCACCACCAAGCCCAAGTCCGCGTTCCAAGTCCCGTGAAGTGCGACACGCGCGCAACACCACCGGTAGCCTCGAGCTCAAACGCGCATCCCAAGATATCCGAAATATCGCCACAAACGACGACGAAGTCACACACTACCTAAACGAGATCCTGCCCCGTCCAGCTCTCCGTACCCGGCATACAGAGGATGTCGTCCCTCCTTCCTCGCCCCCTGATATCAGTGCATTCAAGTCTCTTGGCCGTGGGAGCTCCAAGTACCAACCTGGTGAAAACCGCACATACCGTTCTCTCTACCTTCGTGATCCGGATGCAAATACAAATACAAATACGGCATATGCAAACTCTCACCGCCCGCGAACACATATCAGGTCTACTTTGGATACTCTCTCCGGACCGACTGCTTCACGGGTGGGTAATTACGCTGGATACACCATTTCTGGTGGAGAGCGGCTTGGGAGACGATATGGGTTGGCTAATGTTGCCAGTGAAGCCTTATCCCCCGAGCGAGTTGCCGCGGCCAAGTCGCGGCTGAGGCAGAAGCGTGAAAAGGCGAAGGCCTCGGGAAAAGAGAATTTATGAGATTCGCTGTTTTATTAGAGTTGATCGATTTCCCTGGTGGGGCTCAGTCTCTTTTCTGTCTGTGTATAGGGATGGATGTTTCTATTTATTTTCTTAGTGATGAATTGAATATTTCCAGAACCAGAATACCAATGAACGAGTAAGAGTAATGTACACCATCGCGTCAAGGCAGAGCAACATCTGCACATCTGGACATTGTAGGCCGATCATATTCCTCATGCAGTTTGTCCTTAGTGCCCAGGCAGCTCATATCCAGGTCTAGGTGAATGGGTCCCAAATGTAGCGGGTAAAGTTCCAAATGCCCCGACCTCTGAGTCCCAGGCGAAACCGGAACCGTAGAAGGGCCGCTTTTATTTCAAGTGCCGAGCTATTTCATCCGGCACACTTGCAATCGACCTTGGCTCAATCACGCAAAAGCTTGGTGAGGGTCACTTCACACAAATCGTAGGTGAAATCAGGGTTTGACTTCATAAGCTTCGAACTTATCATCGGGCTACTTCCTCTCCGAAGAAAGTAAAGGTTTCCCTTGACGTTCTCCATGACTACCTTTCTCAGCTCCTTATAGTCAGCTCTTGTTGAGTATATCTCTTCAATAGTCTCTGCAAACGTATCGCCATCCACTACTAAACTAGCAGGGACTTGAAACGAGCCATTGTACCCGCCCAGGAATGATTCGCGGAAAGACTCCAATATGTTTCGTTTGAGATCATCGATCATAAAGTAATCTGCCTCGGCGTACAGACGTGCTTTGAAGTAACATGCGCTACGGCCAGCTACCGAGTCGGCTGGGGGTATCTTTCCCTGGGCGAGGCGGGGCGGTATGGTGTACATTCCTTTGTACAGGAATTCAAGCACTTTTTCGATCAGAATGGGATCTTTGTCATCCAGATGAATCAAGCCACCCGCTTCCTAGTCGGGGCTCAGTTTATGTTCTCACCGTGGATGTAAATAGCCCTGGAATTCTATGCAGCCTCACCTTGAATCGGCCATCACATGCTCGATCAAAATACTTTGATCTTGGACAGACCACGAGCTTATGTGCCGGAAAGGTCTTCCCCTGGCACATGATCGTCATATCACTATGCTTCGTGTTGAGATGCGCACTAAACCCGTGTTAATGGCGGACTGTGCGGGGTAAGGGTTTGTTTTTTGATATCAGTACCTTACCTTTTGATTATACCCACAATTACATCCGTGTCCTGAAGGGGGGATGACAAAGAGCTAGGCTCTTGGGTCTTTCGGGCATATTGCTGGAGGGCCATTGCTCCTTAGGACTCAGGGTCTTGACAATTGACAGTGGAGTGTTATTTTGAAAAGAGCCTTGATATGTCAGGTGACAGGTTGTCGGAAGAAGAACTGAAGGAATGATTCCTTCATATGGATACAAAGGATTCAGATGCAGATGGGAGTTGAGTTGAAGGAGTCATATGCTGGTTCAAAGACTCCTCTCGCAACCAGTCTGCATTGGAGAGAGGATGAACTACTGTTCTGGCGGGCGGTGAATTATAGGCCCAGAGTGCACCAGAGGGCAAGGATTACGGGCGCCGCCAGTGAAGACCCGTCGAGCGCCTGTTCTTAACGCCTACGGATAATGGTCCATTTTTCTTGATTGGCTTACAGGTATATAGACCTGTATACAAAGCAGTCTATTTCGACGCATCTTAAGAGTATCATGTGCGACACATGACTTTTTCCGTCAATGTACTCCGACCACGGTCAACACCTAAATTACGAGACTGATAATGTTGCAAATTCGTCAATCCAATTGCTAGGTATAGTTAGCAAAGGCCTCATAGTCCGATTATATTGTATGTTCCCACGGTAAGATCCTTCGGTCAACATCAAATATCAAAACTTGACCATTCTCCAGTCCAATAGCCATCTGATCCCCTCGTATATCATAGCAGCGTGGCACAAAATCAGACGGTAGTGAAAGGACGCGCAACTCTCCCACCCATATCCACTGATCTCTGACATGTATGCCGTCGGGCAATGGTCCAAAGTCAGTGGCCTTTCGTCCACCGGGGGATCCACGAGCCATATAAGACCAATATTCGTGATAACAAAGCGGTTATCCGGTGAAAATTTGACAGTGGTGATAAACGCGGATATTTTGATTTCGCGGCATGGACGAAGCTTCAAACGACGGTCGATAGCACGCCCAAGATATTTCGAAGTCTTGAATGACGCTCTTAGATCCCAAAATATGATGATTTTATCTTCAGAGCTTGACACTATCTGCTTCCCATCCGTAGAAAAAGCCACAGCCGATACTAAGCCGGAGTGGCCTACCAGTGTATTTTGATGCTTGCCTGTTGCGGCATACCAAAGGTCGATGGCGTTATTAGAGCTTGACGCGATTTGCTTCCCATCTGGCGAGAAGGCCATGAGAAACACCCAATCAGGCTTGGCATCTAATGTCCTCTGATGCTCGCGTATCCCGGTACTCCAAAGCTTAATGATTTTCTCCAAAGAGTTTGACACGGCCTGCTTGTCATCCGGAGGGACCACGATTGTCACATTATCAGAGTGGTCTATGAATGTCTTTTTATGGTCGCCACCTATCATGGAATCCCAAAGCTTTCGGTTGTTATCCCGAAATTCGTCTGTGAGGTCCGGCTTGGCTTCCACATCCTTAGTATGGCCTTTCAGCGTCGTCTGATAGTCAGATCCTCACTTGGATGTCAGCGGAGTCTACAGTACTGTACATATAAAGAGCTTCAATATACTTTCAAGGTTATATCTTTCGATATAGCAGAATCTAGTTTGAATTGGCACATCATCTGTTTGGGGGTCTAGAGTTGTGTTGTTCAAACGATAACTCGTCATACAGTAACAGGAATACGGGACCTTATCTTTATTCTGCGCCGGCTTTCTTTAGTATTTCCACGATCTGGCGATGATCTTTATCATATGCTGCTTTGAGAGCAGACCCATACTCGCCGTTTGGTATATTCACATCTGCTCCCTTTTCGAGTAGCATTTCAACTATTTGCTGATTGCCAGCAGCTGATGCTGCCTGAAGAGCAGTGCTATAGACACCGCCTTGTATGTTGACATCTGCCCCTTTTTCGAGTAGCATTTTGACTATTTGCTGATTGTCAGCAGCCGATGCTGCCTGGAGAGCAGTGCCATAGTGACCACCTTGAATGTTGACATCTGCTCCTTTTTCGAGTAGCCTTTCAACAATCTGTTGGTCACCAGAAGTTGATGCCAGCTGGAGAGCAGTGCCATGTTCACCACTCTGTACGTTGATATCTGCCCCTTTTTCGAGTAGCAATTCAACAATTTGTTGGTGGCCCCAGTAAGATGCTGCCTGAAGAGCGGTCCCAAAATGACCACCTTGCATGTTGACGTCTGCTTCTTTTTTGAGTAGCATTTCAACTATTTTCCGATTGCCAACAGCCGATGCTGCCTGAAGAGCGGTCCCGAAATGACCACCTTGCATGTTGACGTCTGGTTCTTTTTTGAGTAACATTTCAACAATTTGGTGGTTACCGGCAGCCGATGCTGCCTGAAGAGCATTGCCATAGGTACCACCTTGTATGTGGACATCTGCTCCTTTTTCGAGTAGCATCGTGACAACCTGTTGTTTGCCTTTTCCTGACGCTATTTGGAGAGCGGTCCCATAAAAATCAGCAGATATGTTGACATCTACTCCTTTCTCAAGTAATATTGCAACAATCTGTTGGCTTTTTGTCATTGAGGCTGCATGGAGGGCTGTGAAATTGGCAGGGCCCCGGGCGTTCACATCAACCAAATCAACAAGTCGTTTAACGACCTGCAAAATACCAAAAAAACATGCTAGTTCAAGACCCGTATCAGTGTCATCGACTTGCCAGTGAGCGGAGTGGAATGAAAGCCAAATTTTTGCAGCCCGTCCTTTGACATTACAGAGCTGGAGTGCTTCATTCTCAAACTGATCGGCAAGGAGAGCATCTTGATTTCTGAAGTGCTCAGTCCAGTATAAAGCAGAGTAGTGGAGGAAAGTAAAAGGCCAATCATTGTCGGGAGTCTGAGGGTTTAGGGGAGAGCTATCATCTGTTGGCAATTCGATGTCGGGAAGCAACAAATATTGAACACATGTTCGCGACATAGTGCCGTGAGACTGCGGCAGGCTAAATTTGCCCTTCCAACTCGTTTCATTACCTTTTTCTTTGGAGGTCAGGAACTCTCTCGCCGTTTGGTGTATGAAATAAAGCTTCGAGTCATGCACACTGAGCAAGAGGCCGCAAATGTTTGTAACTATGGTTTTAAACTCTTTGGTTGGCCACTTGTCGTCGACGAGCTCTGCGTGTGATCCTGGGGGATGTTCCTGAATGGCCAATGCCAATGCAACATTTGCCTCATCCAAAGTTAGAGGCTTTTTAGCAGCAAGGACAAGTTCAAGAAGCATTCTCGTTCTTAATCGATCTTTACTTTGACTCAACAAGGTGTCGTAGGCCTCAGAAACTTGGGTAGGTAAATCAGACAGGCGTCTTTTCATGTCCGACGGTCTACTGAACCCAGTAGGATCATCCTTGATGATAGAAAACGTCAAATGCAGCCACAGGTAGGTGCGGTTCTCCATGCTTTTGAGTTTGGCCGAAATTTCCCGACGGCTGTTCTCAGTGAAACCATGTGTCAGTTCCTGGATCCTGGCATCAATGACAAGATCTATTTCTCTTCCGATCTGCTCAGACTTCTCATCACCGTCGAGGCGCAGATAGGTTGCCGTGGTTAGAGTATTAAACAAATTCTCCAGGTCACGGAAGGAATGTTCCAGGTCATGATAAGGTCGACTTGTGACGAGGAACCTAAGCTTTGAGCCAGATAGCGTCTGGTCTGAGCGATAAAGACCTTCAATTTTTTCAATCAACTCGACTCTACTGTCCCTCGTACATTCGTCTAGAGCATCTATGACACAGATGATCTCTCGTTCGGACACTGAGGCAAAGTCTACCAATATTGCCCATAGGTCAGAAAATTTCGTTGTAAGAGTCGGGCCATTTGCCTCGTAGAGCTCCAGAGCCCTCTCCGTCTCTTTTGAGTTGGATGAAGATGTAAGTAGTTGGTGAAGAATTGCACATAGTGCCTGGCAACTATCCATATTTCCAGGTGCTCCTTCTTTGAAAAAGAAATAAGCGACAACTGGGAAGCTACGAGTGACAGTCAATGATGTGATTGTAATGGTAATGGTGGGAGAATTCAAATGGCCTTCGTCTATCAACGAGCGTGACAAGACTGACTTTCCGCGTCCAGGGCCTGCCGAGACCCAAAGAAGGTCCGACGCACTGTCACGCCAGCGGCTGAATCTTTCATCTTGTAGAAACCACTCGCAGGTTCCAGGAACTCTCAGTGAGTTAATATGCTTATACCACTCGTAATTACCGGCCACATGAGCCAGATCTTGAAAAAGGCGAGATCTCTTATCTTCTTGTCTGAATGCAGCTTGTTCCATGCGAAAAACCTGGATTTCTTGTAGTGTGCTGTCCAATGTGCTTTGAATCTGCAAGTCTTTTCCAAAGCTCAACCAACTGTTGCGGCATTTTCTATCTAACTCGTCAATGTTGCAACTCATGTCGGACCAAGCGTGAGACTTTTTCAAATCCTGCCACGTGCGGGAGCGCTGGTCACTACTCAAATGGTAGATAACTCGAGCCTGATATTCGATGATGTAAGAGTAGAGCTTGGCCAAGGGCTCGATGAGTGAGTCGAAATACTGTCGGCATTCGGGTTCAAGATAGGTATCTTCGCACAGCTTCCAATACATCTGGCGCTCTCCAATATCGTTAAATCCCTCCAGCATTTCCGCATTTTGTGTGAAGCCACTTTGAATGAGCTACCACTTTCAGTAAACTCTCAGCAATAAGAAAGATGAGTACTTACTGGAACAATCAAGGACACCCCGGACCATGCAAGTGCTGCATATGGTTGAGTGCTTACCGCGCTCTTTACGATCGGATCAGACCAAGCAAGAAATTTCAGCAATTTCTCAACCTGTGATTTGATCTTGATATCATGATCATAAATAGTAAGCTTCCACTGTCGCTGTTCACGATCGGCTAGTAGCTTCTTGACAATAGCCTCAATTGACTGTCGGTTCGAGAGATCGACACCAAGAATGCTATCATCCTGTAAAGAGCCTAGACATCCAATGTACTCTTTCATGGCGGCATCGTGATCCCTCTTACGAAACAATTCAAATGCCCGAGTCCAAAGATGAGCCCGAATGTCTCCAATACCAGAGAGCGAATGGGCTCCGGTCTCATCTTGGTAATCTGCCAGAGGAGATGGAGATTTAACAAGATTGTGAGATACACTGATAGCACTGTCGGATTCTGAAGGCGATGAACTTGCTGTAGTCGCCTTTGCGGGTGTTCCTTCAAGGATAGTGGCAGATGCTGACTTCTTGTCTTCCCCCACTATCCTTCCAGACTTGTCTGGCTTTCGAGAAAACAGACTTCTGATAACAGACTTGCTTCCCATGGTGGTTTTGTCACAGAGTTCGCATGCAGGGAGAAAAAGGGAAGGGTGGGGAGAGCTCTTGGGAATCACTAGTTAAGCGCCCGAAGTGATCCGTAGCGGGGTAATCCAATAGCTGCATTGTACTCGCGTCAGCTGAATGTTCGTTTCAGAAATCAGACTTTGGTATCATTTATGGCCTCCAGAGTGAGAGGAGATATTGGACCGCATATATCCAAAGACATTTGATGCCATCTCAATTGACAACAACGAATTATCATCAGGCCATATTTCGGCATATTGAAAGTCTCTCCTGGATTCCTGGATGAATGGCCATCTCGAAATCCGGCAGTTGTCCTGTGCTCTCGCGCGGCGCGAGCTCAGCTCCGAGGACGATATTTCGCCAGGGCTCCAAGTTCAGAATACCAACAACCATACGGAAGGAGCGCAAGGAGGGCAAGCGTGAGGTCGCGTAAATGTCTTTCTGGATGTGAAAAATTGAAGACTGGAGAGGAAACCAGTGCGCGCAAGGACATGGGGATCACAATAACGTGCGATGATCAAAGAACATTCGCTGTGTCGAATAGGCCTGGTTTCTGCTTGTTCCTTGCGCGCTAGCGTCCTGGGTTGTTTGATAAACAAGAATCAGCAGGCTTAAATTCGATGTCCACGCAGCGGTGCCAGTCCTTTTTCCTCGTTTTCCAGATATATGAATAAGATACAAAGGGAAGTTGTTGAACAACCTGCCACCTGATTTATGCTGGCATTTCTTACGTGATCTTGGAAACACCTTAAAAACGGGGCTGTTAATTGAGCACCACATTAACGGTATTAGGCAAGGTGTATGCAAAATCCAAGAGCAGTGATATCGAGTAATACCCAGGTACCATTAATTTAGATATCAGGCAGCTTACCGTTGGTATCGGATAGAGAACCTTGGAGACCTATAACACTGAGTCTAAATGAGTGAGAAGTAGAAGCTGAAGACATTAGCTGCAAGAACTATATCCGTTATAAACAATGAATGTGCTTGGTCATGGGAGCTCCAGTATCTAAACTGTCTATCTAAATGGCCTCTATGTGCACCATTCTACCAGTCTAGCCGAGAACCATGTATAAATCTATGAGCTCATCCATCCCGAGGAACCATATATTATATCATCATCGCCATTACCCGTGTATACGAACCCCATTTTAACCCGACGGGGTATTGACTTTTAAGCAAGAGTCAATCTTTCACTTAGGCCTTGCCGTCAGAGAACGACACAACAGCCCATTTACCGCTCCAAGCCCACTTGCGAACCTTCTCATCACCTCCACCAGGCTGCTGCCGAAGTTTCTCGTCCACGCCGGCAGGGAGACCAACAACGGTATCAGCCTTGCAAGTGCGGAAAGCAAGTACACGGATACCGGATTTGGGGCCCATGGGGCCGATGGCTGTTGTGAAGGCGGTCGTGGGGTCCAATTCAGCCTTGGCAGGGTTAGTAAACGATTATGGTATCGGGGGAATAGCGAAGGAACTTACATCGTTGACCAGTTTGCGATAGTTCAAGTCTCCCTTGAAGAGAACAAGCTCGCTCTCTTTCAGGTCATCGAACAATTCAGGGGCCACATGTGGCAGACGCCAGTAGCTGCCCTGGGTGGTCCAGAATGCGTGAGGGCGCACGATCAACTTGCCATCTTGGTGGAAATCGCTCCATTGTTCGAAGAGGAAGCGGACATCCGAGACCTCCTTATCTGAAAGTGGCGGGAAAGTCTTGCCCGAGTCGTCAGGGGCAGTGTAGAAAGCCTGGGGGTCGACCATGCAGTTGAGGAGGTCGGAGAAGTCCTTCGGTGTGACATCGGACACGAACCAGGGAAGACGCTTGGGGTGGAGAACAATAGTCGTTGCCAGTCCGGTGGACAGCAGGTATCCGGCCAGGATCAGGTCGACGAACAGCTCGAAGCCAGAGTTATCGAGGACGATATCGACGCGGCGCTCACCGTCCTTCTTTTCTCTGCGCGCCTTCTGCATGACTGCAAAGGCTGCATCGAGGTCGTTGACAAGAATGTTGCTCTGAGAGGCTTTGCGGGCCTCAGAGCCCTGAAGTTTTTGGATATCCTCATATGTCAAGGAGGTCAAGAGGGACAGGTCAGTAGCATTACCCCACAGGCAAATCTCGCACATCTCCGAGAAAAGAAGCTTCTCGGCTGCCTCAATCTCCTCGGGAGATTTGCCTTCGGACCCTTTGCCACTCTCGGCCTCTAGAGCCAATTCACGGTACCGGGCAGCGAGCTCGAGGACGGCTGGGCGAGATGATTTGAAAGTTGACATCTTCTGGCGGGCGAAGACATCGTATCCCTTCCAGTGCTTAGACAGCGCAAAGAAACTCTCAATGCGGCGGTCTATGATCAATCATCAGGTCAGTCTATGTTGGAGGTTGTCGAGATATCGCGATATGGCGTTGCAACATACAAAGGTAGCACTCGGAGTAAAGCCAAGGCGCATTGTGCCAGACCGGGTTTCCACGCTGCTCCAGCTCCTGGTTATAAGAGGCAATATCTGGGTGACCGTCGTCCTCAATGGGCCTAATGATGGAATTAGTAAGTCATAAGAAAGCTGGCTGGTCATCTCATAAAGGGATTTCAAGATACTCACGTCAATTGGCGGTTGTGCTGCAGCTCATACTTCAATTTGGCCAGGTTCGCAATAATGCTCTTTCCCTCATTCTCCTTCTCGGTATCATTGGATGATATCACTGTTCGGTGAAGATCGTCGATGGCACCAGTCTTTGGAAATCAGCAATTGACTTTTCTCCTTCGTTTGTACTGCAATCACTAACAATGATAACGGGCCATCGCTCGTTAGCCGAGACCGAGGCAAAGCTCGACGAGTCGGATGTGAGGTATTGAGCTGTGCAATTTGAGCTTTAGTTCAAGTTCAAGTTCAATCCCAAAGCCAGCACTTACGGGTCTCCGGATCGAATTCCATTGTGAATAGTGGAGTTAAGATTGAAGTGGGGTGGAGGTTTAGCTCCGTCAACGCGAGGGGAATCGCGGGGCAGCGGGCGGTGAAGGTGAGGGGAGGCCAAAGCGATCACTACAAGGGATTTACATTCCTCCATACCTCGAGAATTTAAAGTCTGTTCAGCATTGCATCTCTGGTGTAGGTATGCATTTTATGGAGACTTCTGAACTGGGATTCTTGAGTGATGCACCTTGTAGGCCTTTTGATAAGTTCTACCATAGATCCATATAGTGAAATATCTTCGGTGGCCACCAATACATTCCAAAATTCGTGAAGACGTCAAGTAGTTACATTTACGTGGATCTCTACCTTCTTTTGCAAAATAAGAAAACGCCACCGCTTGCAAATCAAAAGGGGTTATCACATCATTTGTGACAGAATGGAGTTCTGTGCGTATGCCTATATAGAAGTTAGTCCAGCCATTCAATCAAGTCCATGTTTCAGCACTCACCATAGGCTTAATGTCGGGATGAGGAACAGCCTCAAACACCTCGTAAGCGAGCTCAAGCTCAGGTCCAATATTGATATAGGCTCCCTTGTTCTCGGTCGAGTCACAGTACCTGGGCGCAGAGAAGACAGTGATACAACGACCATCATGCTCAACCTCATAACCGCCCATGCGAACCTCGTGTGACCGAATAATGGCTTTGAGACCGTTGTTCTCGCAGAAGCGCTTGGTAACATCGGGACCAAACTGCATACCAACACCACGCTTGCTAGGTCCACGACCCGGCTGGGTCTGCGGGTCAGTCCAGAGCATCTCCATCATCAGGCCCTGTTGACCGGGTTGCCGTTGGTTGTGACGGTTCAATTTACGGACGTCGTCGAGAGTAACCTTGTCATCGGAGAAGAGACCACCGTGCAAGACGAGGTACTTTCCGCCGATCAGGGTGGCCAGGGGAAGGGCCGAGAATGATTCAGAGAAGACCTTGAAGACTCGCTCGTTATACTTTGCCTTGCACTCGCCCTCGAATCCGTAGACCTTGTTCATGTCGTCTGTCTCGTGGTTTCCACGATTCAAGAACAGGCCGTTCGGACGGAGCCACTTGTATGCATACAGGAGCAAGGCAATCTCGCAAGACCATGATCCACGGTCGACGAAGTCACCGTTGAAGAGGTAGGCGTGGGTATCGGAGGGCGAGCCGTTACGACGGAAGATCTCCAGGAGATCGAAGAATTGGCCTGTTGTGACGTCAGTCTGCATTCCCACGTTTCATCAAGTCGATCAATGCATGCATACCGTGAGTGTCACCGCAGACAGTCAACTTCTTGCCAGCCTCCACACCGATCTCAACCATAGTTGGCTCGTTGTAGACAAGTTCCTTTGTAGCCTTGATAATCTGTAAGACGTACTTGCGGTGAATATTCTTGCCGTTCTTAAATCGTTCAATCATATCGTCGATAAATTCCTGGGTCATCTCTTCGCCCAGGCGTACTCCATCGTATCCATCCTCGACCTTAATCGCCTCGATATCCAAGCCCTCGAACGCGGAAGGCGGGTCCGCAACCTCAATAGCTTTCTCGAATTCTAAACGGCGTACCAACTTCTCACACTCTGCCAACTTCAATTTCGCATCCCGGTTGTTCGGCTCGCGCTTCACGACGGCCTTGAAATCCTTCAGGGCAGCCTTGTAGTTTAGGATAGCAGTGTTGGCAAGGGCACGTCTCCAGTATGCCTAAGTCCAGCAGCACCAGTCAGTCACAAATTCCGCATTCTGAAAACTCGCACCCATGTTCGCATAGCATTTCCGTTCGCTCTATTGAAATCGGGAGGACGGCCATGGCATAGCGACTAACCTTGACGTAATTCGGGTCCAATTCCAAAGCCGCGGTGGCATCAGCGACAGCAAAGCCAAAAGACTCGAGTTTGATTTGAGCCTGTACGAAACAAACAGACTGTCAGTGGAACTGATCTGATAAAGAGCCGTTGTAACAAGGGCCGAGAACCGGACCAACGCACCTGAGCTCGGTTGCAGAAAAAGGAAGGCTCCTTGTCATATTTCTCGATTGCCTGGGTATAAAAGTCGATAGCAACAGGCCACTCATGCTGAGCAAACGCCTTGTTACCCTGCGCCTTAAGCGCGTTGGCAGCCTCTTGGTCCGACATGGAATTTGTAGAGGGGCACGAGACCGGCGATCGGGGTTTTAGTGCGGAGGGGATAAGGCGAAAGTAAAAGAGTTTCCTAGACGCCGAGGACTTAAAATATAAGGGGGGAGGGTTGAAAGAACAAAGTCACCAAAGAAAAGAAAAAGTGCGAAGAAAGAAGAAAAATCCAAAGTTCAATCTGGTTCCTGACGCTTCTCTCCGTCTCTTTTTTCTCCGGGAATGGGAGGCTTGGCACTCGACCCTCGACTCCGGACTTTCGTCTTCTTTCTCTCTTCACTCCAACATATCCACCATGTCGTTCTACGCCGCTCCTAATCAGCAGCGCCACCTGCGCGCTTGCATGGTCTGCTCTATCGTTCAATCTCACACAGTGAGTGTTCACTGCCCTTCACCATCCCAGCCTCCGATAGCTCGATAGCCAGCTAACCTGGTGAAACAACAGAAATTCCAGCGCGATGGCTGTCCGAACTGCGAAACCTCCCTCCAGCTGCGTGGAAACTCCGACGCGATTCAAGAATGCACATCTCAGGTCTTTGAGGGGCTGATCGCTGTTCGCGATCCGACCGTCAGCTGGGTGGCCCGCTGGCAGCGGTTGGATAACTATGTGCCGGGAACATATGCGACCAAGGTGACAGGAACTGTGAGCAATATCCATTCTTAACAATTTTCGGGTTGACAGGACTTGGCTAATGGATTTTGCTTTTACTCCAGCTTCCGGATTACATTATTGGTAGCTTGGAGGACTCTGGTGTCAAATATGTTCCGTACGTGACCTGCATGCTTCGATTATTTGCTTTTCGTTTTCCATTGCATACTGACAGATTCGTTTTTAGTCGTGATGGAACCACCGGCGAGGAGGATACTTGAGCGTCTACCCAATACCCACTACTATGTACAAATGCTGCTCTCTGTTCGATGAAGGCTTAGCTCTGAATACCCTTACTGTGCATAGGGTCAGGTCTACATTTCGCCTGGTTACATGAGGGATTTGTACTTTTTTCGTCCCATTGTTTCTTCGGAGTTGGAGTTGGAAGCATTGCGCTGCTTATTTCTTTCTGGGCATATGGTTACAAGACGTGCTAGCAGGAGTTTCAAATAAGCTACTGAAGATTTCAGATAATTGTGGAATCATTCGATTTTGTTGATGACATGAAAAATGTCTATTGAATGTACATGGCCCATTCCAAGATGGCATCACTCGTAACAAGGCAGAAAAAATAGAAAAAGAAAAAGTCGCTAATTAAATCCGATCAAAAAAGGAAACCGTCCTGACATCCAATCCCAGATTGTCTGAACTTAGAGGAGCTTGATGATCTTCTCAAGGCTCTCCAGGAGGATGTCAGCGTGGTGCTGCTGGAAGACCAACATGGGACGCAGGCGAACGGCGTTAGCACCGCTGCCACCAATGTTGACACCAACAGACTTGGCCTTGACCAAGAACTGGTCACGCTTGGGGGTATCCCAGGCAATGAAGGTACCCTGGCCCTTACCACGGAGGTTCTGGAAGTGCTCAGGGTACTTCTGGGCAAGGCGCTCAAGACCAGCGTACAGGTAGTCACCGGTGATGCGGGTGTTCTCGACCAGGCCGAGACGCTCAACCTCATCAATGATACCGCGGAAGATCAGGGCACGGGCTGGGTCACCCATCCAGGTGTTGAACTGGCGGTAAGGCTTGTTGGGGCGCAGGGCAGGGTTGCCGAAGTAGTAACCAGCAGTCTGGGCCTTCTTGGAGAAGGTGACCATGTCGGGAGGAGTGTCCAGGTTCCAGTGGTCGTGAGCCCAGAACTTACCGGTGGCACCAACACCAGTCTGCACCTCGTCGACAATGAAGAGGACGTTAGTGCGCTTGGTGATGTCACGCAGACCTTGGAAGAAAGCAGGCGAGGCGTGGTTGTCACCACCCTCGGACTGGATGGGCTCGACCATGACGGCAGCAACGGGGTTGTGGTACTCCTTGATCAGGCGCTCAACCTCCTGGAGGCAGCGCTGCTCCTCTTGGGCGTTCTCCTGGACGTGGTCCTCCAGAGGGTACTTCAGCATGGGGAAGGTAGCCTGGGGCCAGTCGAAGGCAGGGATATCCATCTTGTGAATGGCCTTGCTGCGGGTTGTGGACAAGGAGCCGAAAAGACGCCCGTGGAAGGCATGCTTGAAGGACAAGATGGAAAGCTGGGGAGAACCGGGGCCCTCGTTGTTCATGGTGGACATGAGCTCCTCCTCGGTGAACTCAACTTCGGGACCACCACGCTGGAGCTGGCGGTAGTACATGAAAGCGGCCTTGTAAGCGGTCTCGTTGGCATCGGAACCAGCCATGGCAGTGAAGACCTGGTTCAGGCCCTTGGGGGCAGCCCGGAGGGCACCGGTCTTCAGGATGTGAGCCCAATCAGAGGGGGGGGAAGTTACCCAGAGCTGGGCGGTTGATCAGGGCGCTGGCCATCTCGGGCGACTTGGCAACCTCGGCGAGGTGGGGGTTGTTGTATCCAATGGGGATGGAAGCGATCTGAGCGTAGCTGGTTCGGATATTAGCAATTGGTTTCATTATCAGCCAGCAATGAAGTCACTTACACATCGAGCAGCTTGTTGCCATCAAGGTCGACAATGTAGTTACCAATGGACTTGTTGAAGTCAGTCAGCATGTTGATGCTGCGAACATCAAACACCTGATCAAGCTCAGCGGTGGCGGCCTTGTTCTTGGGACCAGGGATGGCGGTCGAGACAACGGGGGCAGAGGGCTCGTTGGGGAAAAAGGGCTTCTCGGCCGCACTGAGACGGGCACTGGTCGAGAGAGCACGAGCAGCAGGGACACGAGCTGCCATGCGCATCTTAGCGCTGTATCGGAGAGCGGAGGCCATTGTGAATTGTTTGGTGTTCAAAGGAGTTTTGAAGAGCAATGATGAGGTCAATGACTCTCGTGCGGGGAAGGGCGGGTTGAACTGTATCTAGTGCAAGATCAAAGCAATCCCAAGTGAGGCCCAAAATTCCAGTGAGAGAGTGAAGAGGTATCGTGGTAGAATACTCAACAACGCGGGGCAACCAGTTTTATATCAAAAGAAAGTGTTATCGGTGCCCTTTGGAGCTGTTGGAGCTCCTGGTTCCCCGCGTAGATACGATTGGATCTCGGTGGCGTGAACCAATCAGAAGATGCAGGGCCAGGCGAAACGCCGAACAGCGAAGTAGGATACTTGACGGATTGAGAAAGTCTACGCAGGTGGGTTTGGTCCGGTTATTCATTGTGGAATTACTTGCTTTCGTTGCTCCATATTTTTCGGCGCCGAACTGGCTGTCAAAGAAATTACACAAATCGTGATATGTAATACTTTTGAGTCCATGAAATCAAATGCCGATTCATGCTTATCGTTGATAAGCCAATGCTTATCGAACCGCGAACCGCCATAACGCGGTCGACAATTGCATAGGTTGATTCTGTCTAGTCAAGATTTTAGAGATCTTACTGTTGCTATGAATACCTATGATTGGTCGCTTGTCTAAGTATTATTTATCATTATAGATGTTTTCGACGTCAAGAGTGCGGGAGGATCTATCTAGTAGCTTAGGGCTCCCCGCATGTCAACCCCGACGATATATATAGATCGGTATCAAAAGGCTTAACGCACACATGTCCTTTACTCAACCCAACAATATCCTCAAAAAACGAAACAGAACTACAAGCCAAATGTGAACGCCTAGCATCTGGAATGAATACACCTGAGAATTAATATCGTAGGCATTGTAACATTCATAGATAATGCTCATGCACCCTCCCAAATTGACCGGCAATGATAAGTGCAGACAACTAGCGGTGTATACCACCATGCAGCCTCAGTCTCATCTCGCACCTAATAGTACGTAGATAAAATGGTCCAAACTCCGTGATAGTCTCTCCACGACCGGTCCCATGACCAAACGACCCATTGCCCCTCGGAAACCCATTCCTATTTGGGTCTCGTCCCAATTGGCTCCATGGTGGATACCATCTTGCTTTCTATCCACTATCGGCTGCTGACCAGTCAATAGGCATTAGATTGAGCTCCCTTTCATCAAATGGGCTTGTGGTTTAGTGGTATAATACTCCCTTAGCATGGGAGTGGTCCGGGGTTCGATTCCCCGCGAGTCCATCTTTTTGCCAATTCACCATTCTGATGGCGGTGGTTGTTGAGCAGAGCACGGAAATTGTTGGTGATTTTTTGTTCGAAAAAATTTTCAGATTAAAAATGCAAATTATGGTCTATATACCGAAATAAGTTAGCCATATTATAAGCGGTTCCATAACTCAGTTGGTTAGAGTGTGGTGCTAATAACGCCAAAGTCGAGGGTTCGACCCCCTCTGGAACCATCTCTTTTTGTTTCCTTTTTTTCTCCTAGCATCTTCATCTCTCATCATATCATACACCACATAACCAGACGAGATTTTCATATTCACTGCATAATTTCTGCATGGTATACAAACGCTCGTCGCTGATAACAAGAAGTTGACAAAAGTATGCAAGGTGTTCATTACAAGCCAGAAAGGCTAATCATAGAGTGTGGACATTAAATGTACATTAACCATTTTTTATACCCTGAGAACCAAAAACACCCAGAATAAAGACTAGGTAATAGAGTTCAGCAAAATTTATACATAGAAAGAAAGAAGTTAAAGAGCATCAAAAAGCCCGGCCCATACCCACCGGCGACTCCTCCCGCCCCATCGAGGTAGATGAATTCGCGCTCGCGGCAGAAGTGATAATCATAGGATCTTGTTTCATCTCAATGTCATCAGGCGATATAGCCCGGTTATCAATGCCCATCATCTCATTATGATGCGCAAGCCTAGACTCAGTCCACGTCTCCATCTCAACAGTCCGCATAATCTCAAAGCGATCACTTTCATACCCGGCTTGATGGGGATCCGAGACGGGTTTAATCTGCGAGTTTCGAGAGCGGCCGGTTGAGGACCAGAGTTTGTTTGAGCGGTTCTGACGATTGGAGCTGTAGATATTGCTGGTGGATTGGAGGAGGCGGGGGAGGAAGGTTGCGATGAGTGGGCGAAGGGCTGGTGCTGAAGAGCAAATCTGTTGCTTATTAGTGGGCTGTTGGATACCTTGGATGGATAAAGGAAGTGATCATACCAGGCCTAGACTAATCTCCACAACCGCAGCGACGAGAATTGGCCATCCTTGCCAGGTTTGATCGTAGCTGGCTTTTTGGCTCTTCCAGACGTATACTGTGCGGACGGAGCCGGCGACATTAACGACGACACCTAGACCGAAGATTGAAATGACGGCCAGTCGTTGGCGAGCGGGCAGTTTGAGGCTCCAGATTAGAGGCATTGGGAGGGTTGTGACAAGAAAATCGGTGAAGATGTTGATGACACTGGCCGAGAAGACAATATCTCCATCATTCATGCATTTGTGCGGATATGTGGGAGCAACTTCCCAGTATGCTTGGACGGGTCTGTATGATATTAGTCCAAGTGTCTAGGCCATGGCCAAAATCAGAGGATGAACTCACGAGCACTGGAAGATGCTGAAGAAAGTGAACATGAAGACAGAAAGCGCGACAAAGACCATAGAACCGATGAATGCCCAGTTGTAGACCACAAAGCTGCCCTTTCCAGCACCAAGAAGGCGTCGACAGAACCATAGAAGTGAGATCTTGGTGAAACCCGACGACCACGAGAACATGATCTGGAAAGCTAGATTCAGCTTTTCGATGGTGGGAAACCACGTCTCGGGAATATCCCAGATGTGTCTGTTAAAGCCCCATCTCTCAGTTGCGATTGAAGTGACGGCAACCATTGCAATGGCGAAAATGAGACCGATAATAATCAAAATATCGTCGATCCCAGCGGTGGAAGTAATGCGGAGTCGAGTATATAGGCGGAGCAATGTCACCACGAACGCCAGGCTGATGCACACAATGTTGACGATTAGGACACCATGTCCACGAGTCACCGGGTCAACATAGTTGGGCGTTGGCCAACTCGCCATGACGGCGACTGGGGGAAGTTGCATGGTGGACTGATGTATAGAGAGAATCGAGGACAGATCGTAGAAGGAAAGGAAATGAAAGTATTAGTGGGGCATGTGCAACGCCATATTCTTGCTAGATGGGTATAAAGTTGATAGGGAATGTAGAGTCGTTCGATAATCTAGCACATTGTAGGAGAACTGTAGGAGAATGAAAGAGCAAAAGTCCCTCATGAGCACCGGGATCTGGGGAATAGATATAAATTATTTCGACACAGGCCGAGATCAGTGCGAAATATATTAAAACCACTAAAGTTTTGGAGCCCAATTAGAAACATGTACGGTGATTCGTGTTTAGCCTTTTCATCTCCAGACTTGGACGACTCAGGGTAACGATCAGGCGACTCCATCTGCACATCACGGTAGTTCCACATCTCCGACGCGATGAGCCTTGGGTCATAGGCCCACTTAAGATTCACGCGATCACAAAAATGGGATCAACTCCGAGGAATAGTGGAGCAGGAGGCGAATTCCCGCCTGCGATAGGCAAACTGTAGATCCAGGTACCCATAGTTCAGGATTCCGATCCACTCGGAGCGAGACTGGTCCGATGCAGGCTATTGGTGTCAGAGTCCGGCCCCTGGTCAGCCCAGGCACGAAATGCGAATAGTCCGAGTTTGCTTGCTGTGGAAGAAAGTTGCGTTACATGTGCACGGAAATCAAAGTTTCGGCTAGCACAAAGGCGAATGCGCTAGCCGAGGTAGCGCCACCTCCATTATACCGAGCAGAACGACAAGCGAGGATGCGGGGGACTGGATTTCAAAGACGTGGAAGGGGTCTCCCGGGTCCACTGTACCACATTCCATACTTGAAACTCCACTCCAAATTGAATTACCCCTCCGGAAGAGGTGCAGAAACGAAATCCCCGGAGTTGGACCTGGGTTTTGACAATTATCGCGGACCGACTGCACGACAATAACCGCCACCATGGACTAGGGTTCCAGAAAGGGAAAACCAAAATCTATCTCTGCCTGAGTTTATCGAGTTTATCGCCAATTAACCACTTTAACCGCTTTGTGCCATACGCACATTGGCCTCGACACCTCAAATCATCGGATCTTCGTGGCCCACTCTCAATCTACACCGTACTTCTTAAAGCGCAAGGTGGATTCTGTAAACGGTTCATACGTGCACGGTACTTGCACGCACTAAGCCCTGCCCTGCTCTCAACCAAACCCTCTTTTATCTCGTAACTAGTAGACTCAAACCCACCGTTTCTCTTGGATTCTCGTTTTCAAGTTCTATCTGAGTTTACAGACAAAACTGAAGTTTCAACCTAAGAGCAAGATATCCTGATCCTTTGATACGACGGCTGCTTTACCGACGAACCAGCAAACATTGACGATCCAGGTCCACAGCATCGGTACAGAGCATCGGTGGTCATCATGTACCAAATCTTTGGATGTATCCAATCCTGTATATGTACCGAGTGACAGAATTTCGGCCGAGTCAGTGGAGATTTTCACATTGCGCAGAACAAGATCCACTCCAAATTGACTGAAAATAAGGCCGGATGATCTGCGTGATCCATCACCTCCTTCCTTCCTGCCGGGCCCAATCGAGATCTGATTAATGGCTCACTCGAAATCCGGACCCATATAATGCTCAACTTTTCTGCAGCACTTATTAAGCCTTTGGAATCCATGGTTTCCAATTAACATTGCCCCTGACAGATTGACTTCGTGCAGTATTTTGCACGTCAGCTTTCGGAGTATGACCTATACCAGTAAGCTAAGCTCGGGCTACTTGCTAATGGCCAAGAAACTATCCAATTGGCTGCAATGTGTCGCTCCTTTTGCCGTCTAGAAGGCAATGCTCCGTATTATATCATATGTTCGCTCAATCCATAAATCAAGAATTGCTGCACCATTTCTGTACCATGAGCCATTGCCATAGAATCCCCTCACCACCGATTCCAACATGGAAGAAAATCCCGACAATGGGGATTTGGAGTTATGACGATTTCGGCACCCGTGGTTATAAGGTCCTCGGTACGGCAATCGAAAGTTTCCATGTTTTTAAATTGGAGAACCCATCTCAGGCAGAGGAAGTAGTGCAACTGCCGAAGCTTGATTAAGGTTGGCTGCAGATCATCCCCGCGGTCCTCGTCAGACGGAAACGGAAATCATTTGACAAGACTCATATGTTTCTACCTCCCGCTGTGAAAGACGTTTGCCGTCCATCTACCGACGGTGGCGTTATGAATTTGGAGATCCCCGACCGCCAAGATTGATCTACCGCCCACCATATTCGCCGACCGCTCTCAATCATGCGCATCCCTACCCCCAATATGGCACTCTATTCTCCTTCACAGGATTGAAACATTGATAAACTCACAATACCTCCATTTCGCAGCTTTTACTTCCTGTTCTAGCAGTGCTTGGCTCTCGCTCACTGAGTCGATCTAAACCACATGAGAAAGGTCTGATTCAATTGGCTCCATTGTATCACATCTCAAGTGAGATTCAGCTGAAAAAATTGATCCATTAAGCGTGAGGTGGCAATCAAAAAAGTAGGATCTTCCCTCATGAACCCCAATATATGTAAATCATATCCTTCAGAAGTCAAAACGGTGGGTAAGATCTAACCTGCTTTTATATAAGCTAATAGCGCCTCTGAAGCTATAGTATCCCGCATATGCATAGATAATGACTGGGTACAGATACCTCTCCACATATCTATACGTTAGCGTTGATGCATCTCATCCTCGAATAACTTTACCTCTACGCATCTCGTCACTGCCTAAAGCTTTTGCATAACTTTTCACTTTGAATTCGACCTCAATAACCAGCATTGAAACAGCCCCTATCAATGTGGCCCCCCAAAAAAGACAAGAACTGCTCTCCCATTACGAATCTACCATTTCATGACCATTGAGGCTAACTTTCCACCTAGAGATTCTCCATGACGTATGAGAACCAAAGACTACCAGTACTGCTTGTCGTGGTCTAGATCAATCCCCGCGTAGATTCAGCTGCCCTTTGCATACGATTGTGTAAATACTAATGCACTTCGATAGCCTGAGTCACCCTTTCGGCATCAATGGAGTGAATATCTCACGCACAATTCTACTCAAAGTACAGGAATGGACGTTTCTAGGTTCGGCGCCGCCCTTCAGAGATCAAATTATGTATCAATTTCCCGTGCCTCAGGACTATTACAGAATTGGAAATAACTTTCCCCGGATGTGAATCAGTGAAACCAGCTCAAACTCGCTTTTACGAGACTATACCTACCAGAAGATGCAGTCTACGATCTCGACACTATGAACCAGGTAAAGCTGATAGAGATCAGGTAAAGCTGAAAATGATGGATAAGCAGCTCGAACCCGAGGTTTATATCAGTTCCCAAGTTGCCTTGAACCTGTGGGCATAGGTTTCAAACACCTGGCGTTAGATTTACAGACTTTGCCTCTGAATTAGATGGATAGAAACGTATATTTATCCATCATAGTGATTTGCTTGATCTGCAAAATGTGTACAATAATGTACAATCTCAGTGTGACAATTGTTGAGATAAAGATGACGGAACTTTCATAGGTTCGAGAACATCGCTTAATTTCTTCCTAGGTCAAAGAGAATCGGAAGAAGCTCAGTGCCGACAATGCTGACAGTTCTGACACTCTTAGCCCTGGCAGACATCGTCCTGTACTTGAAAATCTGCTCGCGCCTATCTAGCAGGAAGTAAGCCTCGTTCCTTTTGATCTGGAGTAAATTTTCGCTTGGTGATACGCAAACCGATAAAACCTGCCAAGCTGAAGATGAACGGCACTATTTCTCTTATAGTGGTGCAGTCAGATAGAATATGTAGTAATTATGGTCTATCATGTTCACTTAAGCACAGTGTGTTTGAATAAACCATACGGATAGCATTCCATGGTTTTTTTTTTTCAAAGTTCTTAGAATTTGATTCGACTAAACGATTCACGGGATCGTACAATTTCGTCCAATTGTATCTGCAAATTTTTGCTTGTCAGTTTTCGGAGCATGGCCCAAAGTAGAAAACTAGAATTGGGTCATTGATTAGGGGCTTAAAATACCGAATTTGGCTTCAATATGTCGCCCCTTTGGAGAAGCCGCGAAGTCCGTATTACTCCGTCCAATGTTATAAATTCGCTCAATCCCTCCATGAGTCAATAATTATTGATCTCTCCATTATTTTCAAGTCAAGCTATTGAAACAGACTTCTTACTATGGCAATTTGAATTTGAGGAACGGGTGGAGCTAAGACATAGTCTCGGCGCTCGTGGTTATGAGGTCCTCGGTACCACATGTGATGGAGAACAAACACTAACAACTTCAACTCACACCCCTCAGCTTATCTTTCTTCTTCTTCACACTCGTCTCTTTACGATTGACACTCAGGAGTTCATTCTCGAACTCAATACCATTATCTGTCTCAAATACCCGACTAACTCACCAGATGCAGGGTTAGAATGGCCCCCATGCACCCCTTGTTTCAGGGGTCGACGGTCGCAAACAAAGGAAACAGAAATGATGCGTTTCAAAGCTGAAAACCACTTCTGGCAAGAAATGAGTCAGCTGGAGTTATGCGAAACGGAGCTGGCGTTTGCCCTGGAGTCTATTTTTCACTCTTGAGCTGCTTGCTCGGCCGTCCCACCACAAGAGCAGGGGTGTCGGGTTATATTTTCCCGAAGGATTCAGGATGCAGCTCTATTCACAGGGATCAACTTGTTGCGGTTTGCTACTAAAATCTGGCTGTGGAGTTCGTGCTGCGTGCCAAGAGAACTGTGTCATACGCTATACTCTTAAAGAGTATGCACTGCGAATTGCATCAGACCGCTTACGATCACCATCAAGCTGGCTTCAGAGTGCAGACTGCGGATTACAGCAAGCTGCCCTCCACTGATCTCATATGATTACAGAATGACAGAATACAACAAACAGCGCATGCTTGGTGATGCCCTGATCTTGCTCTACGAAGTAGCCATGGCGACAATATAGCCTATTGTTTAGCCCGGCTTGAATCAAATCCCTTATCACGAAATCTTATCGATTTCTTTGATGACCGCTTTGACCACTGATTTCTTTGTCCAGTTTGACATCAGTTTCTATAACGGCCCAGCCGCGATCAAAGTGGATCCTAACCCTGGAACCAACAGCTAGACTGGAGGCTGAATGGATACAGCGTATAGTCTTGGCTATTGACTAGACAAGGGTCCGCAGGCTTGTCACCAAAAATATCACATATGTGCCGCTGTGATGACATGCAAATGGATTACCAAGAACAGACAAAATTTCGACGATCGGAAAAAGGAACTTGATCACAAACCGTTTCTCAGCTGCGATAAGGTTGTGCCGCCCGCAACTTTATGCCACCCGCAACCTTTAAATTCCTCGACGCAAGATATGTTTCACTCGGACCAATGGAATCGTATTCCTGCGACAGTATGAATCCTGGAATGAGTGAGATCTAATTCTGTTGGGCTCAATGGCATGGGAATGGAGCCCGTGCGAGAAGTGGGGGATGATCATTTGGGGGCCATATCCACTATGCCAGAGAGATGCCGTTGATATATTGGCGCTTTGCACATCCTGGCCCTATGAGCCCCAGAGGCTTACGAATAGGCCAAAGAGTGGGGTGCGCTCTCTTGTTATGGTGCGCTAGGGTGGTTTTAATTGCGCCTTAGAGATCCTGTCCATAAAAGCCCTGTCTCGCCTGAGCCTTTTTACTTCTCCCAGGTCGTTTGTGTTTTGTTTTCATCGTTCGTGGTGTTGGTTGCTGTGGTTTATACGATATTCTTTAATATTTTGTCCCTGAGGTTGGCCCAGGTATCTCCAATGAATATGAACGATACCAGTTACAACCCGTCCACAACGTCTTTCGCACACTCCTCCAGGACCGAAGCCGATATGGCTGCAGAACCTTTCTTCGAGCCGAAAGACATTGAGAACCCGTCTGATCGTAAACTGTTCCCGGTAACAGACCTCGATAGGGGTCTTGTGGGCTGGGATGGACAAGATGATCGTAACAATCCACAGAACTTCCCAAACTCGAAGAAATGGGGTCTGTTGATGCTTGTCAGCGCCATCACATTCATCTCGCCGCTCGCGTCAAGTATGTTCTCTCCAGCGGTTAGCTACGTGGCAAAGGATCTACATATCATGAATGAGACTTTGCTTTCCTTTAGTGTTAGCATTTATTTGCTGGGTTATGCTGTAAGTCATCCGAGATATTGGACCCGGAGCTCCCATACTAACCTCTGTTTCTTTGGGACATAGGCTGGACCTCTATTAATTGCTCCTCTGAGTGAGATATATGGTCGGCGAGTCGTACTCAGCTGTGGCAATTGGTTCTTCTGCATCTGGCAGGTCGGCTGTGCACTCGCACCAAACATCACCACCCTAGTAATTTGCCGATTCTTTGCCGGAATTGGCGGATCTGCTCCCATCACACTGGGAGCTGGAGTGATTGCCGATCTCTTTCCTGTAGAGAAGCGCGGCATGGCAACCGCTATCTGGAGTATGGGACCGTTACTCGGACCCACCGTCGGACCCATTGCCGGAGGGTTCATCGGTGAAACCATCGGCTGGCGCTGGGTCTTCTGGATCTTGCTGATCGCCGGTTTTGTGGTGTCGCTAGGCATCGAAATCTTAAACAAGGAAACATACGCTGTTGTCCTGATCCGTCGCAAGACAAAGCATTTGAATAAGCAGATGGGTCGCACTGATCTTCGGAGCGCCTATACCCCTAACGAGGACAAGGTCTCAGTGGGAGGCGCGCTCAAGCACGGCCTAAGGCGACCGGTCATTCTATACCTCAAGTCACCCATCGTCGCCCTCCTCTCAACCTACCTAGCCGTCGTTTATGGTCTGCTGTACCTGTTCTTCACGACCATCACTAGTGTCTTCATGGAGAAGTATGGCTGGACAACCGGTGTCTCGGGCCTTGCGTATCTCGGCATCGGAATTGGATTCATAATCGGCCTCGCCGTCAATGCTCTCACCAGCGACCGCGTCGTGATGAAGATGACCAAACGCAACAACGGGAGATACGAACCTGAAATGCGTCTCCCATTGATGATCTTTTATGCATGCATCGTGCCTACCAGTTTCTTCTGGTACGGCTGGACCGCCGACAAGGCCGTTTTCTGGCTCGTGCCCATCATCGGCATGGCACCCTTCGGCTTTGGTCTCATGGGCCTGTACCTCCCAGTACAAACCTATATCATCGACTGCTACCCCGATTACGCGGCATCTGCGAACGCAACTCTAACCACCGTCCGATCCCTGGTTGGCGCTCTCCTACCCTTGGCAGGACCGAAGTTGTTCGCCTCCCTCGGACTCGGCTGGGGAAATTCGTTGCTGGGATTCATTGCGCTTGCATTTGTTCCCGTGCCGATTATTTTCTCCCGCTATGGACAACGCATCCGAGAGAAGTTTCCCGTTGATTTGGAATGAAGAACCTGGGGGCGAAACATGTCAGCGACGATCTTTCCGGGACGGGACGGTACCCGCATCAACCCCGTATAGAGTACAGAGTACAGAGCACAGTGTGTAGTGTACATACCTTAAGGGGACAAAAGCCAAGGATATTACTCTGTGCAACAATTCTAATTAGTACCATAACTCATAGAATAAAACCCAGTTCATTGGAAGAAAGAACCCTGTGCCAAGATCCGCCATGGCGACCCCTGACGAGTCATTCTAAATTTACCGTGCGACGTGGCTATGACAGATCCACTTTCACACGCGTTGGAAAGTCTAGATCGACATGAAACAAGCCCCTGGAACGCCGCCAGCGCCATGTTTCATTGCCACTGCATGGCAGTTTTCTCCGACTTCTCCAGCTTTTACTTCTTTTCTCTTCTTTAATCCTTCTCTTCTCCGTGTTCAACATTCGTTTCTTATATCTTCTTTCTTTGATCCATTCTTTTGTGCCAAACCACCTTCGTTACCGATCTCCACTTTTTACTTCTACTTTCTTTTCTTTCTCTTTTTTATTCCCTATCTTTTCCAATTCAAATTCACCATGGGGGATGACTCTCCTACATCGCCTAGCGATGCCACTCCTGGCATTTCCAGCGACAATGCCCCTCTACCAGTTACCACCGACCTCCACTCTAATGACCATCACCAAACCGCCCCAGTCCACCACAAGGAAAAAGAGGAGCTGATGCCCCGCGTCAAGGCCATGACTCCTCGGCCGACCTTCATGGAGAATCTCGCCAATTCCCGTGATAGACAGTTCCATCTTAGCCGACAGGACTCGAGTGAATTGGAACGGTACTTTGTACGTGAACCTCATCCGATTTTCGGAGAAAAAGAAAAAAAGAAAAAAAAGAAAGAAACGACAAATCATGGTGCGCAAGACTAATGGTGTATAGCACGGACCCCGCGACATGGATAAGCACTCTAAATGGCCGATTTTCATGCGTTTGCACGGAAGTGTCATGCCGAAGATGATTCTGCCCATGTTACTGGTCGCGATCTGGTCGACCATCATTACCTGCATTTCGGAATTTGTGCATAACCGTCAGTTGACCCGGACCTTATCATCACAAAGAACGATTGTTGACGCTTTGATCCAGTTGGTATTAATGACATCCTTCTCACCGTGCTGGGTTTCGTGGTGGGTTTGGCATTGTCTTTCCGTAGTTCGACTGCCTATGAACGGTACGCAAATCTACCATATATTGCTTGATTGCTCAACTAACGTACCCAGATGGGCCGATGGTCGTAAATACTGGTCCCAACTGATCCAGACATCTCGCAACCTCGCCCGTACCATCTGGATTAATACCGGTGAACGCGAAGGGGAGCTTGGAAAGAAGGATCTTCTCCGCAAGCTGTACGGAATATCACAATCACCCATTCCAGATCAAGCTAACACTTCTATAGGTCCGCTATGAATCTTCTTCTCGCTTTCGCTATTTCTCTCAAGCACAAGCTCCGCTTCGAGCCTGATGTTGCGTACGAGGATCTTGCCGGTTTGGTGGGATACCTGGATACATTTGCCCGTGAAGCGCACGACCATAATGTTGTTTCGCCGCCTCCCAAGTCGTCTTGGAAGGCCGTGGGCGAGTATCTGGGTGTTTCGTGGGCCGAGTCTAATCCCCGTAAGCTGATTAAGCGTTCCAAGAAGCCATTGGGTCATCTGCCGTTGGAGATTTTGCATCATTTGTCTGCTTACATTGATTCCATTGTTGACAATGGAACGCTCAAGTCTGCGTTGCACCAGGGACAGGCTAGTAAGTTTTACATACGACGTATATGTGTTGATGTGGGATGCTAACGGAGCTGTTAGTTACTATGATGGCCACCCTGAATGAGGTCCTTACTGGTACTGAGCGGGTGCTGGACACCCCTCTGCCATCCGCATACTCGATTGCGATTTCGCAGATCTCCTGGATCTACGTTCTTGTTCTTCCGTTTCAATTGTACAATTTCTTGTCGTGGATTACTATCCCGGCTTCCGTTGGTAAGTTTCCTTCACGTCAAGAAGAAGAATTATACTGACATGATCCAGTCGCTGCATACATCATTATCGGTCTCGCCACTATTGGTAGCGAAATTGAGAACCCCTTCGGTCAGGATGTCAACGATCTCCCACTCGACACGTACTGTCGCCAGATCGCCCTAGAACTTGATATCATCACTGCCGTGCCGCCGCCCAAGGTTGATGACTTCATGGAACGTGATGATAACCTCGTCATGTTCCCCTTGAGTCCTCGCGGTATCACGGAGTGGCAGGAGCGGAGTGTCGAGGATATTCGTGCTGCCTTGGCTGCGAAGGTGGTAGCGAATGTGAACTCGTCGCTCGAGTCTTCAGATGCTTCTAATGCTTCTAATGCTTCTACCATTATTGGTGCCGGGTCCTCGATTGGGAAGCAATCTGTCTAGATTGTGAGTTTGAGAGGGAGATATAAAAGTCGAAAAGTCCGGGGATTCAGTTGATGGTGGAAGATGTGCATTTCGTTTGAGCGGCCAGATTGTTATTGTTTAATGGGCTTGAAAGCGTGAGAGTTACGGCGTTTTCATAAGAAAATTAGATTGAGCTTGTGTTTTCAGTCTGATCTTTTGTTTATAATGTTGATTTACATCATTATTTGACCCGTTGAAGTACCCATTTATGTCACTGGACTTTAAGAATTGGCTGGGCCTAACTGGCCGGGCGTGAAGATCTCGACGGGATTGCTTTGCGCGAAGCGCAGCGATCCGGACTTTCTCGCCACCGTAGACGATTTCGGACTCTTAAACCGAAATTCCGCCAGGGTCTTTTCGGGATGCTGGTAGAGGCAGCAGCACCGTGGTGTAGGCATGCATGCCTTAACTTGGCAATAGCTGCCTTGGAAATACGTCGAGTCTAAAGCTCGCGATGCTCCAATCTAAAAAGGGCAAGGACACCTTTCCAACTAAGGAACGAACAAGTCCCGTCCAGAACCAGCAACAAGTGCACCAAGGTAATTGCCCTTAGCGCATACCCTCCACGCAACACTCGCACTTCCATTTCCACCGCCACCAACCCAAGAGCTCAATGCTGCAACGACTGCCGCTCCATCGTCTCGTGGAACACGAATCCAGGCAATGCCATACTTTTGCCCTTCTGTAGAGGATACAGGTTCGATTTTCAGGATGTCGATGGGGATAGAAGTGCCCGTGAGGCCGAGGAACTGGGACAGGGCGGCGGAGAGGTAGGTGCGGGCAGAGAGGTCGTCAAGAGGTTGTAGAGCTGGGGAACCGGGTTGGGGAATACTAGAGTAAGGTGAGCTGGGCTCCTATGGGACTTGGGTGGGTATTGCGCACAGTTGTAGCTTGAGGTAGGTCCATGGGGGATTGCGCGACGTGAAATGAATCGTGCTGTTGTCTTCAGCTCCTTTTCGCTTTGAAGCTGTGGAATGTGCCGAATTCCCTTGATCCTGTACGGTGTTCATCTCTGGAGCTGGTAGGGACATGCTGTGCGCAATTAAAATGTTCGTTAGGAAGTTGCAGAAAAGCGGAATTTTACGTCACGGGATTCCGCAGCTATATAGCAACACTTCCGATCGTGACGGACTGGCCTGCTGAATCGGCTATCTAAGACCTTTTTTTCTCGATCGCATCAATAAGTGCCTGCATTGCTTGTTGTAGAAATGCATCTTCGTCCCCAATGCATAGATCAGTAATGCACAGTGTTTTCTCACGCGCCTTGGCTCCGCGGATCACTTCAACGGTAGATTTAGGGACCTTCAAGACCTACGATATCACCGAGTCACCGAGTAAGTTTTGTTTGACTAGCATTGGTACTTAGAAGTTTCAGACGAACCTCTGCAATAATCTGCGAGACAGCAAGATTAGCTGCTCCATCGCGAGGAGCCGCAGCGACCGATACGTCAATTCGATTTGTCCTCACGGCAGCAACTTGGTTAGCGGAGGAGTTGGGCTTCACATAACAGGAGAGGTGGAGGTTGTAGATTTTTTTTGCAGTGCCACGGGGAGGACACTTGATTAAATGTAGAAAGGGGAATTTGTTCATTTGGCAAGATGGAGTAGTTGGAGTTGCTGAGTTTTAGCGGTGACAAATACTAGTCCTACAATCGAGCCGCGGAATATTTCAACAAGTGTAATTATGCTACCGACCACATGGCACTGGAAACCAGTGGAACTCAATTGCGCTATTAATACTCGATTCAATATTCAAATATTCAAAGAGATATGGAATAGGTAAATCTGCTCATTGAGCATGCTTCTCAACGCAGGAGCCTCACAGCATAACAAACAAACGGAATAGATACTGCAAATGGTAGTAGAAGTGGATGTGAAAATGGGGACTGGGTTAACAAGAACTGGGCATTGAGAACTAAGCAATGAATACTGAGCAAGCAAATTGGGCAACGGAGTGTGGAGATGGTAGAGCTGGGCTTGAAAGATCTAAGCTGATTCGACCTGCTCAAGAGCTTCATCGACCTTTTTGCTTTGAGCCTCCGTGGGGAGCAAATGAGCCTCAGCCCGCTGGACAGGGGTCTGGTACAGAGAAGGACACCCAACGCCCTTGCGCATGAAGATGTAGCGCTTGATCCACCACGGGAGTACCACGGTCAGCTGGTACTTGGCATGGCTTCGGGTAGGTACGCCAAACACATAATCCAGTTCCTCGAGGGAGCGTTGCATTGTCTCAGGCACGAAAAGGAAAATCATAACAAAGGCAACGAGATTGAGACAAGCGTAGAAACCAAAAGCGCCCTGGGCAGTGAAAGCACGCAGCATGTAAGGGAAAGTCAGCGAGAGGACTGATGCCCAGAAATTGTTGGTCGCAACAGCCCAGGCCATGCCAATCTCACGATGAGACTGTGGAAAGACTTCGGCTGAATATGTAAATGGCACAGGGCCCTCTCCTGGGGAATAGAATGCATCGAAGAGGTAGATAAAGAAGGCAACGAGACCAAGGTGTGCCTTGTTGTTCTTAGGGATCCAGAAACAACATCCAGCTGCAAGTAGGGTCCAGCACATCTGTGGGAATGTGAAGAGCAGGAGACCTCGACGACCGAATTTATCGATACTCCAAACGGCAGGCCAGGCAAAAGCAAAATTGATCAAGCCAAAGCCGAATGATGCGAGTAGGGCGTTGATATTGTTCGCTCCCGCGAGCTAAATACAAACTCATCAGTAAAGAGAACACATGGTAACTTCGCTGAGACCTTGAATTTACCTGGAAGATAGTCGAAGAGTAGAATGCAATGATGTTGACTGTGACAGAAAAACTATTAGTAGAATGCTTTGCCCGGAGAGTCAAAGAGGAACTTACTTCCACACATCTGCTGTGCAATCATGACTATACCTGACGCCTGGGTTGCGCGTCGCAAGCGTGGAACAGTGAAAATTTCCTTGAACCGGACGAATGCATTATCAGTGTCGGCGTAACCGGAGCCTTCAAGCATGCCTTTCTCCATGACAAGCTGTGCATGGATCATGTAAAGGTCCCGAGCAGCTTGCAAGCTACTTTTCCGAAGACGAAGAAGTGACTTGTATGCATCTCGGTGTCTTCCTTTGATGATCAGCCAGCGAGGCGATTCAGGACAGAACCAAACGCCGAAGATCAGGGGGACAGCAGGAATAAAGGCTGACCCAAGTTGTAAGCGCCACGACAGCTTGCCTGTGTTGGCAACCGCCAAGTTTGCACAAGTTCCGAGAAAGATACCAAAAGCTGTCCACACTTGCCAGCTCATGACTAAACCCCCACGGATGTTGGTGGGCGCATTTTCGGCGGAATAGACGGGAACAGTAACTTCTTTCAGACCCATTCCGATTCCCAGGAGCATGCGACAGACCACCAGCTGAGGCCAAGTCTGAGTAAGGGCAGAGCCGAGGGGTGCAAGAAGACTAAAGATCGCTGCCACAAAAATCGTGCCCTTGCGGCCAAGGATGTTATTGAGGGGGTCCGAGAGCCAGCCAGCACTTTCAGAGAACATTACTTAGCATTCAAAGAGACTTTGCATATGAAAAAAGGACATACAAAAGACAGATGGTAATGTAAGGTGTCGCATTGATGAGACCAACAAGCCATTGGTTGCGGGTGCATGTAGCATGATCCGGGCAGGCAGGGGCATTGTTAGGGATGCCAAAGACAACGTCAAAGGTAAGATTGGCACCATTGGAGCCTGTTATAGTCAGTTTTGGGGTATGCCGCAAATTCTTGCAATATGCTTACCAGTTTGATCCCAGCCTTGAATGGCTGCCGCGATCGAGTTTAGGATGATGGTGTAGTACAATGCCCAAGGCTGCCTCCAGCGATAAGTGGCCTCCACATGCAGGATCTCGTGCTCCTGACCATTCAGCAAAGGTGAAGATCTAGCTGCAACTGGGTCCTGACCAGCTAAAGCACCCTTACGAAGGTTGGGCAAGATGTCTTGCAGTCCGTGACGCTCGGCATACTGCTGGACGTTGGACATCAACTGATCATGTGGAATGCCCTCGAGCGGGTTTAAAATGCTATGAAATTAGATTATGACAAGATGAATGTTGGAGCTCAAGACTTACTCGGCCGTAACATTGTGGGTCATGCTTCATATGAAATCGTGTCAGTATGTTCGAGACTACAACGGTTTCGATACTTACGCCTCAGCCTGAAATTTTGAAGCCATATTGCTTTTCGACAAATTGGACTCGCAGATATGCGGTCCCTGATGAGATCAGGGAAAAAGGTGGAAGGTAGTATATCGTAATCGAAATACGAAGACGCGTGGGTGAGGATGGTATCAGGAAAGAAGGTTGTGAAAGGGAGAAGTAAGAATTGAAAAATACGCGTTCTGAAGGACGACGATAGGATGGAAAAATCACAATATGGGCAAGCACTACCATGGCTTCCTAGAGTAGTAAGGCCGTTGGTACCCGTGCTCATCTTTGGGCTTTGCCAAATTGTTCATTCACAAACCTTCAGCATCTATCAATGAAGTATTAGTTCGCATACTATGCAGCGCCAAATGGTCTGGCAAGATATGCTGGTAAGACTGGAACATCATGAATTTCAAATGCAACCCAGAAAGATGAGTAGCGTAGAGCACAAAGAATCTGAGTCGATACCGTGATATACGCCGAAGTATGTGGATAACCAAAATTGAATTTCTAAACAAAAGTGTTACATGTCCGATACACTGAACCCCGCAGTGGATCGCCAAGCGGGTCTAGGGTCTAGCGCCAGACTCAAAATGTAGGTAAAACGGACATATTACTTGAGCTAAACAGTACAAATACCATGGATGTCAATGCAGTATATTGGTTCCGAGGCTATTGAATCACCCAGGTTGTTGCCTATGTTGGTGTCCAGTGCCTTGTTGTCGCCCTTTATGGATGATCATCCATTCGAAATATAATTTCAGTCATTGCAAAAATGCCAAGACAAGGGCCGAATAGCGGAATCGCCGTGCTAGGGCTTTGTGAAGTTGAAATGTCGTTCTAATGGCGTCTTGACTGGAGTCTGGTTGAATATCAGGGAGCTATCATATAATCTAGCTATGACAACACCAACAAAGGAGCCGACTCGCCCTGAGCCTGTCGTTCATGTTGAAACAGAATATACGTAGCATCAATGCGGAGAGCAACGCCTAATATACTACCATGACATTGGGCTATGTACTTCAGTCTGTACCCGGGTATGGTCCCTTCTCAGACTTTACATATTCATAAGATTGGGTCAAATATTGTTGAGGCAACAAATATTAGCTAGAAGATCATTCATTCCATCTTTCCAAATGTTCTATGCTTTAGAAAATTGAATTTGACTCGATTAAATAGTCATATTTGAATATTCTGGACAAGCTGCAAACTACATCATCCTGACCGGACCACTTATACGAGGGACTGGTAGATGTTGTTATAGCTCGATTATGAATAGGAATAGGACGTATTCAATTACCAAAAGTCTAATGCATTTACATTATTCATTGTTCTATCGGTTCGAAATGCTAGTAAAGAAGTACGCTGTCTAGGCTGGAGAATCCAGCGGCCACTCCGCCTTCATTAACCTCCTTTCCTTTGGTTCGCAGCAGCCATCCACCTTCATCGTTGTGAAGAATTTTTCCTGTCTTCTCCCATAGAATAGTCCCGTAAACTCCAAGTTCCGAGATGACGTTTCCACGGAGGACTTCACCGTCATTCCGCAGGGCGACATTCTCAGCGTTAGCCGCAGGGTTGATCAACTCCATCAAGACCCAGCCTTTCCAATCGGACTCGGAAATAGAACGCAAGAAGTCTGGGATCTCTGCTTTGTAGACGTTGTTGCCTCCACCCTCACGCTGTGGTTTTAAGACATGCTTCATGGCAGTCTCAGGGTTGAGAGCCAGGTCCCTTCCTTGCCCGCCCGCCGAAAGATCATACTGCGGGGCAAATGTTTCACGTAATCTGGCAATGATGGCGGGATCAACATTCTTAAGGAAACTGGACAGGTGATCGGGGCCTGTCGGCTCTGCCAAAACTTGTTGAATCTTCTTACATCCGGCCAATTGGTTCAGCACCGTAGGACACTTGATGGCTGCAGAGCGTTCCAAGTGTGTCCGGGCTTCCCAATCACGACTTGATGTGTATTCGTCAGGAGAGTAGTATGCCCGAAGATAAACAGTCGTTACTTCAAAAGCAGACTCTGGAGAGTGTGGAGGGTGGTAGATTAGGGGACGAGAGGAGTTCGCGGCGGGAATGGATGTCTGGTCTAAAATTTGGTTGCTTTTCACACGGAAAGTCGGGACTTTATGGAATCCTGTGAGTCGCTTCAACAGAGCCAATTGATCGAAGACGTTTCGCTCTCCATCCTGGACTATAAAGAGAACACACAACGGAAGCCCCGGTGAGGACTTTGACGGGCCGTATGCCTTGTGTGCGGTCGCAAGACCCCCAGAGAGGGTTTCAACCGCAGTGTTATCAGGCGGTGTTCCGGATTGGAGAAGAGGATGAGGCGGATAGGTCAGCGGGGTCGACAGAAGCTCCGTATGCAATGATCTCACGAGAGCCGACAGGCCACCGAAGGACGAGGATATTGTGTTGAATTCCACCTGTTTCAAAGCTGGAGCATGGTTCGGGGTGACGTGGGCCATGTAGTCAGAACGGTAGAGACCTAAAGAAAGGTCTTGGACGTAGCCCTCCTTCTGCACAGCCAGATGGGTTTTCCAAAGATTTGCAACAAAGTCGTCGACGTCGATTAGACTGTAGATGCAGAGTTTAGTAAGAAAACCTCGATAATTCAGCATTCCCGAGATCCTACTCTTCGATGATCTTCCCTAGCCAGTCTTCGTTGCATGTAATTGCTGCATAGAGCTGATTGTAAACGGTCTGCAAGGCCTGCGCTTCCTTAAAACAGACCTTTGGGAATGGACTGGGAAACAGCGATACAGGGGCATTGGTAGCCAGCACTCCATTTGGGTCTGCGGTTTTAGGAAGAATTGCCGGCGAGGGTCGAACAGCTAGGCCATTTTGAATTGCCCAATCTTTAGTAGCCGTAACGAGATACTCTTGCTGTTCCCGAGACAACTGAGGAGGGTAGTTGGTATAAATTGCCTCTTCCATCGGGTCTTCAACTGTACTGTAGGCAGATCGGAAAATAATTGCTAAGCAGAAACCCAAGTGGCATCCCCCCGCACGTATGATTTACAATCAAACACATTACCTGACCGCCCCACATCCACCGCCATATACACCGCCTCGAACAAACTATATTGCCGGTAAAAAAACACCCGTTACCTATCTGGGAAATCTTTTGTTCAATTGATGCTGATCTTCTTTTTGTTTTCCCTTCACAACAACGCGTCTTATTCATTCTTTTTCCTCGTGGACTTGTCTCCAAAAACAGACGAATAACTAAAATCGCCTTCAATTGATACATCTTTGTGTTAGACCCTGCTCCAGCCAAGATCACGCCTCCCGGCAGGTACTAATCTCCTTTACGTGAGCTCATTCTGGAGTGTGGGGGGCCGGTAACTGGTGAGTTTCCAATGTTGATCGAAATGGAGATGTATGGCCCCACATATGAGCTTGACTGAACATTCTTCCTCAGGCCCCCCAAATGCAACATGGAGTCGGAGATTTCTGACCCAGTTGACTGGTCTGTCGATGAGGTAGTAAACTTCCTCTGTAGCCCTGGGCCTGCGCCATGGGCGCAATCATCAAAAGCCCCACGGCCTGACCCGGTTGTACTTGGAACAGCTCTTCGTGACAATGACATCTGTGGAGAAGTGCTAATGCATGTCGACAACGATGGCTTGAAGGATATGGGCGTAAAAGCCTACGGCCATCGCATCATGTTGATGAAAGCAATTCAATGGCTACAGCAAAAGTCTCTCAAGTACAACTTATCACGGAAGGACGTTCCCATTGAGGTAGCTCTTTCTAGAACGTCTTCTCCATACCCACATGAGGGTACCCCCATATCTGCTGTTTTGAATCCCAATTCTGCAGACCTTATCTCCTCCCCAATTGGCAATTTTGCTGTTCAAACAACCCTCAAGCTCAAACGCAGGATTGCCCCGACGTTGCTACAGGGGGAAGCTTCTCCAATGTTGGCACCGCGGACGCTGCTAGATGGCTTCTTGTCTCCATCACATGCAAACTCTCTACCTCAGGAGGTTTGCTTAACCATTGCAAATACACCGTCTGACCAGACTGCCTTGTACGGCAACAAAAACGACTCATCAGAGAACAATGTCAAGATTCCGCCGCGGACTGAAAATGAAGAGAAGTTTCTATCCTACTTGTTGGTGAAATACGGGCCACAGGATGACGATGCCGGTCTTCCTAAATATGGAGAATCAGGATCAGAAGGGGAGTATGACAGGGAAACTTGGCAAGAAATAGTGGATGATAATCCAGATCTCGAAGATGAGCATCCGGACCTCGAAGAATCCCGGCTTTCCGGCCTTTCCCAAGAAGAGTGCGACAAGATTTTGGCTGAATACATTACGGAGCAAGAAGAATCGTGGCGTCAAAAAGCCCTTCCAAGGAATTTGCCAAGAGCAGAAGGGCTGTGGCTTTCTTTTCGAGAAAATTCTACGCTCCAAGAGGAGAAACTCCGCCGCTCAAACCGCATTGAGCACCTTCAGGACCGCCTGAGAAAGTTCCAACAGGCGATTATGAATGTTGCCTACAAATCGGCCTCGGCTTTTCGAAGGGCATGTGGCGCTATGGATATGACAATCTTTGATCGGTGTACTGAGAAATGGACACTGGGTATTCTCGAACTAGATACTTGCCCGGAACCAGCTCTACGTCCAGCAAAGGTCCCCCGACCTTGCAAGAAGCGGGACATAGAGTCGGTATCCGCAGAAGAAGAAGAAGATGACACACTGACATCTGATGCGGAATCCTTCTACGAAGGTCTCGTCGAAGAAGACGAAGGAGATATTGAGCCATCTGCCAATGAAAATCAACCGGAACTCGGTAGCCCAATGTCTGTCTCATTGGGAGACGAAGACACTGAGGTCCCGTCAAGAACACATCGTTCGGAAGTAGCTCACCGGATGCCTTTCACTTTGGAATCTTCTCCCACTTCTAGCTTCAGTCTGTCGCCCGAACCTCCCACTAAGCGACGACGTGTTAGCGATCCAGGCCGAAGGGGGCATGTCAATGCTAAGCTGAATTTTCGAGGTCCTTTCCTTCAAGATGACGACGGAGACATGGAGTTGACTGATATCACCAATGTGGCCGACGAATCCAGGACAGCTCCGTTACAGCAGGATAATGCTGCGGAAGACATAATCAAAACTCCTCCTCTCAACCCAACTGTATTACCCGTTGACATTGATGGCACGAACTCTTCTCTCAAACTGACTCCATTGCGAAAAGAGCATGCTACTAAAGACATGATAAAAACTCTCCCCAGCCCCACGCAGCCCATCAAGCTCAAAATTTCGCAGCCCCGAGATCGCACTATCGAAATTGAACAGCCCTTACCAAGTTCCAATGATGGCACCGCCCCGGTTCTTCTCGACAGGGCACGCGAACCTACCCAGCCACAACCCATCTTGACTGCGTTGCAAGAGGACATGGCAGTTGATACAGACGAGGCCGATGTTCTCCGGATGGTTGAGGGGATGACCATGGCATCCATTGAGGCCAAAAAGGATCGTATTCAGTTATTGGCAAAGATTGTCATGCAATTGCCCTCAAGCGAATATAGAGGCTTTCCGGATTACCTAGACAGGTGGTTTCCTCCAATTTACCGGGAGAAAATCCAGGAAGTGATCAGAGCCATGATGAACAACCAGCGAAAGCTCGATGGAGTTGATCCCGCTGAGAGCAAGCTTTCGATGCGCCTGGGCGCTTTGTTTGTGTCCTGGTATCACTGTGCCAGCGTGAGTTCAGCTGGGCTTCAGCCGAAGCGACTCCAAGAGGCGCTCGATGCGATCGAGGACGATTATGATGAGGAAGCCTCGTTGACAACAGTCTTTATCAACAAACTTCAATCGCTCATCAACACTTACAATGCTTTGCATCCCGAGTCTTCACGACGACGGTCATTAGATGAGGGCTCAAGAAAGGAAGATGTTTTGAGCCCACCTTCGCAGCTTTCGAAACCGAACCTGAAAAGAAAAAAGCAGTATGTCCCGAAAGTACCCAATGCCGTGCAGAAAAATGCTCAGGAACGAAAAGCAGTGCAGGATCGAGCCAGAGAGGAATTCAGGAAAGAGAGAGAACACAAGGGCCTGAGTAACAGTGACCGAGCAGGACAAGCGGTCACCTTCAAAGACCCTATCATTTACCTGAATCCGGCCCTAGGCGAATTCGTCAAACCACATCAACTGATAGGAATTCAGTTCATGTGGCGAGAACTGTGTGACTCTGAGAATTCGCAAGGATGCTTGCTTGCCCATGTTATGGGGCTAGGCAAGACCTTTCAGGTGATATCCCTTTTAGTTACGATTGCCGAGGCCGCTGCATCAAAAAACCCGAAGATCAAAGCGCAAGTCCCTGAGAGATTTCACCAATCCCGAACTCTCGTTATTTGTCCATCATTCCTGGTTCCCAACTGGATAAAGGAGTTCCATTGCTGGGTTCCATCCAGCCACTACCTTGGAAATATTTTCCAAATTATGGCCACTCCCAACATAGACCCTGCGGAAAGAACGGCCACCATTCAAACCTGGGGTGAAGAAGGAGGCGTTATTATTATGAGCTACGAGATGTTTCGCAAGTTCATCAACAACGATGGAAACCGCTTCAATGGTCAGGAGCATAAAATGATTCTAGATGCTCTCTTAAACAAACCCAATATCGTGATTGCTGATGAAGCACACAAACTCAAGGGAGAAAAAACGTCCATCAGCCAAGTGACTTCTCGTTTCCGAACCAAGAGTCGAATCGCTATGACAGGATCGCCTCTTGCAAACAATCTGTTCGAATATTACCAAATGATTGAATGGGTTGCCCCGGGTTATTTGGAGACAGTGCAGTCTTTCAAGGAAAAGTTCATGGAACCTATTCAGGAGGGTCTGTACATTGACAGCAATCGGCATCAGCGGAGGGCAAGCCTTGTTGCATTGAAGGTTCTCAATGGGATTTTAGAACCCAAAATCCAGCGCGCAGGCCATTCAGTAATTGCATTCGATTTACCGCCCAAAACAGAACTTGTCGTTCGAATCACCCTATCGGAGATCCAGCGGATGGCATACAATATCTTCGTTGAGGAATTACAAGCCTCACACAATCATTCTAGGCTCTGGCAGTGGCTGGCGATCGGACAACTCTGTTGCAACCATCCGAAACCGTTTTTAGAGAAACTTGAAAACCGAACGGCAACATCAGGTCAAGGAGTCGAAGCGTCTGTCTTGGATGGGGATGCGGATCTCCCTCCCAACTTGCTCCCAAGAATCAAGGCACTTTTGGCTCCGGTCCCTGACATATTGGACTCCAATTTGTCCCACCGATCTTTGCTGCTCGACAGGATTCTGGACGAGTCAAAGAGAATTGGCGATAAAGTCTTGGTTTTTTCCCAGAGTATTCCAACATTGAATTATCTGGACCGATTATTCAGCCAAGGGAATCGAAATTACAGCCGCATTGATGGAAGTACTGATGCCGGAAAACGTCAAGGTATTGTGAACCAGTTCAATGAGGACCCAACATTGGAGATCTTGCTCATCTCAACTCGGGCTGGTGGACTTGGCTTGAACATCCATGGAGCGAACCGTGTTGTCATCTTCGACTTTTTGTTCAATCCTTCTTGGGAAGACCAAGCTATCGGGCGAGCGTACCGTCTCGGTCAGACAAAACCCGTCTTTGTCTATCGATTTGTTGCGGCAGGAACTTTCGAAGAAATCATCTTCAATCTGACTCTCTTCAAGTCTCAACTCACAGTCCGCGTAGTGGATCAGAAAAACGTCCTCCGCGAGGGCCACAAGAATTCCACGAAATACTTGTTTCCTGTCAAGGCGGGAAAGAAGAAGTCAATTGATCACATTCGAGGAAAAGATCCTGAAGTCCTAGACAAGATTATCGCCAACGGCGATCTCGCTGATAGTATTCTCGAAATCACTCTTTCCAAAGCCCAAGACGATGAGAATGATCAATTGTCGACCGAAGAAAATCTCCGCGTCAAAGATGAGTTGGGCTTAGAGCAGCTCAAGCGCAGTGACCCAGTGGCATTTAGGGCGGAAATGAAGAAGCGTCAGCTGGCTGAGCATGCCAAGGCTGAAGCAGCTCGTCTTGAGCAGGCTAAGGCTGAAGCAGCTCGTCTTGAGCAGGCTAAGGCTGAAGCAGCTCGGGCTGAGATGCAAGCCCATTTCAAAGAGCAACAGAGGGAGCAGCAGCAGCAGCAGAAAGAGCAGCAAGAGAACAAGCAACAGCATTCCTCGCCGCAAAACCCTCAGCAGCAATCACGTCAGCAGCCAATTCCCCAGCAGCAACCGGCAAATCCCTCGCTATTTCGACAAGTAGGCACACCGCAAGCCGCTGCACCATCTGCGTTTGGCCAACCACCAGGCACAAAGAGTTTTGGTCAACCCACCCTAAACCAATCATCCGGCCAAACTCAGCAGGCCAATCCAAATCCTTCTTGCCAGCCGTTGACACCTTCTGAAATGCAGCGGCGACTCCATCAACATAGATCGGGACCTATGCCCCATCAAGGATTTGCGCAGCTACCCCCAAGACCCCCAGCGCCGAATCCTGGTCCGCCGAATCCTTGGGTGCCTCCGAATAATTGGCTTCCTTCGCTGATGGCACAGGGGCCTGGACAAGGGGCGAATTTGCCACCAACCCTTCATGCTCCGACACGCCCATCTTCAACTCCAGCCATGGAAAACGTGCCAGTAAACCCGTGGCGGGCGTCCCCGCAGGAACGAATTTCTAGAAACCAATCTCAACCTGCCACTTCAACTTTCGCCCCAAAGCATCTGCAGAGCGGTGTGATGAACGCTCGTAACTCTGCCATGAAACATGCTTTCTCTTGTGATAAAGATAGGAACTGGGTTTCAACTCGACAATTCCCTATTCCCCCGGCTTCCACACAGCCACAGACTACATCGGCTCAGGGGAACTCGGGACCTTCGGCCTCCCCGTCATTTGATCTCTCTGTACCAGAAGGTGATCACCGGCCTCCCACCCAGACCGGGCCCAGACAGTAATTTTCCTGGCTCCAGGGCTGGCTTTGCATGTCCGACGACCATTTGAACTTACCCGAGCGTTTTACCATGCTTGATCTCATTTACTGCTAATTTGCATGATACCCTGGCATTTGTTATGTTTCTCTTTATGTTATGTCTGAATTTTCATATTATGTCTGTCGGTTGCATCATCTGTCCTGGACCTTGCTGCTTGGTGGGTCTAGAAAAGATACAATTAAGTACTTATTGCCAATAGCAAGACGAATGCTTCTGTTTCCTTATCCCAAAAGATCATGTTCAGATGCCATTGTAGGTCAAATTCAAAGCTCTCAATTAGGTATTAAAACGACGGCAAAGACTGCCCATTGAACGAGATTATGTTGTTGCGTATTGACTGCAGTAGGTCTTTCAGTCGAGTTTTGATCAAGATTCCATTTTGGTAGAGAAGAAGAACATTAAGGAAGCAAGCATAGTAGATTTGACTTAATGCAAGGATAGTACGTAAATATGTTACAAGATAGAAATCAGGTCAAAGATAGCAAAGGATTAGACATCCTTTTGGTTGGGTAGTAAATGGGGGAATGAGGGTGTTCCCGGAGTTGCAGACGAAGCCATTCACAAATCCCTGATGGCTTTCGCGAGGCCAAAAGTCGGGAGCTGCCTCTTTCGCAGCATTCGACGTTCAATTCCAGCTGACCACAAATTTGAATGGGAATGAGTTTCAACGGCGGGCTTCTCATGCTTTGCGGACTTGATTGACATCAAAGACGAGATTATATCACGAATGCTCCTGGAATCGACTCAACCCCGACGACCCCTGATCTGAATTCGACTTCACGAACGAAGCCAACCTCGACAAGACCGCAATCTCCAACTTAAGCTTCACCGTATAAAAGAAACACTTCGCCACCGTCTGCGCGATAAACAGCCCGTTAAACTCCAACGACAAAAGCGCAATGTCCATCAAAATAATCACCGCATTAATCGCAATCAACTGATACATGATATTCGTCCTCCGCTTCGAACGCGACGGATAAGAAAGCAACAACCGAATCGTCTGCACAATAAACAACGCCGAGATGATAATCTCCTGCACGAAGAACACAGTCAACTGAACCTTCTCCCAGATATTGAAGAAAACCGGAAACCTCGTCTGACACGCATACACAGCGCCATAAGAAGCCACAATCTGCGGTGTCTGCATCGTAATCGCATCGAAGATAATCATCCCCAGTACGCACCGCAGGACCGTCTGATTCATCACGACGAGATGAAGCCGTGAATAGAGCACGAGCGATTGGCCTGTGACCATGATGGCCCAGCCGGCCGTCGAGAGTGTTACCGGAATCCATATCGGGGCCAGCTCAAAGTATTTTAGGATCAGACCCAGGGCATCGGGGATCACGCCTAGGGAGGCGGAAATCAAGAGGCTCCAGAAGTATAGGCCGCCGTAGATGTGGAAAATGGAGAAGACGAGGACTATAAGTTCGAGGGCGCTGTAGAGGGCGCAGCCGAGGAGACTGGCTATTGAGGCTTGGACGGCGAAGCTGCTGCCCGTGTATGCGCCGACGATGCCATCGACGGGAGCTTCGCAAGTGACCATTCTGTGGTTGCATGTTCTTTCGGGGCTGAGCCTCAATCGGGACCTGGGTCAGGCATGGAAAGGAGTTTGTACACATAGAGCCATGTGATGAGGTTGAAATTGTCGTGGTCTGGGGTTGGAATGCGGAGGTGAGGTATCCATGGGTCGATGGACGGAATTAAGTTTGTCGCGGAATGTAAGGGAATTGTCTCCGCACCAATGTTTAATGTTTAAAGGCGGAGCAGGTTTACTTGGCTTCGATGGTCTCCGAGGGGGCGAATTCTGATCTATCATATCCGAGAGCCTGAGCGTGGTCGCATGGTCAAAAAATTTCGATTCCCTCAAAGTAATAACATTAATACGAAATTATAGACATATCAGTTCAGAAGATTCTCAAGATCAGCCACACGAGTCGCCCTATCCTCCGCCTTCTTCTTCCCTGTCTCACGGAATGCAGCAAGCATCAGCTCGCGTTTCCGGCCCTGGATATTAAGCACGCGCTCCTCGATACTGTCCTCCATGATGAGTCGCCACACAGTGGTCTCTCGCTTCTGCCCTAGTCGGTATACACGGTCCAATGCCTGATCTTCAATAGCTGGGGCCCACCAACTATCGGCAAGAATGGCTTGGTTGGCAGCCACGAGATTCAGACCAACGCTGCAAACGCTAAGACTTGCAAGAAGAACAGTGCAGGTAGGTTCGGTAGAAAAGCAGTTGATGGAGTTGTCGCGTCTGATGGCACTCATCTTACCGTCAACCCGGACAAAGTTGATCCCACGCTGGATGAGGTGGGGTTCCACAAGATCGAGGAAGGACGTCCACTGGCTGAACACTACCGTCTTAGTTCCAGGTCCTTGGCCTGGTGCGGTAAGAACCTTTACCAGGGCCTCGATCTTGCTACTAGGATTGCTGGGATCCGCGCTCACAGTGTCCGAATCTTCACCGAAATCCTGGGCAGGCGCGACCAGACTCTGATTGTCTTTGATATCGGCACGGCAGAGCGGGCACTTGTGCTGTCTTTCGATGACTTCCTCGATACAGCCTTTGCAGTAAGAATGGGCACACGCAGTGATGACAGGCTGGTCAAAGTTATCGAGACAGATGGCACACACTTCCTGGCTTTCTATTTGAAGCTGCAGCATATCCTGCAAAGCCTTCATGTTCTCAGGAGTAAGTTCCACCGCTTTCTGTTGACCTAGGGTTTCCAAGAGCTTGCTGATACGATTTTTGCATAGAGCCCAGTGGTTGCAAACTTGACGAAGGCGAAGAATGACCTCCAGTAGGTGAGAGTATGTTCCTTGCTTATCCTTGAACTCCAACAGGGCCCCCTTTGCCTCGGACTGGAACGCACTGTATTTCTCGAGCTCATGACGTTGGAATTTGATGCGAAGAACGCGAGAAGTGAGCTTCGGTAGTCGAATGTTAATGAACTCCATGTCCTTTCGTCGTCTGAGACAGATAGTTCCCATCAAGGCCTCAAGAAGCAAGCGAGCTTCAGGAACTCCGGATGTGAGAGGACGGATCAACACGCTATTAAAAACGCCCATGTCCTCCAGGCCTCCAGAAAGCTTCAAGAACCGTACTTGCGAGTATAGATCCTTGAGAGTATTGATGATTGGTGTACCTGTAAGGGTCCAGCGAGAGTCTGCACGCAAGGCGCAAGCTGCCAGAGAGCCCTGCGATCCAGGATTTCGAATGGTGTGTCCCTCGTCAAGGACGACGCGCCGCCACTGGAGCGAGAAAATACCCTTGGCGGATCTCTTTTGCGGTGCCTGTTTGAACTCCGTGACAAGAGCGCCGTAGCTTGAGATAACCACGTCATATTGTGACAAATTCCCAGCCTCTTTCTTTCCAGACCCGTGATAGATTAGAACACGCGGCATGGTCTCGGCTCGACAGTGATCTTGGATCTGATTCCTCCAGTTACTCATCACGCCCACTGGGGCGAGAATCAAGGTGGCCTTGCTGGAATCCGAAGTCTTGGGCGCTGGGTCAGCCAGGATCAAGGAAATAACCTGGATTGTCTTCCCAAGGCCCATATCATCGGCAAGAATTCCACCACTGGAAAGTGTTGGCGCGGTGGCCGAGGAATAGTTGGTTGCAACATTGGTAAAATTATTTCCACTGCGTTTCCACAGCTGAACCACGGCATCGGAGCCAGGCAAGGGAAGGGTGGGGGATTCGCGTGCAATCATCCACGCTAAACCTTGCTTTTGATATGGGAGTAGTTCGGTAGAAAGACCAGCTGGGGTATCGACCATCGGCATCTTGGCCATGTCGGACTCTTTTTGCCCGAAACTCTCAACCACTTGGCCAATCTCTCTGGGATTAAAGGTACTGCTTTGGTTAATCAGATCCTCTATGGTTTCGGTGACTTCACCCAGCCCTGTTGGTGTCGAAAGGTTGGCAAACATTGTGTCATCGTCACCAGCTTGCCACCCCGCCGCAGCTTTCTTAAGGGCCATCGCACGGGCATTCTTTTCAGCCTGCTTCTGCTCCGCAGCGATCTGCTTTTGACGTTGCTTCTCCTTGCGTTCGGCGTCCATGAATTCCCGTAAAGGAAGTCTGTCCTTCTGCATTTTTTGCTTCACAATTATCTTCCTGGCTGGGTCAGTCGGGCCGTATAGCGGCAATGTCACAGGGCAGTCATAAGGCCCCTTAGTACCCGTCAAGACTCCTTCAACGTGAAGATCTTTGGAGTCCTGTGGCAGTTGTAAGCGAATTTCAGAATAGATGTGGATGTGTCATGAACAAACAATATAAGGAGCAAGCTTAGCAGCAATACCCCTCCCAATGTGACCGACTTGGATGCCCATGATATTATCGACTCGGATGGCATTAGGATCATATTGGTTGTGTGGCTCTCGTTTCAAGATGACATGCTCTCCTGGGGTAGCAATGCCATTGTAGAAACGAACACCCACGATCTTGGTCTCCAGATTGCCTGAGTGACGTCGTTCAGGGCTTGAATCATGCATTTAAGATGACAAGAAGTTTAGGTCAAAGCTTACCATAGAGCATACTTGAGGACGGGGAAGATTCGTCCACATCCTGACTCCCCTCGACAAGCTCGGTGGCCTGAGCATCATCTTCATCGGCGCCGGGAACCTGAGTCAAGGGAATGAAATCGGTACTTTCGCCAAATCTTTCACCATTGCTGATGTCCTGTGGGTCCAAGTAAGGAGTCGGTCGGTTGACTTTCGCTGCACGAGCCTCGTTATTATCGGTTAAACCGACTACATCGGACTTGCGTTTTCTGGGCGCCATGACGTAGATCGCGGCCCACCAGGTTCAATGCTTCGTAAAAGAGATAAATATGAAGATCTGATCAGCTTCGTACTATCCACAAGCTCGCTAGAGTGTCGATGGAGTCAGGAGTCAAAAATTAAAAAGGAGATAGATCAGAAGTGCTACGACATGAGCTAGTGCTAATCAGGAAATTACGCGGTCGCGGAAAACACGTCGTCACGTGGCAATTGATAGCTAAGCTGGATTTGCAGAAATGCATGAGAATTGGCTTAACATATAGTAAATGTCAGAATTGGTACCTACAGATCATATTGACTGACTGAAATACGTCCCCTTGTCTTCATCTGCAGGAGTTCTGTGCATAGTATTGCGTACTGTGGGTTCCTAGCTGACAGTCACGTGAGCATGACACAACTTGCTCCAACGTGCGTCGACTTGTTTTTTTGCTTTTCCTTGATTTTCTTGATTCTAAATCAACCGAGGATGAATTAGTCTGAACAAATCGCCGTGATCATAATATTTGCCATTATATTTCCTTTGCGGAGATCACGATACCCACGGACCCTACATCGATGCTTAGCGCCCCCCAGATCAAACAAGCTCCCGGGCATAGTGGCACCCTCTCCGCATGGCTAATCCCCGCATTAATTGGTCCAGATATCTCGTTCGGCAAAACGAACATGATCTAGAGACTCTCCTCCACCAGGGCACCTTTAAGCCCCTTCTTCTTTACCATGTCGTTTTCTTCAATTGCCTACCATGGGTCGGCCTAGTCATTCCCAAGTCCAGAGGTGGGCGATATTTTCGACCTTTGATCTTTGCACTGAGCTTAGCATTTGCAATTGAGGTTCTTATGAACCAACGAGCTCTCCTTGGTGGAAATGGGTATATGATTGGTATGATGGTTGGCTGGTGGCTAGTATGGAGTGCCACATTATTCGTGTTCTCGGATGTTGAGCGTGACTATCAACGCATTGAGCGTGTGACTATATCAGACACACGCAGCTCAGATAGCAAGAGACTGGATGCGCAGTCGGAATCCATCGGTGATAACAACTCCCCACTCCCTGCAGAGGGTGCAACCGACCAACAAGCCCACTTTCGCTGGCAGTCATATCCATCTAGGCTTTCACATCGCATTGAGTGGTGCGCAGGACTTCTGTTTAATCTGCGTGGTCCAGAATGGAACTGGCGTGCTCCTCGCCTTGGTCGGTTGCCGCGGACAGTACACGCGAACCTGCATTCTGGCTTCCTGGCAAGCAATCTACGAGAAGAAGACGAAGTGCATATTTCTGCGAAGACTTGTCTCTCGAAAGCATTTCGTACATTCTTGATCTCATATCTGACGCTCGACGCTTTTAAAGTTATCTTGATACGGGACCCATACTTCCGGGGCATGAAGGCCGACACTGTGCCTCCTTTCCCCTTCTCCTTCCTTGCATCCATCCCTTTGGGCATTCGCTTCTACCACTGCTTTCTGAGTGCTATGGCGGTCTACGTCGCTCTCACTTATGTCACCTCATTGAATCCCATCTGCTTTCTTGGGCTATCAATGGCATTCCCCAATGCTTCTCGCAAGTTAACAGCTGCTCCATTAGACAAGTCGTGGCTGTACGCTGATACGTTTGGGCCATTCATTTCACCAGTTTTGGATGACGGCCTAGCGGGTGTTTGGGGAACCTGGTGGCATCAGCTCTTCAGACACGGATTTACCTCTACAGCACGGTGGATTTTATCATTGCTTCCGGGTTCATGGGCAATAGACCCGCGAGTGAAAAGGGTCATCTATATCGTGGTTGCGTTTTCTTTGAGTGGTTTCGTGCATGCTTGTGGCAGTTACACGCAGTTCACAGACACTCGGCCTTTGAGTGGGCCATTCCTGTTTTTCTTTTTACAAAGCATGGCTATCCTTATTGAACATATATTCAAGGTTTTGGTAATCTCAAAGTTGCCTCTGGGTCGTATCCCACGATGGTTGCGACGTACTGCAAATGGCCTCGTTGTGTTTTTCTGGTTTTTGTTTTCGGGGCCTTTCATCGCTGATGATTTTGCCAGGGGTGGGCTGTGGTTGATGGAGCCTGTGCCAATTAGCCCCCTCCGGGGCCTTGAATTGGCAAATGGCCAGGGATGGTGGTGCTGGGAGGGAGACTGGTTTAAGTATTGGAATGATGGAACTTACTGGGGTAGTGGGATCCGGGTAAATTGATCGGGATTTACAAGAGGGCTGCACATGTGTATAAACATTTGGGTGGATCTCGGATTTTATAGAAAAGTAGGCCAGCCTGAACAGGCCGCACGAAGATACAAGACTTTTTAATTATATACAGTGACATTATACAACTATCCCTCCATGTTGACATCCTCATCGTCCTCGTCATCAGTGTCAGAATCCATGTTCAAAGTGGGCATTTCATCATCGCTTTCCTCCTCCGGTGACGGGGCAGCAGGGGCGGCAGGGGCGGCAGGGACAGCTTGAGCCTGGGACGTGACAACCTGGGGTTGCATTCGCTCAGGTGCATCGGCTTCAGCCAATTGAGACGCAGATGTCTCAGCCCGAGTGACAACAGGGAATTGCTGGTTAGCACTCTCTTCAAAACGAGCCTTCTTGGAATGACCTGGCTCCATGGGCGCTGGGAAATTAGGCGTCTGGATAATCGACTCTTCAACGTAAGTCCGTTTGTGCATTGGGACCTGAGTTGTAGTCTTCGCTTCAACCGGCGCAGGAGCCGGAGCCTTCAAGAAGTCGGCAGCTTCGGGAGCAGCATTGTACACTTCGTCGTCGGCCATCTCGTCTGCATCTTGCTCGTCCTCTGCCTCAGCATCAGCGTCGAGCTCCGGAGCAGTCATCAGGACTGGCATTCTAGGGCGGACCAGAGCCTCGACTTCCATATTATCGGCGTATCCCTGAACTAAGAAAGGTATGATACTGGCACCCGCAGCGCGGCCCTTGGTGGCCGGGATGGGGTTCAGAACACTTGCAAGCATAGCATCCTTGTCGGAAACCAGAATAATTGTGCGGTCGATTTCAGCACGGAGAGAGCCAACAAGAAGCTGCGGGGGAACAGATGCCAAAACAGTCTGCAAGAGGCCTGAGGCAGCCCGTTCTAGCTCAGCGAATTGAGATGTTTGCGATTTGCGGTTCTTTTGAAGGTCAGGGTTCAAGAAGGAGTCTGCATTAGCAGTGGCTTGACCGTTCTTGGTCTTGGGCTTAGCATCGGATTGTTGCTTGGCTTGAGGGCCCGAGTCATCAGACGAAGGCAGGAGATCATGACAGCAGGCGCGCAGAACGCTGGAGATAGAGGTCACACTCTGCTTGGACATAGCAGGGCCATTGAGCGATACCACTGTGCTCAGCAGATAATATGAGGCTAAGCGCACATTCCGGCTGGTGTTTTCGTTCCGGAAAACCCAGGTGATTTGTTCCAGGATGTTCTGGGTGATGGGTGTGGCGCTGGTCTCAAGTACACTGGTGACATGTGCAAGCAAGTCCATACAAGCAATGTGAATGCGAGGCAATTCAGCCCATAGCAGTTCCCGCTCGTCACGGCCAATTTGGGGGTTGGTTTGCACACCAGATCGGGTACCCTCACCCGAAGGCGCGGTCACAGACGTGAGACGCGATGTCACATCGAGAATTGAGCCCAACGGGAGGGCAACGGTAGCCGTGGATGGCATGGAGACGAAGTTCGACAGCAGTCGCAACAAGGTAACTAATCTATCAGATCCAGCATGCATGCCTTCCCAACTGGCAAGCCCCAGCGCATCGGAGCTATCATCGGCTAGCTCTTGGGTGTAGTTCTGTCGTGCCGAAACCAAACCCCCATCAACTGACTCCCATTGCTCTACCACTGCACGGAAAACATAATCAGCCGCTCGGTGGATCGACAGAACCGTCGCTCTACAGTCTTCAGTCCAACCGGATCCAGCCTTATCCTTTGGCGCACATTTATGCAGAGAGGCAAAGAGTTGCTCTGCGACATCCATCACCGGATCGGGGAAGTACAAGGTTGAGGAGCCCAGAATCTCTGTCAGCAATGATCGGAGCTGGGTACCAAAAGGACGGAAGATGGTAGGGTGCCGAGGAACCAATTCTAAGCAGACTTGGAGAACGATCTCCATAAACGGGGTGTTGGGCTTCACTTTGCGAGTCGATCCCGAGGGTAGCTTAGTGAGGACCGAGACTAAGTTGAGAGCAGCGGTAATAAACCCAGGTAGATGGGGTGTCGTTATCTCTCTGACCAGAGTCGGATACTGGTAGGTAAGATGGAAGATGCGCGTCAAGGTGATCATGGCCATCTTCCTTGTGGAAATGGGATCCGGTTTCTAGACGGCACAGAATGTCAGTCGACCAAGCCACAAGATCTAGATCCATAGTTCATGCAGATTGCTCATACCGCCAGAATGCTGATCAAGCCTCGAACAATTGGCTCATAGCCCCGCAAGATCTCCCATTGTCCCGCCTCAACGGTGGCTTTCACGAGCACCACGGCGGTCCATCGTCCCTCAATGGTGCGGTCCTGCAGCAAAGCAGCCAGACGAGTCTTCAGCTTATGAATCTGCACGGAATGGTCCGACTCCGTTTTGCCTGATTTCTGAGCCTGGGGCGCAGAGAGAAGCTCGGCGCAATCACTCAACGAAGTCGCAAGGAATGCAGCGATCGAGGGCAATTGCTCGACGGGCGTAGTGGCCAAGCGATGTGTAACCGCACGTAATGTAGTCGTAGTCATACTGACTCCTTTTCCCGATCTTCAGATCTGGGGAACTCGGTTCCTTTTTCCTGGAGAAGGTCAAGAGAATGTAGGATACATACTTTCTTATCGGTAATTTTTTTTTTTGCCAAAGCTCGGACCCACATGATTCCAAACCAGCTAAACAGTAAGAATGTGAAGCCTCGGGTAAAATTACATACCAAAGCAATACGCAAAGACCTCCACATCCCCTGGGCGATCATTCTCCCCGAACTTGTTTCTCTCGCCCGCATGTCCTGTCCTTCATCTTCTTCTGCGCATTATCCTCAGTAACGGACATCATGGCGGTGAGTGTCGCGGATCAGGATCCCCGTCCATCCCTAATTACCTACCCAAATACCGGGCCCGATATACTGACGCGCGGTGCTAGGGAGGCAATGTTGAGAAGGGACAACGTTATATCGCACTTTTAGACCAGGCGCGGGCCCAGGGTAAATGGGAAGAGGTCCCTGAATTGATCCGAAAGGTTACCAAGCACGCTCCACAGAGGACTTGTAGGTTACTGAGATGAAGCTCCTCCCCGCGTCAGTGGCTTGCGCGCTAACCCGGAGATCTCCCATCCAACAGGTGTCATTCAGACCGCAACTGCCGAAACGCGAGTGGTGGCATTCATTCACCAAAAGACGACTACTGAATCGACAGCGACACCCAATCTTCCCGAGTTGATCCCCGCCTTGTTGACAACTATCGAGAACAATGATGGCACCCCGCAGGAGATCTTACAAGCTCAGGTGTGCTTGGGATGGGTCCATTGGACACTGAATGAGCCGGCACTAGCGGCAGTCCGCCTGCCCAAGGATTTCACTGCTACCGTTCAGGCCCTGTTGAGCGAAGGCCATGAATTATCCGAGTGGACTGAGGTCTGTTTAGTCAAGGGATGCTACATCAAGGGTATGCCGGTTTCAATGAATTTTTGGATAATTTTACTTATCGCTTTAAGACGGAACTAAACGACTGACATCGCTCATGTAGGATCTGCACAGTCTACAGTCGCCAGCATCGATGAATCTCTGGAGACATTTGCAGCCTTGATCCCGTGGCTGAGCAACGGCAAGCTCATCAACAATGCCAACTCCCAATTTCTCAGCTGGTCCGAGACGCTACTTGGCAAGGGAGCCGTGATGGCCAGTGAAGAAGCCGGTACGGCTACCCCATACTCAGACCCCCGGCATGTGGAGATCGCTCTTCGGCTGTTTCGGCTATGGTCTGTGCATCCTGCAGTCAAGCAAGGACAGGGTTCTCCTAAGGCTGCGTACGCAGGTGCTCCGGGTCAACCATCGCGTACTTCTATCTGGAAATCGTACTACTTGTTCCTCACAATTGTCCTGCAGGATGGCTTGCCCTACCCCCCTTCGCACGATAACCCGGAACGGCCACAGCTAGCCAGTGAGCTTCGTCGAGTTGAAGCCATTTGTGAGAGTAACTTACTTCGGGAAGTTAAATTCCCTACTGCTAGTTCCGACAATTCCCAGGTTGAGGAATGGGTGGAGCAGGTGATCAGCAACTGGGAGGTTCTTTGTGGCCCCGACTGGCAGGACCAGGATCTCGGTGAAGGGGGACAAAACGCCGTGGGCCGTAATGTCCTGGACGTAAGTATTACAAATAACAATGAGACTATAATTCCTCGGTGGCTTACTCAAGACAACAGATTCTGTACCGTGCGGCAACCAAAACCTATCATTCGCACTTGATCCTCAGACGCCTGTTTCATGTACATTCTGCACTGGCAGACTTTGACCTTGCGCTCAAGGCTCTTGATTCCTACATCGAGATTGTCACTGCCGCCAAGGCACGGGCTGAAAAGTCGGCCGAATATGGAGAGCTAGAAAAAGATGAGATACTCTTGCAAACTCTTTCGGAGGGGGTTACTCTTTTGAGCTGCCTTGGGTCTTTTGAAGAGGCAGAGAAGGCCAAGAACTTGACAGACTTGATCAAGGAGTATATCGATAAGGCGACAAGCCAAACAGAGGGTCAGAGCAACGGCAAGCTCCTGCTTTCACATGGTCCTAACTGTACCAATGCTCCAGATATCCCCGTCGCCATACTCGCCACATCATACCGAGCTGTCGGGGTTGGTCTTGCCAACTGGGCTAGCTACACCCCTCTGAACGAGGCTCGCGACGAGATTCGTGGGGAAGCAATTGATTACTTGGAGAAGAGCATTAATCCTGAGTTTGGACAAGACACCGACTTCGCCGCTCTGTATACTCTTGCCCTAACTCTAGCGGAAAACCGTGATCTCGATGCTGCAATCGACTATGCTAAGTCCGCTCTGACGTCTCACAATTCAAGCCCTGTCACTGAAGACCTCTCCAAACAAAGAGATCTCGTATCACTGTGGCATCTGCTTGCACTTCTGCTTAGTGCAAAGCAGGAGTTCGACATCGCTGAACGCTCATGCGAGGCAGCATTTGAACATTTCCCCTCAGAAATCTCCTTCAGGGGCAGCCGTGACCGGCGTTCTTCAAGGCATTCACAGAATGGTTTAGGTGGTCCCAAGCGCTCGCTGATCAGTCGGTTGCAGAGCCGGGAGAAGGAGCGCATCCTTCAGACTCGTATCACACAGCTCGCGTTTACCGAGGTTCTCGAAGGCCCGGAGGCTGCCGTTAACCAGACTGAGCAGCTGCTCAGCCTTTTTGGCAGACTGTTCCAAGAGCTGGATCTTGACGAGGGATCCAAGTCAAAGTCTGATCATTTGGTACCACCAAAAAGCTCTGCGGGAACAACAAAGAGCTTCCGCAGCAGTATTTTCCACCGTAGCAGAATGTCTCAGCTACCAGAACGCCGGGGTGATCTATCCGCAAGGTCAAATTCGGCGACCCCTCCTGTTCCGGCGATCCCGAATGGACACTCAGGATATGATGCACCAGAAATACAGGTCACTGACGAAGATCACGATTCAAGTCCCAGAATTGGACGATCAGACTCCAAAAGGTTGCAGAAGCGCAGCGGTAGCTCCTTTAGGCCCGAAAATCCACAAGATCAAGGACCCCCAGTCCCTCCGCATGAAAATGAGGTTGGCATTGCAGTGTCAGGGAACTCGACACCCGTACCACGGGCTCATTCGCAAACTCCAAACGACGAACGGCCTATGCAGCATAAGTTAGTTAGCCATGACGGGCAATCCCCGCGCCACAACCTGCGCCGTCCCGTTGCTCAAAGATTTGACTCTCCTACCAACGTTACCACCAAATTCTCTCTCACACAATCCAAGAAACACGCCCTTGCTCTGCTGGTCAAGATTTGGCTGGTCATCGCTGGTCTTTATCGCCGTGCATCCCTATTTGATGATGCCCGCGAAGCTTGTGAAGAAGCCTTGAAACAGACTGAGCGAATGGAAGCCCTGGCCGCCGCTGAGGAATCTTCTGCTCGTCACTTGAACAGTCGTGGCTGGACTGCTGCGAGAAGCTCTGAAGAACTCTGGGCTGATGTCTACGCAGAAGAGGGTCTTTTGTCTCAAGCCCAGGACAAGCCTCACGAGGCCATGAAGTATTACGAAGACGCTCTCTTGCGCTGCCCGGAACACCCAATTGCAACCATCGCCCTCGCAAACCTTCTCCTGGACATCTGGGACGAGAAACTTTCGCCCGAATCAACAAAGACAGATGTAGATCTCAATGTCTCACGTCTTTCCTTGTTGGCTTCCAGCGCTAAAATCAAGTCTGCACGAGCCATTTCAGCCGATGAGCTCAAAGCCACTGAAATAGCCGAAATTTCACGACCAGTTTCCGTGGCTAGTTCCCCACATGAAGTTGACCCGAAGCACCTCCACCGTCTCGCAGCTCGTGACCGTGCCTACGGCCTTCTCTCCATACTCACTAAACTCGGCAGTTCCTGGGATAATTCCGAGGCCTGGTACGCGCTTTCCCGTGCATACGAGGCCGGAGAGCAGACCGAAAAGCTAAAAGAGGTTTTGTGGTGGTGCATTGAGCTTGAGGACCGTCGGCCGATTAGGCATTGGTCTAACATTGGCTCCGGTCTTTATGTCCTTTAAAATTGAGCAACCATGTTTAATTAATATCTTTCTTGTATCTAGTTGATTTCCCTGGACTGGTCACGCTTGATTCCCCTTGTTTTCATCTTCAACATCTGAGATACCATGTCCTTCCGCAAACCGGGAACTGAGTGCAGGACTGGGTGTGTTTGTCGAGCGTTTCTTGCTTTGGATCTTTGCATTTATTGGAATGGAAAATCGTTCATCTTCTTCTAAACCTCTTTTTTAAGATACACTGAGTGCTGGAATAGCCACTTCATTTTGGCGTTCTATCGCTGGAAGTGTAACCAAAAATTGCTACTATACTATAGTAGACCTGGTGGTGAGGGCGTCCGCAGTCTGCCCAAGGTCTTCGTTGTAAGCCTCCGCTTAATAGTCTTATATAAAAGCTAAGGATTCCTAGAATGAAAGTTTCATGAAAAAGCAGAAGTAGCACAACTTTATGTACATTCCTTCCAAACACATTCGGTGGTTGCAGGATATAAAAGAACAAAAAGAAAACTAGCGTGGAAGTGCGAAAGTTCAGTTCATTTTGCTAGCCCTTAGCCAATGGATTTACCGGGGAGCGGCAACAGGAGTCCAGGCAGAGTACTTGGGGCGGGTTCTTGAAAATGGTTAGTACTTCCACAGCAAGAGCACGTATGTCCAAGTACGTACGTAGAGTAGGTCTTGAAAGCACCGCGAGTCTGAGTAAGGTTGGGACGGTGCTCGGGGACCTCGTAGTGGCGCAAACCGGGCTGGAGGAGCTTGTCCTGGGTTGGGGGAGCATCCACCATGTAGGAGATCCAAGCGTGCCTGAATATGATTAGCTCACTGAACCACCCCCAGTTCAAGCTCAGACGAGCTCATAATGCTACTTACCATCCAGGCTCAACCTGAGAGGGCTCCCACTCGGGCCAGCTGGTCTTGTAGTCGACCCATCGTGTCCGGACTGTGTAAATTAATCAGTACACTTCCTATTCAGGCTCCCTGTGCCCTTTTCAAGCTTCGTGATCGGCGTCTTACGGGGCAGCTCCTCGGCCATGTTCTCGTAGTACTTGTTACCCCAGCGGTCGGTTCCGATCAAAGTTCCGGCCTTGGTATCACCTAAAGTCAATACAAGTTAGCGATGCACCCTGAAACCCGCGAATAGGTACCATACCGATGTTCTATTCCAAAAAGCAAGGGAAAAATCCACAGTTAGTCTCTCTGTCTCGCAAATCCTGCATCCTAAGTATCCGCGGGCGAGGTTCATACCTGCATCTGGTGGCCATATTCCTGTTGCAAGAGTTAACAATTTGAGCTCGTTGGAGAGAGAAAAAAGCAGAGCATGAACGAACCTTGAGGCCAATGCGGCGCAAATTGCGCAGCGTCCGCAGGATGGTGGACATGGTGACGATGCAATGGGGGGAGGGACAATGTGTAATCGCAGTGTCGTGAGTCGTCGCGAGGTTGAAAGCGAATTGAGGTCCGGTGTTTGCACTGTTTGCACCAATTATGCTCGCTCGTCCCTTCCCGATTCAGAAATTCAATAGTTTCCTGAGATCTACTGTATTGCAAGAGCTACTTTCGCCTTCCCCACGTCATGTTCGGTCGCATTGGAGGCCAGGCACTTCGCTGTGCTACTCGTCGCCCGATTGCGCGCCGCAATCTCCCTGGTCGCAAGTTCTCCCATGCTGCGGCTAATGCATCCGCTGCTCCGGCCCCGTCACCTCTTGGGGGCATCACGGTTGAATTGGATCGCATTGCGCCCCGGTTTGAGATTTCTGCAAGCCAGGTCACAATCTTGAACTCGCCGGCCCAGTTCTACTCCACTCTTAAGGTTCGTGATCCTGTGGGGAGCTTCATACTCAAGATCACCTACTGATCCGTTATCGGCAGCACAAAATCCGCAATGCCCGGAGGCGTGTTTACCTCTCGACGCTCTATATCGGAAAGACCGAATACGAATTGATTGACACCATAGCGGATGCTCTGCGCGATAATCCCGATCTACAAGTCTCTGTCCTTTCCGATGCGTTACGCGGCACTCGAGAAACTCCCAATCCTTCATGCGCATCGTTACTCTGCTCCTTGGTGGAGGAGTTTGGTCCTGAGCGAGTGGACATTCGGATGTATCATACCCCCAATTTGACGGGCCTGAAGAAGAAACACATTCCCCGTCGAATCAATGAGGGCTGGGGCTTGCAACACATGAAGCTGTACGGAATTGACGACGAGATTATCATCTCCGGGTAAGGATTGACCCGTTGAGCTGGACTTGGTGATGGTGATGCTAATGCCTCGTGTAGGGCAAACCTGTCCGATGACTACTTCACTAATCGTTTGGATCGGTATCATGTGTACAGCTCCAAGGAGTTGGCAGACTATTACGCTCGCATCCACCACGGCGTCTGCAGTCTGAGCTTCCAGGTCTTGCCAGACCCTAACAATACTTCCGCCTACCTCCTGGAATGGCCCAAAAGCAATGGGTCGCCATCACCCTTAGACAGCCCTGAAGACTTCATCGGATACGCATCAACCATCCTCAATCCCCTTATTCAAGCCTCCGACAACAAACCTGTCCTCCCCTCAACCTCCAGCCAAACATTTGTATACCCCGTGGCACAGTTCACTCCGCTCCTCAAGCCCGATACTTCCACCGAGTTCCCGGCTGTCACCAGCATCCTCCGCCTCCTGTCTGAATCCCCTGCATTTGCTGGGGCCCGTTGGCTCTTCACCGCAGGTTACTTCAACATCCACCCCGTTCTTTCCTCGCTATTGATTGCGAGCACATCAACTAACCCCAAAGCTCCATCTAATACACAAGGCACAGTTTTGACTGCCTCACCGTGGGCCAATGGATTCTACGGCTCGCCGGGTATATCAGGCATGCTACCAGCAGCCTATACCCACCTCTCCGCGCGGTTCCTCGATCGCGTCGCCGCCGCTCAAGCGACCAACTCTATCCAGCTGAGGGAATGGCGCCGCGGAACTGTAGGCACACCGGACGGATGGACCTACCATGCCAAGGGTCTTTGGATCACATTGCCGAACGAAGAGCATCCTAGTCTCACTTTTGTTGGCAGCAGTAACTACACGAAACGAAGTTACAGTCTTGATATCGAGGTTGGCGCGCTGGTTGTCACAAACGATCAGGAATTGAAGCGCAAACTCGGTGAAGAGACGGAGGTGCTTCAGGCGGATTCTAAGCCCATCTCGCGTGAGGACTTGATGCGCACGGAGCGCCGCGTGGGTTGGAATGTGCGGTTGGCTATGTGGATCGTTGAGAAAGTTGGCGGAGCTCTCTAGATCTGCTCCAGTTGTCCAGATTTCCTATTCAAAGTGTAAATATATCTCTCCTAATTGTACTTATAGAACATCGCAAAGGTTGTCTCGGGTATTGCACCACTGACATATCCTGAGTCATGAATCAATGCATATATCACTCCATCGATAAAGAAAACTTTTACTTGAGTTCTATAGACAATCACAATCAATTATCTAGGGCTTATGTATCACCTGACGCCGCTGACATTCTGAGTCATGAATATCCTAGCATATCGATCATCTACACCATTGACCATTTACGTATTTTAGAAAACTTCCGTTAGCTTTTATTTGCAGAAATTTTCTCACTCAATTGACTCAATGTCCAATCTTAAATCAACTCTGCTCTCCAAAGCCTGGTTCGGCTTCGACCTTGACGACACCCTCCATGAATTCCGTAAAGCTTCCACCCAAGCCTCACAAAGCGTGTTTGAAGCCATACACTTCAATGAAGGAATTAGCATCGATATTTTGAGATCCACATATCAAGATATACTACGTACAACCACTGCCAACGCATTCACAGATGGACGGACCTCGGTGGAATACCGCCGTGAACGATTGACCCGGCTTCTGGAGGTAGTAGATGGCAATAAGGTCTATTCTACTAGTATGAGCGAGATTGAGCCTTTACTGGATATCTACCAATCATCGCTACGGTCACATCTAGCCCTGAAACCCGGTGTTGTGGATCTATTTCGGGTTCTACGGGGGCTTGAAAAGAATATCATTGTTATTACTGAGGGCCCGGCCGACGCGCAGCAGTGGACTGTTAAGGAACTAGGACTGGAGCCCTATATTGATATCTTGGTCACTACTAATGAAGTGGGAACGTCGAAAGTCGATGGGCTGTTTGGGGTTGTGTTGGGGAAGTATGGGATTGATGCTGGGGATATCGTTTATTTTGGAGATAATGCGGTGCGAGATGTACAGGCTGCGGGTGAGACTGGGATTTTGGCGGTTCTATATGATGAGGGGAGAAACAAGGTCTTGGATAACTTGGATACTTTGAGGATTGATTCTTGGCGAATGTTGCTGGATATACTGGGTGATGGGAGATAGAGTAGAACAAAGATGTAAAAATATCACTTTTGATTTTAGCGTAAGTTATATCAATCCGAACGCAGATGCATAGATAGGATATTGTGAACAGATAAAAGCATTCAAAAAGCCCAAACGCCGTACCATGATGGGGGGTTCCATTCAATGTCGTATAATGTTGCAATGCAATGCGTCTAAGCCTTTCCAGGGACGCCCTTAGGCTTGCTCGAGAACCGAGCTGGACCAAGACCGGAGCGCACCTCATCAAGCATGCGAATGCCAATGGCCTCGTTTCCGTGCTTGCCACGCTTGTACTTGACTCCCTTGCGCTTGACCTGAGAGCCGGTGTTGTCATCCCAGTTGGACAGGAAGTCATCCATGACGTTATGGAAGTCACTGCGCGAGACCGCTTCTCCGTTGCCGTCGACGAGACTTGGTGCAACAGACGATGCAGTAGACATACCAGTCATACCGGTCATTCCAGTGGCACCAGTCATACCACTGATCATAGACATGCTGTCGTCATACTCGTCCTCCTCATCCAGGGCATACAGTTGTTCAACCTTGTCGAATCGGTCATCCAGGAGCCGGTGTCCCTCGGTACGTGCCAAGGCAGAGGATGTCATGGAGTAAGCGGAGGGGTTGGTCAGGGCACCCTTACGCTTCTTGCGGCGAATGGGTGTGCCGCCGACTGTGAAAGCAGTGGAAGCAACAGTTTGCTGCTCGGAGGGTGCGATAGTGGGAGCAGCCGGTGCAGGAGCCTTGCCAGCTTTGGCATCTTTCTTGAACTTGGAGAACTCTTGCATCCAGTCTTGATTTGCGGGGTGCATATCAGGAGCAGGACGATCGTGCTCAGGCAGTTCACCTAGTGGAACATCTTTGTTCAACTCTGATACATCGTCGTCCTCAATATGGGCGTCGCTGCTGTCTCTCTGCACAGGCGCCTTCTCAGTCGCATCCGACTCCCAGCCTTCATCCTCCTCCTCGTGATCAAACAATGTATCCTCCCAGTCTCCCTGGTCCAGTTCCTCAGCATTGGCAGTCAGGTCGCCGAAAATATCATCATCGTCATCATCCACATATGCGTCGTCTTCCAGAGCCTCGAGAGCCTCGCGAAGACGCGGGTCCATGTCGGGCTGGAATCCAGCGATCGCATCAGGAACATTCTGCTGGTCCTGGTATGTCGGCTTCCGGGAGTATGATGTGAAGTTAGAGCGCATGTCGCCATATTCACTACCACCGTATGCGCTTTGCGAATCATCCAAGGAAACCTGGCGCAATGCATCCTCCAGCTTCATGCCCTTGCCCTTCGCCTTGCCCTTCTCTGGCTTAGCCTCCACGAAGTAGGCATCACCACCACCGGTGCCTAGTTCACGCAAATGCTGCATGTAGTCGTACCGCGAGTCGTCGTAGTAGATTCCATGGTTGGCGGCCTCGCCCTCGTTCTGGCGAATTGCATTGTTCTGAAATTCGGACTGGAGGTCGGAGAGATTTTTGAGGGGCTTGGAGGTTTTCGAGGGCCCAGAAGGAGGAGGAGCGGGACCGCTCACTTGGTGCAGAACTCGGTCTTCCGCTTCAGGATCGTTGATGCGCGGGTCATTCTGAGAACGATGGAAGAGCTGGAATGTGCTCGCGTTCTTCTTGTCACTGAAGGGGGTCAGTTTAAAATATCAGACATAGGGCAGAATAGTAACTCACATCCACTGGCGGGGCGGCATGATGACGGCTTGATGCGTGGTAATGTACAACTTCCAATTCCATCGAAAAAAGCGAAAAAAGTGGGATAGATAGGGTCACGTGGGGCTTATCGATGCCCGAACCCCTCGGGTCCTCAGTGTGGCGATAACAGACTTTTCACACTCGATATAGAGGAGATTTAGGCAAAATTTGCTATATAGAACACCAGAGACTTGTTAAGCAAGAAACAATCCATCTATCTCATTGTAGCATAACAATCAACACCGGTTTAGAAGCAAAAGAAAGATCAAGATCTATGGTGCTGAGTCAGCTATCTTATCCGTGTCTGAATAATCTGAATATTTCCTTTTTCAAGCGGGGTTGATTTCAAACCTTCACACCACATTCTTTACAACACCAAACAGCCAAACCACATTCACCATGGTGTTGGCTAAATCCAAAAATGCCGTTGGACTGGGCAACAGTCTCATGAACGACCGTTTTGGCAAGGGTAAAGCCGCCAAGGAAAAGAAGGCTTCGCACAACAATGCCATTGCGCGCAAGAACATGATGGGCGAGACCTACATCACCAATGCCGCTACCGAGGCATCATGGGTCAAGATGCGCTCTATCACCGAGCAGGCTGCCCTCGACGAGTTCCTCAGCACAGCCGAGCTCGCCGGAACCGACTTCACCGCCGAGAAGGTCAACAACGTCAAGATTATTCACGCCGACCAGAAAAACCCATACCTCCTGTCGGCCTCTGAGGAGCGAAACGCCCAAAAGAAGCAACAAAAGAACAAGGGTCGCTTGACCGTTCCGCGTCGTCCCAAGTGGGATTCCACAACTACACCGCAGCAGCTGGAGATGATGGAGCGCGAGAGTCTGTTGGACTGGCGACGTGGACTGGCGGAACTGCAGGAGTACAATGATCTGTTGATGACTCCATTCGAGCGCAACTTGGAGGTCTGGCGTCAGCTGTGGCGTGTTATTGAGCGTTCGCACCTTGTGGTTCAGATCGTCGACGCCCGAAACCCGCTTCAATTCCGCTCGGAGGACTTGGAGAACTATGTCAAGGAGATCGATTCTTCCAAGAAGAACCTGCTACTGGTCAACAAGGCCGATATGTTGACCCTCAAGCAAAGAGAGGCTTGGGCTGAGTACTTTGAGAAGAACAACATCAACTTCCGTTTCTTCTCGGCTCATCTTGCTAAGGAGAAGATTGAGGCTGAGCTGCTTAAGGAGGAGCAGGGTCAGTCGAGCAGTGATGAGGATGAACTCGCTGAATCAACCAAGAATCTTGATGTGGAAGACAATGAATCCGAGGTGGAAGATAATGCTGAGAACCAAAAAGATGAGGCTCTTGCTAAACTCGCTGATCCTGATCAGTCGCTTGGCCCGCACATTCTGGACGTTGAGGAGCTAGAAGCACTTTTCTTGGCCAACTCACCTGAAAGGGACCCGAATGCCGAAGAAGGTACTAAGTACAAGACTACCATTGGTTTGGTTGGTTACCCCAACGTTGGTAAATCCAGCACAATCAACGCCCTTCTGGGTGCCAAGAAGGTGTCTGTGTCTGCCACTCCCGGTAAGACGAAGCACTTCCAGACCCTATATCTTTCTCCAGAGATCATGCTCTGCGATTGTCCCGGTCTTGTGTTCCCCAACTTCGCCAGTACCAAGGCAGACTTGGTCGTGAACGGTGTGTTGCCTATCGACCAGCAGCGTGAGTTCACTGGCCCTGCCGGCATCGTCGCCCACCGTATCCCCAAGCATTTCTTGGAGAACATCTACGGTGTGAAGATTCTCACTCGCCCTATCGAGGAGGGCGGCACTGGAATCCCTACTGCCAGCGAGCTTCTGCGTGCCTACGCCCGCGCTCGTGGTTTCTCCACTCAGGGTCTGGGTCAGCCCGATGAGTCGCGTGCTGCTCGTTACGTGCTCAAAGACTACGTAAACGGAAAGATTCTCTTCGTCCACCCACCCCCAGTAGCCGAGGGCGAGGAACCCATCGATCCAAACGAGTTCAACAAAGACCTATATGATCTCGCCCATCTCCCCGAGCGACGCCAAGCCGTTCTCGCCGCGAGAAACGGCCCCGATTACGATGACCTGGACTCCGATATTGCCTCTTTCGCCAAGGGCGACAACGACGCACCCGGTCCCCGCTCTCGCAACCTCGACAGCGGTTTCTTCGGAACCGCCACTGGCCCTTCGGCCGGTCGCATGACTCTGCCATTCAACGCCAAGAACACCGCTCAAGGGCAGGAGATGCGTCAAAATCTTACAGGTCGCAAGGAGCGTATGATGATTGCCTTGGAACGGGGTATTGATGTATCTGAAGTGCGGGGCGGAAACGGCAAGAAGCACTTCAAGGGTAACAAGAAGCGGGCTAAGGCTAAGCGCAACAACCCTGTTGATGATGACCATTACTAAAAGTGCTTTTTTGCGGATGGAGATTCCCTCTTTTATGTAGCTATGTTTTTCTTTTGTTGTCCATGTGCGGCATCGGGGGGACAGATTGGAGATGACGATTACCGGCACATATGGGCTTTGCATGTCATTTTGACTTGGATCTAGACATTTGCAGGCGTTGGGTTTTATGGATTCAATCGATTATATGAAATATTTACTGAGTACATGGTAACCGTAAAAAGATTATGGTCATGGTATGATCAAGTAGTACAGTGAAGATGATAAGAATAATTCATACTCATATATGATTTTATTCTTTTCTAACATACCGAAACTCAAGGGCTGGCACCCAAGGTCCTACAAGAACCAGACCAAACAGACATGAGATCCCGTAAGTAACCTAGACATGCACCTATATAAAACACGACCTAGAGTCTCGAAGCCTACAGATGACTCTTGGCCTTAAACCCAGAAGCAATAAGCAACCGATCACTCTCCTGCTGCTGCCACTTCAACTTAGCAACCACAGCCTCCCTCCTCGACTTGTTCTCCCTCTTACCCAACTGCTGCAAATGAACCTCATCAGGCCCATCGGCAATCCGCAGTGTCCGAATTCCAGCCCAAAGATAAGCAAGAGGTGTATCTTGACAAACACCCGCAGCGCCATAAGCCTGAACAGCTCGATCAATAATATTCAAAGCAGTCTGCGGAACAAGAACCTTGGCCTCGGCGATCTCTTTAAGAGCAGCCTTGGCATCGCCCTGATCAATCTTGATAGCAGCATTCAAAACAACAAGTCGTGCCGCATCAACCTCGATCCGGGATTTCGCGATCCATTCCAGGATCACGCCGTGCGCCGAGAGGGGCTGGCCGAAGGTCTTCTTGCGCTCGTCGTTGACGCGGGCGATTAGCCATTCGAGGGCTTTTTCGGCTGCGCCGATTGTGCGCATGCAGTGGTGGATTCGGCCGGGTCCGAGACGGCCTTGGATAATTTCGAAGCCGCGGCCTTCACCAAGGACCATGTTGGATACAGGTACGCGGACATTTGTGAATGTAATGTGTCCGTGTCCGTGGGGTGCGTCGTCGTAGCCATAGACGTGGAGCATACGGTTGATTGTGATTCCGGGCAGACCGGCTGGGACTAGGACGACGGATTGTTGCTTATAGGTGTCGCGGTTTGTGGCGTCGGATTTGCCCATTACGAGGTAGATTTTGCAGCGGGGGTCACCGGCGCCGGAAGACCACCATTTCTGTGAATGTTAGTCTCGTTTCTTTGGTTGTTGGGTGAAATGACGTACGGAGCCGTTCAGGACATATTCGTTACCCTCGCGACGGATGCTGAGCTCGATGTTGGTCGCATCGCTAGATGCAACTTCTGGCTCTGTCATCAGGAAAGCAGATCGGATCTTGCCTTCCAGCAGGGGAGCCAGCCACTGCTGCTTCTGGGCGTCGTTGCCATACTTGGCCAGGACCTCCATGTTACCGGTATCAGGGGCAGCATTGTTGGTAGCCTGCAGATAACGTTAACAACCGTCCTCTGACACATTGCAGATGGTTTCACGCACCTCCGAGGCAATCTTGCTCTTTCCGAGCAACTCGGCCATCAATCCGTACTCCAGGTTGCTGTATCCAGCACCTTGCTTGAAATGGCTCTTGGCCAAGAACATATTCCATAGACCCAGCTTCTTAGCCTTCTCCTTCAGCTGCTCCATAACGGTAGGGACGGTATTCCATCGCTGCTCGCCTTCGCCGAGCTGGGCGGAGAAGACACCTTCAGCGGGGATACAGTCTTTCTCGACGAACTCTTCGACCTAGTTTGGTCATTAGCTATGTGTACTTGGACATATGGCCACAGGCAGTGTAATCTGGCTGGCCGTCGGCAATGTCCTTGGGACAGGTGATTCGACGGCGGTGAGCAGTGAGGTCATACCAAGTCAAGAGTCTTCTTAGCCCGATCGCTAACGAAAGGCAGAGCAATGGGAGGGATACGAGTGGAAGCAGACATAATGGCTGATCAGATAAAACCGGGGGATGGTATTATCTAGGGAGGAGGAGAGAGCGTAGAATATAAGTTGGGGGACAGCAATTGCGGAGTAGTGGAGAAGCCGAGAAGCGGGTTTTTGCCTCGGCCCAGGGCACTGACAGTATGGCACCACCTTGACTCGCCCTGGGCTGTTTTAGGGATAAATTTAGGGATAAAGGATATCTGAATTTAAGTATTTCTCGTACAGTCACTGTGTCTTATGGTGTAGATTTGGAGATAGGTGCTTTAAGTAGAGTTGATGTTGGCTCAAGATCCCAATGGGCCATTATGACCCTACGAGTACTAGCAGTATTAGGTCCACTATTCCCTAATTCCAAAGTCCTTAAAAGTAGGGCTTGTTAGACTGCTCTAGATCCCTGACCTATACTTTCTCGGGTAGAACAGATAATATTCCCCCGCCTACCGCCCCATACCTCGGCTAGAAGTCCGAAAACACATCAATGACACACCATCCATTGCTCCTATCCAGTCCTTAATGGACAAATTACCACATAGAGTCCAACAGTAACCCATGATACCAATGAGAAAGAAAAAATAACAAATGACACAAGAGAAGGCATCGCGGGTCATAAAAAGAAAAACCAATCAAATCCCAAAGACACATTGCGAAACCCCCCATCAATCCAGCCCAGTCCAGTCCAGTCATATAGACTTGCCAATTAATCCAAATGACGTCCAGCGTCTATTCCATAATAAGCCGAGGGTGTCGGGTGAACCGAGGGTGTAGTAATGCCAGACACTAGCGCAATGTGGAAAGAAGAAAACAAAAATAACAGCGGACCCTAAAGTTATGCTGTCTATTCTGTGCGGCACTCGGCCGATGACGATTGTTCGTAGCTCTTCTTGCCCAGCTTAGCGAAGAGGGACTGGGGCTTGCCGGCACTGTGCGAATGTTAGTTTTGTTTGTGAACGCGCCCGATGCTTGTGGGAGAAAATGTACTTCTTGAATCGCTTGCCCTTGATATCGCTCAGCTTCTTTGTGCAAGGGCTCATGATATCGTCCGAGGGGGAGATGTAGGCAGCTGGTTCTCTAAAATGGAAAAAAAGTAAAAGGTTAGCATTCGGTCGTTCTGATCTGTGGGCCAAAACACCAGTGTATACTCACTTCTCGCCACTATCTTGCTTGCCCTGCAGTGCCTGTCTGTGGTACTCCATTGAAGACAGGTCGGCAGACTTCATGTCCTTGTCAACATTGTTGGCAAGGTGAGTGTTGGTGGAGCGGTCAGCCAGAGGCTGCACTTGTGTTGTGGTAGCGTCCATGGTGGATGTGTGAGAGTTGATTTGTGAGAGTAGAAGTAGAGAGGGTAGAGAGGTTTGTGTTTGGTTATGTAGAGATCACAGTTGGTGCAGGTTCAGATCGGATCGGATAAGAAGGAAGAAAAACGTGTTGTTGCTGTTGAATGAGGAAAAATGCGGTTTGATTGTTGGCCCGGCAACCATGACTCTCACTTGGACATGACGACACCTATGACATTCTTGATCGGCTATTCCTGTCATGTCCTGTTTATGCTGTTGTTTTAATAAAATGAGTAGTCTAATAGAGTTCGACTGAGCATGCATGACTAAATAGGTCTAGAACAAAGTGGGAATCTTTATCGTGCATCATCCAAACGTACACTCGCCAGATCATGAGGTACCTGGTACATACCCGAACGCCAGATCATATAAACAGAATTGAAAAAAAAAAAAAAAATAGAAATAAAAAACGAAAAACAATGCCTGCTCCACATCGGTGGCAAAAGGATTCGGTATGACATGTTTCAGTTGGGGCCAGCCCACCGTGGAAACTCAGAATGCGATTAGTCCTCATGGGGTTAGAGACGCCTCGTCAGATATCTCCAGTTCAGATGCCATCGCAAAGTTATCTGGGTCTAGTTCCGGAGTATGGATGTTCATCACAGGTGGAGTGCTATGCGATCGGAACTGTGGCGTCCCAAGTATAGGTACAGACTCAGACATTGAGTCTGGGGACTGTGGCGTGTTAATCTTCTCATCGTCCATCTCGTGAGAGAGGGGAGAAGTCGGCGTTGGTGGCACGTAGGGAGCTGTTGGGCTAGCAGGACTTTCTTGTGAGGAACTATCTGATAGGTTTCGTCGGTGGTCGGCATTCTCATGGTAGGAAGAGGTGGGCCGGGTGGACCCGGGGCTAGCAGATGGGGAGGCGAAGACAGGTGAAGATGATCGTAGACTGTAGGAACGAGCGACCATTCTCTGGACTCGGGGGAATTCCATGTAGTTGCTGCCTGAGCCCCGGGAGAAGAGAACCAGTGCAAAGCAGCAGAGAACCATGATGCTCTGGACTAGTGTCACTCGTTTCTGAAAAACAAGCTCGTCGGCTAGAACCCCCAGCTGGGAGCTGATAGAGTGTACTTCCTGGTGATACTTCATGCGTTGATGTTCGAATTCGAAAGCGACAGATTTCCAGACCTGGTCATATTGCTCTCGGAAGTCTTTTAGCTCGCTGAGAACGGTCACATTCAGGTTTTCGAGGAAGTTGGAAGTCTTTGAGAGCTGTCGTTTCTCAACTTTGTTGAATGCATCGCGAAGAATCCGGGACTGTTCTTCAATATAAAGTAGGGAGAGGGTGGAGTTGGACTCGAGCATTTGGAGCCGTTTGTGGACCGATTTGAAAAAGGACTCTTGGGTGGTTGGATTGGAAGAGGGGGGCTGTGTGGACGTAGGTCTAGTAGACTCGGGTGGCGGGTTGTTCTCCTCCTTAGGGTTTGTCGTTGATTTTCCGGTGCTCTCCACGGTTGCATTATGTACAGCTGGCTCTGCAGCTACAACGGAGGCATCAGGGGTTGTCAGCATCGCCTTGAGAGAATCTCCCGATTTCCGATCTTCTGCTACCCTGGGCGGAGCCGATGAGCCAGGTTGTGTGGCAGGAGTATTTCCTGTGGAGCCTGTTGAATCCTCACGCGGTGACTTTGCTGGATCTGTTGTAGCAGTTTCGTCGGGAATGACCTCTACAGGAGGCCGTTCACTGGCATGGCAAACCTCGGCAGCCTGATGTACCAGCCCCAAAAGATGCAGTTCCGTTTCAGTAAGGGAAGCAGGGCAAATTTCAGGAACTTGATCACTGATCATTTCCTCCTCCTGAATGATCTCATCCACCAGAGGTACAGATGAGTCCGTCTGTGCATCGCTGGGATTTTCTACAGTTTCAACCGGTTCCATGATTTCTTCATCTTCAGCCTCGCTGCGACCAACACTCTCATCATGCTTATACTCCTCCATCATGGTTGTTCCATGCACACGGATAAGACTAACTGGGCAGTAGAACTCATGGCCATAGTGCGTCAAGAACTCGATACGAAGGTATCGAGCCCATATAAGCGAGTTCTCGACCGCAAAGGCCTGCACTTCCCGAGTATTCCGTGCTTCGTAAACACCCAATTCTTTCCACTGGTCCGGCTTCGCGGGGTATCGATCCGATACACTCACGCGGAACGTGTGGAAGATGGAGCTAAAGAACTCATAGTTGCCCAGTACGACAGTATCCACAAGGATATCGTCACACAATTCCAAAATCAAGAACTTATTCTGGGCACGACATTCGTTCAACATGTAACTATCCTTGTTCTCAACCAAGACAGCCGAAGATCCTTTGCACTCTGGATTTGTCTTGAGCACAGTAGCGGCGCAATCAAAAGAGGCGTAGTTGAATCGCTCTTTGCATGTTGTCCCGGCATCTTTCCGGCGCGAAATATCTGCTTTCTGCGAGCGCTGGGTGTGAAGATCATCTTCGCTCTCTCCGTCAAGATGATCGGCGTGAGGCGATGGAATCGGTGTACCCCAAGCCGTAGGGCTAGCCTCGGGCGTCTCAGCCCCGAAGCCGCCGAAGTCCAGTTCGATTTCAGCATCGTCCCCCAACGAATCCAGTGCATTGTTAATCCCCGGCTGACGTCGTTCTTTCCCGGCTGCCACAGCCCGCCTGTTACCTCCCACATTCTCAGCAGACTGCCCAACCTTGGCCAGGTTCTGTTTCTTCCAATCTTCGAACGAAAGAAAGCTCGAACTGTCAAGTAGAGAATCGGTATCTGCATCTTGTTCTTGCTGTGTAGTTGATTCTGCAACTACACCAACAATCCCTTCTGTCGCAGCAGCTGAACCTATTATATTATCCCCGGTAGTACCAGATTCATTGACCTGGTGAGATCTTTGTCCAAGTCCCCATCTCGTCTCAAAGCATACTGGATAGCGAAAGACCTTCGCCTCAACCTCCCAAATATTCTCCGCCGGACATATCGTTTCCAACGTGAAGTCAGGGGCATGATCATGAGTCACTGAATCCTGGACCCGATCTCCTCCGAATCCAGAGCCAGACAACGAAAGCAAAGTCATGGCATAACAAGGCCATGCTATCGTTGACCATCCTGCACTCGGCATCCTGGTGACGCAACCAATTATTCTCTGCAGATGTGCGACGACTCCGGCTTATTCTAGCCACACGGAGCACCAGCTAGGATGCTGCAACTGCAGTGTAGATCCAGTCCCGAAATGATTTCTCTCCGACAGGTTGGCAGTTATGATGTGCGCATGGTGCGGTGGCGGCGAGACCAATCGCGAGCTCGGACGTTATCTGCGGTATTTCGGGGCCTGAGGGTACTGGTAGGGGGGTGGATTCTTGGTAGAGCGTCGGAGAGGGAATTTGTTGCGGTAATGGCGTGACTGTTAGATAGATTGGGTAGTGTGCGTTATATTTTTTAGATCGAAAGAAGCGAGGGGAAAGGCTGGACAACGGAAGCTCTAGGCGCGACAAGAAAAGTGGATCGTGGCATCTCGGCGGTTGAAGCTGGGGTCACCGCCCTTTACACCGCTGATCCTTGCAGTGTCCACAGGGGGAAAGTCCAGTATACGTGGTCGAAAGAGGCTGGGGTGTTTTAGCGCGATATCTCTGTTGCCCAAGTGTTTAGTGCTTATTCCGTTGGACTTGGACTTTTCGTTTTTTACTGAACTTATGATTTGGCAGATTTGATCCTCAGCAGTGGATTCGTCTTGAGGCCCATGCTGTAATAGCTGAGCGGGGCGAGGCTTATAGTAGAGCAAGCAGGCTGGCCACAATGTATGACAGATTGTTTAAGGGTGGCATGAAACAAATCCCAAGGGTTCTACTCCACTCCGACGTACCGTAAAGGGTCTGAGGATCAACAGCGGGTACTATCCATTGGAACTAAACATGGAAAATCAAGTTACCTAACCTCGCCATAACGAACCAGGGATCTGAGCCTATACATTGAATTAAGTTATAGCATTAAGTTCTCACATGGTACATCCTGAAATGCAAATGCAAATGCGTCAGGCCGCACTGACCTGCTCCACTTGAGATCCACTTCCAAGATCAAGCAGCCTTACCAAAGTCAAAAAGCTTGAACCTGCAGCTGCACACCGACCTTTGGACTGCAGGAGATCCTTGCAGTCGTGGAACGCTACAGGGTTTGCAACGAAGAAATCGAGTTGGGTTGTCTAGTTTACTGAAGGAAAACAAGTCTTCACGGATTGTGATCAATTCTTCCTAAGACATATAGCTAGTTACAGTATATCTTGTCAAAAGAAAAACGGCCGTGTTTCATCCTGCAGTGGAAGCCAAGATAGGTAGTTGGACTCCCATGCTGTCAAATCAATCCACAATTCTGTCCTTTTGTCGTCGCTTTTGTCCGAATGCGCAAAGAAAATCCCCCAATGAATTCCACCCGCCTTCTAGTCTTTTTGGTTGATGCCACCGCCTGCCTTCTGCTGCTCCCCATATAGTACAGAGGTAAAAGGAAAAGAACAATGAGAGCAGTGCCGTAGTATAGAATACTCCAGCGCGTTGAGGGACAGGAGGTGAACACCAGCAAACAGAACCTGAAAATCAAACGTGCCGGAACAAGAAAAGAAAAAAACAACAAAAACAACAACATTAATGTATAGTTGGTAAGGGTTTTTTTTAACTTTTTTCCCTACTGAATCGAACGAGGCAAACAGGACGCAAGGGACGGAAAAGAAACAGAATTGAAAGAATCCAAGTGACAAGCAAGAAAATATGCTACAGGTGTAGATCATGCCACCCACCGACTAGGTCGAGGTCTTCATCAATGCTGCCATCGTAGGCGGAATGCTTGCGGGGAGAGCCCCTGGGAGCGCTTGCAGCGTCACTGCGCCAGTCCTTGGCGAGGAAGAACTGACGACGGCGGTCAATCTGAGGCGATTCGCGCTTAAAACGAGCTCCCTGGTCGAACCCGGAAGAACCCATACCCCAATCACGTCGCCAGGTGCCAGTAGCGTGCTGAGGATTGAAAGGCTCGCGAGTTTTGCAGTTGCGGCGCTTGTTACCCAGCTCGGACCACTTGTCAAGATTGGATTTCTTAGGTGACAATTGGCGGGGAATGGGACGGGGCGTGCTGCTCGAGCTTCCAGCGTTGCTGTCGACATCAAGGGGGTTGGCTCGGACGGCGTGCGGGGCAGTTGATGAAATGACCGGAGTGTGGGATCGATCAGTGGGAACAGCGGAGTCCAGCTCGCGCAGTCCTGACAGGTTATCCGGCAGACGGGTATCCTGGCTCTCATGGCTCCAGCTGCGAGAGTTCTGCTCACGGCGCTGCTGGAAGTCATGATCTTCATTCTCTGACTCCTCCTCGTCCCAAAGATCACTCCAGCTCTTGGAGATCTGATCTTGGTTGTTCTTCTTGCCAAAGACCATGGCCAAAGACGGCAAGGGCTTGGTGGCATGACTAGGAAGAGACCCAGTGATGGGGACCGGGTCAGAACGAGCAAGCATGGGACGCTTCTGCTGGGGAAGGTGAAGCGAGGTGAAGGACTCGCTCATGGCGGACTCAAGAACTGAGGCCATCGATGGGGCTTCGTGGGTCGAGAACCAGGAGGTGCCAGCCACTTCGGAAGCGGGGAAGAGGTCTTCGGAGTAACTCTCGTTGTCGGGAATGGCAGAAAGCTGGCGAGTAGCTTGCTGGGGACTCGAGTGCAGGAGCTTGGCCCAGGGGAACGAATCACCATGGTTGACATGGGGGCTCTGGATGGAAGGAGTGCGCAGGGGCTCGCGATTGGCAGTGGCAGGCACGACCTCATCACGGTCCTCGGTGCAGAACTCATCCAGAGACTCATCGTCAGTGGTGAACGAAACAGCGCGGACAATGCCTTGGCGTAGCTCAGACAAAGAGCGCTTCTCCGGGTCAAGAGCCAAAGAATGAGTCAAGATGTCGTAGGTATCCTGAGACATGTTGGGGAAGATGTCAAATAGTGACTGGCGATCACGAACGTAGTCCGAGAATAGCACATCGGATACCGTGGGGGTGGTAAAGGGGTTGCGGGAAAACAAGATGTTCAGCAGACAAATGCCAACTGACCAGATGTCGGCCTGAGCAGGAGAATAGCCCGAGCTGGGCGGATCATACTGCTCAGGGGCCATGTATCGGTCGCTCCCAACGCAGGCCTCATAAGACCAGGAGTCTCGGGTCGCAAGACCAAAGTCACCCAGCTTCATCGAGCTGTCAGACATGAGGAAGATATTCTCAGGCTTGATGTCACGGTGATAGAGGCCCTTGCTGTGCATGAAGGCAATGGCATCGACAAACTGCAGCATGAAGTCGCGGACGTGCTCGGTCTCCAAGGGACCACGGTTCAAGCGGATGGCTTCGTATAGGTCGCCATTGGCACAGTACTCCAAAACCAAGTACATGTGGGAGTCAGTCTCGAAGGAATGAACCAGGTTGACCAAGTTAGGATGGGAACCAAAGCGGCGGTGGCACTCTAACTCCTCAAATCGATCGTCCATAGGGAAGGGATCCGAGGAATCAGAAGAGGCACTCTTGGGCAAGCACTTGATGGCGACATCCTGATCAGTCAGGGTGTCCTTGGCAAGGAACACCAACCCAAATGACCCCTGGTTGAGCGGGGCAACTGTTCGGAAACGGCCATCCAATATTTGGCCCTTCACGAACTTGTTCTTGAGACACTCCATATCGGTGAGCATGTTGATGAGAAATGTGAAAAAGGGGAGATGGAATGAGATGAGTTGAAAGAGGCAAAACACAAAAGTGACGTAGGCTCCAACGACAAAGAACAGTCTATGAATCGAATCACTTGAAAAAAGATGCACGTGTGGAAAGGTTCAGACGTGACAGGGAACAGCAACCAGGCTATTGAAATGATTAAGTTTCAAGAAGAGAAGAGAATCAGGCCTGTGATCGGAATTGACAGGACCACCGAGACGGATTAAAGGACAATGTTGACGAGTGCGTTCCGAATCGGTTCAAAGGATCATAAAAATATACCAATGAAACGAGAAAGTTGATAGACAAGGAAATGATGTGGGGGCGCAGAGCGCAGTTGAATGAACCCAAACAAGGGAGTATGGACGCTTAAGGAAATGGGGTAGAGACCGTTATGTGCTCATTTGTAGGTCGTTTTCGTTGTTAAAAGGGGCGAAGAGCCGAGGTGAAACGGTGAAAGAGTGTTAAAGAACGGAAGACAGAGGCCCAGGGTTGAAGAGCCTTAGGATGGTCGGGATGAAAAGAGTCGAGAATAGCGCTGCGTGATATCGTGATTTGAATGGGAGAAGTATAGCAAAACGTAAACAAAACAAGCCTGTGAACACCGGGTTCAAGGTCGGAAGCCGTGACTCAGAGGGTTAAAGTTGAAATTAATGAGTCATGAGTGGGACCGGTAGGCAAATATGAGCGATGAAGATAGAATGATCAAATCCGATAGAATCCAAATCAGTCTTCGAGAGCAAGTTCCAGCTTCAGCAAGCTAGGAAATGAGTCGAAGGCCGGGGAGAAGTTGTTTGGGATCCTGGGGAACGGAACAGCCTTCAAATCCAGGGGTCCGGAAGAGACGGAGTGTTCAATGCCAGGTTCCCGGAGTAAAAGAACTCTCAATCGCTCAAAAAGCTCTGTTCACCAGGCACGTATGAAGGGTAGAAGTATCCGCAAGGACGCCTTCGTGGAAGTTCAACCAGGATGAAGGCGGGGGCGAATGGAAGTCAGAGTTGACAAACAGGTAACTGGACAATGCCCAGGCACAACTGTTACAGGTTTGAGAGTCACGGTCAAGACTCGATCAGGAGGTTTTCGGTGAAGAGTATCGGACCGAAAGAAACGAGGTAGACTGGGTAGCACTCCTTGTCGGATGGCAACAGCGAATTGAAGTACAGGTAGTTATCGCCGAAGATCGAGTGCAGTCCCGGAAGAGGGATGGAGGGTGAGAGAGAAGAGAGGACGAACGGGATGATAAGATGGGGAAGGAAGTAAGAGAAGAGAGAAGGAACGAAGGAGATAGATGAAGGCGAAGTAGGGGAAGTACAGGACTAAGGAGGAGAAGGAGTCATTAGGAGAGTTAGTCACAAG